CCATCACCTAGCATCGGCCTGGCTGCCAAACAGCCTCTCCTTTTAGCTCTGTCCTCCCCACCAAAAGCATTTCAGGCAAAGAGCCAGCTCATGAAACTTGGCCTCTTTGAAGTGGTGAGCAAGTACCCCTGAAACCATCACCTTATGTCTGGTGGCATTTCTCCTGCTGCCAGAGCTTAATGTAGGGTCATATCCCTTTCCTCTGAAATCTGTAAAAGTAAATTTAATTTTAAACTGAATTTTTTTTTTTTTTTAACAGTTGGTCTCTGAAGCTCAAAGAGTCTTTGAGGTAGGGAGGGGATGCTGGCACTGGGAGAGGATATAGGGAATATACGTGCCCTTGAAAATCGTATTCTTTTTTGGAAAATTGCTGACACAGGCTAATCAGCACCGAACTAAATGACCCTACTGTTTCTACCTGCTGACAGGCTCAGCCCTGGGATAGGGCTGAAATTAGCTCTCACCACATGGCAGAGGCATGCCTTCCCTTCCTCCGCCCCTTTTTTCATATAAATAGGGGGTAATTTTGTGCCTGTCAAATAATACAGTTTTGAAGTGCCAATAGCCAATAAACAACAGCCCCACCTCACTCCTGACTTAAAAAGCACATTAGTAATGATGTAAGTAGTGCTAAAAATCAGATAATAGGTAATTTCCCTGGTTTGAAAAGCTTTTCAGAATTGATGTTCTTTAGGAAATGTTAATAGGCAAAACCATTCAAGCCGAGGGAGTGTATTGATTTAGTGAGGACCCAAGATGGATAACCAGCCTAGTGTCCAGGTAGCCAGACCACGTAGCCTTGTATTTGCATATATTTTTGCTGCTATATCCTGTCTGTGAGTAAGGAGGCATTGGAGCATTACAGTCTTGGGGAGATGACGCTGTGTATTTCAGTTCTGTTTCCAATGCCGTTATCTGTTGGAAAAGGAAGCTTCCCTACCCATTTTGTAAGCACACAATTGGCAGGAGCTGTTGCAATCTCATTGTCTTCCGATCAGCTCCTCCTCAGCAGCAGGCAGAGTGAAACACTCAGGCCAAATGGTTGTGCTGAGTTTCAAAATAAAAGATCCCAGTCTGAGCGCACCATCTCACTTCCCATCCCACAGAACCAGCATTGTTAACTGTGCCACATCTCTATTCTAAATTTAGGCATCTTTTTTTTTTCCAGGCAAAGATTACTATGCAAACATTTAAGAGAAAAACTTTGCCCAAAGTAATTTTCCCCCCGACTTCTATTTGGTTTCCTGCAATGTTTAGATGACTCATTCTATTCCAAGAAATTTTAAAGAAAAGAGATGCAGGCTGTGTATTAGTGTACAAAGACTGCTCTGTAAATTCTCTTTTTCTTTCCTGCCTAGAAACCCCTTGCTTTTTTTTCAGGGAATGGAAAGGCTCTACAGTCTTCATTGTCATATATTCAGCCTCATCAGGTTTTGTTGTTCTCAGGAATAATGTCCCCCTTGTCTTTGGGTGGGGCCCGCTTGCGGGTTTCCAGCGAGGTCAACCCTTCTGCAGTGGCCAGCACGGAAGCCTTTCCTCGGGTCACGTTTTCCACCAAAGGCACACAGTTAAGGTTTCTGAAATAGAGAACAGGTTGCTTTTTATCATCTGTGAGAAGAGAGAGGCTGACAGTTTCCTGCCTCTCTTTTGGTGTCAGAATTATGCCTGATTGCTAGGGGCTATATCGGACATTTTAACAGGGTGAGCTACTCCCGTATTTCCAGCCCAACCCTCAGCCAGAGGGAGCGTTAAGTCAGATTGCTTCAGCAGCCTGTTCAAATAAACAGGGATAATAGTTGAGGGTCCTCCCAACTAATCAGTACCTGAAAGGAAACATCTGCCTGGGCTTAATTGCTATTTTATTGGTTACACTTTCTCCCTCTCTCCTCTTCTCCCCCTTCTCCACTCTGGGACTAAGTTATTTAAGTCCTGGGTAAGCAACAGGGTAGAGGAAGAGGAGCTTTCTTCTTAACCTCTGCCATTTAAATATAAGGAAGTAGTAAGAGAAGATGGGAGGCTGATGGGGGAGCTGGCCTGGAGGTGGGAGGGCAGGGCAGTGGGAAGTGATACTTGTGGTCACTTACTGACCCTGTTGCTGACTTTGGGGTTGGTGGTGAGTCACTTTGCCTCATCTCAACCTCCTAGGGCCTTCAGTGAAGCTCAGCTTTCCTCTCAATGGGAAACACAGTCTGGTGTGTGAGATCATACACGAAAGGCATTCCCTCTTGTGGCTTCTTCCAGTGGTTGAGGTCACTGTATGAGAGACACTGGAAACAGTAAATTTAAGACTGACAAAATGCCCCTGAAGTCATCCATTTTCTCAAGCATCTGGGTCTCTAAGGAGAACTTGCTCAGTATCATCAGCTACGCCATGGTGTATAGCTCAGCACCTGTTCACTGAAGTAGGTGATGCTTGGAAATAATATGGGCTCAAGAAGCCAGGCGAAAGATCATGTAGAATCACAGAATGGCAAAGACTGGAGAAGATCTCTGACATGTTTTAGCTAAAGGCTTTCGTTTTATGGAAATGAAAATAGAGGCCCAAAGAGATGAACTAGGTTGTCCAAAGTTATTTCCTTGGTAATGTAGGAGCTGGAAATAGAAGGAGAATCTTGCAGTTGCTAATTTATGGCTCTTTCCACTCCTTTCCCCACTACAAGGGGTAAAAATTCATGCCTGCTCTTGACAGAGGGCACACACATGTTACATTTTATAGTGAATACCACAACACAAAAATGGACAGAGAACACCTTAACAGAAAAATGGCAAACCATAAAAGAAAAACAAAAATGACTGATAAACATGTTTGTTTTTGTTTTTATTTTTTTGAGACAGAGTCTCACTACGTCTCCCTCAGTAGAGTGCTGTGGTGTCACAGCTCACAGCAACCTCAGACTCTTGGGCTTAAGTGATTCTCTTGCCTCAGCCTCCCAAGTAACTGGGACTAAAGGGGCCTGCCACAATGCCTGGCTGTTTTTTTGTTGTAGTTGTCTTTATTGTTTGGCAGGCCCAGGCCGGGTTTGAACCCGCCAGCCCCGGTACATGTGGCCAGCACCCTACCCACTGAGCTACAGGCGCCGAGCTGATAAACATGTTTTAGAAAATGCTCAGACTCACTGGAATCAAAGGACTGCAAATTACTGTAGGGTAGCACATCAAATTATCAAGACAATAAAAAAGTGAAATAAGCATTCCTATATGCTGCTGGTGGTATTATAAATTGGCAAAGTTTTTCTCAAGGGCAACTTAACAGTATAAGTGAGTAGTCTTTGACCTAGCAATGTAACTTCCAGGAGAAAATAATGCAAGGTGTGTGCATAGATTATATACAAAGTAATTTAGCATAGCCTTTTCTATCACAAAATTTGGAAGCAAAGCCAAGTCCATGAATACCAGCTATATCAATATATGACAATAACTAAGAAAATGCCATGAAGACTATGTTAACCAGTTTGGTGAAAATATTTCAAATTGTATATAAAACCAGCACAGTGTACCCCATGACTGCATTAATGTACACAGCTATGATTTAATAAATATATATATGTTAAAATGCAATAAAAGATAATACATGGAGAAATGCTCACTTCATGTATGTGAATAGGATACAGAGCAGGATTTATAATGCTGTTCCAATTTTGTTAAAATAATGGGAAAGAGAAGATTAGAAAAATATATAACAAAGTCTAGGGTGGAGAATTCTTAATGGTAGGAATTAAGGGTTACTTTTATTTTCTTTTTTGAGGTTTTCTACAGTTTCCTTATTTATTACTTTTATAGATAAATCTATGTTACTTTTGTAATCAGAAAACTTTTTTGGGGGGGGAGACAGAGTCTCACTCCAGAGTTTCACCCTGGATAGAGTGCTGTGGCATCATAGCTCACAGCAACCTCAAACTCTTGCGCTCAAGAGATCCTCTTGTCTCAGTTTTTCTATTTTTAGTAGAGACAGCTCCTCAGCTCAGTTGATCCACCCACCTTGGCCTCTCAGAGAAAGAAAACATTTTTAAGGTAGAGATGTATGCATTGATAAAAGGTGACATATTAAATGAATGTATTTGTGACATGAAAGTCCTCTTTCTTTGCCTAGGAGCTGAGCTATGCTGGGGTTGGGAGGCAGTATTATGCCTTCCATTAGGAAGGAGTTGGTAATATCTGAATTTTTAGTAGGAAAGAAGTAGAAAGAACTGGCAGAAGATGAAACAAGGGCTTCCCCTCTCCATGACCCAGTGATGCCAATCAGTTTTATCCCCTGTTCTCTTGGGTTTGGCATGTAACACTTAGTATAGAAGGTGTGACAGTTTCCTTCCTGCTTCCTCGTTCTTCTCTATTTTTGCTGCTCTATTGACATCAGTCTTAGGTGGTAGCAGCAAAAAATCTGAGAGCTACTACTGTTCAGAATTAACTAGCTGGAGACCCCTTAACATATGAGGATCAAGTAACAGCAAACTCCCGAGTGATCAGTATTGAAGTACCACTGCCCTGGGAGTTTGGGGTAGAAATAAAGCAAACGAGAAATATAGTTCCTTCTTGCTTAGAGTTTCCTATTCAGTTAGGGACTTAGAAGTCCGCAAATGTTTATATCCTTTTTCCTATCTCATCCTTCTATGTATTATACAGTTCACCTTTTTTTTGCAATCCTCTGGAATGCTTAACTACAAGGGTCTGAGCAAGTGTGTTCCACCTAACAACAGTTGCTAGGTAGCATGTGGCTTTCAGGACTGCTCTTAGGGGACCAATAGAAAAATCAAAGGCTACAACCCTCCCTTCACACAATTGCTTTTACTAGGCTATAGAAAGGGCACATTTCATTTTATTAAAACTCCTTGAGTAATCTGACCATAATTGGGTCTGATTGGAATGGTTATCTGATTTGCTGGGTTAAATAATGGCCCTTAATTGAGTCTGGGTTATTTGTAGAGCTGATGCTGCCTTGCCTTTGTTGCCCCCGCCTACCTCCTTCTGTTTCCCAATTAACCTTCATTCCTCTTTCCTTACAGAGTAAAGAAGTTGGCCAGCAGCTCCAAGATGATTTGATGAAGGTCCTGAACGAGCTCTATTCGGTAAATCAGATGGGTTGCTTGGCTCTTAGCAAGCAGAGGGAAGCAGCATTTGGCAGCTTGCAGCCGTAGTCACATCAGCAACAGAACTGAACTGAGGTTGAGGACAGTGCATGTCCCCATTGGGGGTGACTCCACCCATCTCTTTTTTTTCACATTCTTATTTTCAAAACTGCATGAGCCAAAAAGTACTTTGTCAAAATGAGATTCCTCTTCAGCTATGCAATGGGGCATAATCACTAGAGACCAGCCAAGGCCTAGGTCACCAGCACAGCTGACCCCACTAGCAGCAAACAAGGGACCTTGAACCTAATGGCAAGGAACGTAGCCTGCATTGCACCGTTAATATGTGCCTCTGGAGGAGGATTAACTGTTCAAGGTTTTGCATCAGATCTGGAATTAATCTACAAGTCTGAGACTAGAGCAGGTGCCCTAGAGGAAAGTACAGTCCTAAATGCCCCTAATATGAAGGATCAGTTCAGGCAGAGAGCTGGACCAGCTTCCTGGAGTTTTATAAAGCCGAACCTCTGCGAAGAGGCAGGCTGTGGGCTTGGAGGAGAGAACACAATCTGTTCTGAAATGACTGGCACTTTAGGCATGTGGTGCTTGTGGTTGACACGTGTTAATTCATGCACTGAGAGGTGGTGGTGGTGGTTTCTCCCCCATCCATGTTTCATTAATTATAATTAAAACAAACACACACATACCGAGGAAATTCCTGTTGTCATATAGGGAATACTTAAATTGTATAGCTAATACCTTTCAGGGACCCCTTCTCCAGTTGGGCATGCCAGTTCTCCGGGTCATTCTCCAGGGTTGCTCCATCTTGTTTGGAGGTGAAATTGATTCCCTTCCCCTCCCACTTCCACCCCTTCTCCTCCTCCTCCTTCCCTTCCCTTGGCAGTGGAGACATGCATCATAGGCATTTGGGATCAGAGAATTCCACATTCTTGATCCAGAAGCCTAGGTGTGGCCATTTTGTCATGGCAACTGTTAAGCAAGTAAATAGGGTAGAGTCATCTGACTTGTCTCCAGTGATGCTTAGTTTATTTTGAATTTCTATCGTGTGTCTCTTCTGTACCAAAGTCAAGTAGATAGATAGTACCCTTTGGTTCAGCTCCCAAGTTTTCACTTCTCTCAAATGAAGTTAAGACTTTTTAAAATTAGAAACACATCAGTGTGAAATCCATTTTCAGGCTAGATGGGTTTCCTGAACCTTGTCTTTTTAATGCTTTACTTCTGCTCTTTATTTTTAGCATATCTACTAGACACCAAGAAAAACTATTACTCCTTTTTGCTGGCAGAGTATTCCCTAAGATAGAAAATGACACATGTAGTCATTATATAAATCCTTTTATTTTCCTGGAAGCATCTTGGGCCTCTGCTATTTGCAGCTGTTTCTAGGGAGGAGTAGGCTGGATATCCAGCAAGCTTCGATCATCTCAAATCCAGTGTGCCACTTCTGCCATGGGACCTGAGGCAGCAGAGAAAGAATATACTATCTAAGGATCTGTTAGCTTTTACCCAGAGTCCTAGATCTTCACATATGCAATGCTTTTTAAAAAATAAACAAATGAAAACCTATAAGCTATGATGGAATGAGAAGAAAACCCTTGAACTTGCTTCTCTGCTCTGAGGAGGGCTGAGCTGCTATCCCTGACATCAGACTTCAGGCAGCTCAGTATTGGCCACTCCTTTGCTAGTCACCATGAGGCCACAGTCAATGCAGAGCATAGAATCTTCCCGCTCTGTTCAAACTGAGAACTAGTGTGGTGTCCCCTGCCATGAGGTGAATTGGTATAAACTCTTACAATCTGTCCAAGGCCAAAATTAAAATTTGATTTTTTCCTCTAATAGGTAGTAGGAAGAGAAAAAAAGGAATAGAAGATGCTAGAACGTTTCAGAGAAGGCAGAACACTTTGGTGCAAACACCAGCAAAGTGATTTTTCTCCCAAGGGGATATTTGACAATGTCTGCAGATATTATTGGTTGTCACAACTGAAGGGGTAGGAAGTGCTATTGGCATCTAATGATTTAGAGGCCAGGGGTGATGCTAAAATCCTACATTGCACAGGAATGTCCCCCACAACAAAGAGTTCTCTTGCCCAGAATGTCAGAAGATCAAGATCAAGAGACTCTCTAGAGTCTAGACTAGAGTCTCCTGAATTAGGCAACCTAGATTCTATCCTCTCTCGACCACTAGCTATATGAACTTGGTGGGTACTCCAAACCACTATGGCCCTAGTATCTCTGTACACTCCATGTACTAGTATCTGCATATCCTGGAGACAGGGTAGTTGGGGGTTATACTTCCTGAACTACTGGACTATAGTTAAGGGTCAAATGAGTTTGCAGTTTCTATAGGCTATTAGAAAGTTCAGAGAGTAGAAGTAGAGTTTTTTCTTCTGGAGGGTAAGATAAGCTTAGGACTGGTCTGAATAAGGCACCATATTTCTATCTCTGCTTGCATAGGACTAAAGGGTTTCCTGGGACTCAAGACATTCAGTGCTGAAACTGAGAAGAGTCTTGGGTAAAACATGCTTGGTGACATTGCATAAGATGGTGGTTTTGTCAGGTAGGAAGTTGGAACTACTGATGCTGGCTTTGGGAAGCTACATTCTGCATATACATTTTCTTAGAGGAGTCAGGAAGACAATAAAGGAGAGCTTCTTATCAGGAACTTTGCCCTTATATGCTCTCCAGGAAGGCAGGAAAGAGCTTCTCATTTTGGTGACTTTTTAGGCAATAATACTATTCATGGGCACTGGGAAAAGGAAACCAAGGAAATAAGAAACCCATCATATTTTTCAGGGCTCTTCTTACTTCATATCTGTCCCTAACAGCCATGAATAAATACTTCTTTGGGGGGTCTGATTACCCAAAGGTTGGTAATTTAAGTGCTGTTGAACTTGATGATTCAAGGGACAGGGCCCAGGTGTTCCCAAATAAAGATGCCTTTGGGAAGAGGTCCAGCATCCCACCATAAGTGGCCAGCTGCCCCTTGCACCTTCTTCTTTTCTGCTTGAGGGCCTTTGATTTCCCTGACTTGGCATTTTGTGTCAGAGCCTGCTTCCCACAGCTGCTTCTCAGAGAACAACCCCAGTGTGCATTCTTCTCCACGTGTTTTTCCTCCATAATGAGCTGGCTAGTTTGTGAGCTGTGGCATAAGTGGTTTTCATTTTCTGACTGATGCTCCAGGAATGCCTTTGAAGTCAGACCATACTGCTTCCCAAAGAACTCTGGGATTCTCTGCCTCAGTTGTACTCAGAGGTTGTGTCCGAAAAAGCCCAGCAAGCCCCCATGGAAAGTGTGTGTGGAGGCACAGAAGCCACGTGGATTGGCTGAGTGTGAAGAGTCAAGGAAGTGCTAGAATTGAGAAAGAAAGAAGAGATATGAGGACACTTTGGAGCTATTATGTCCCAGAGGTCTAATGCTTCTGTACTCCCCCTAGATACATATCCTCTTGACTTGGTGCAGCAGCTGTTTGCTTATGGAGCTACTTTAGATTGGTATTTAGCACCTGTTCCCTCAAAAAAATGGCAGTTAATAGTCTTTCAGATCTGCCTGCCTATTTGATCCTGACACTAGGCAACAAGGATGCAAGAACAAGAGATGTCCCCAAACTCAAGGCATTTGGTTTTGATAAGGAGAAACAGAGAAGTAAAGCAGCAAGCAAAAAATGATGTGATAGGCTTGGCACTTATAGCTCATCGGCTAGGACGCCAGCCACATACACCAGGGTTGGCAAGATCGAACCCAGCCCAGGCCTGCCAAACAACAATGATAACTACAACAACAGCAGCAACAAAAGTAGCCAGTTATTGTGGCTGGTGCCTGTAGTTCCAGCTACTTGGGAGGGTGAGGCAAGAGAATCACTTAAGCCCAAAGGTTTGAGGTTGCTGTGAGCTGTGACTTCACGGCACTCTACCAGGGGTAACACAGTGAGATACTGTCTCAAAAAAAAATAAAAAATGATGTGATAAGAACTCTTACCCAGGCTGAGCATGGTGGCTCATGCCTGTCATCCTAGCACTCTGGGAGGTTGAGGCAGAAGTTTTACTTGAACTCAGGAGTTGAAGACCAGACTGAGTAAGAGTGAGAACCTGTCTCTACTAAAAATAGAAAACTTAGCCAGGGGTGGTGGCTCACACTTGTACTCCCAGCTATGCAGGAGTCTGAGGCAGGAAGATCACTTGAATCCAGAAGTTTGAAGTTGAGTTGAGTTACAATGATGACACTTTAGCAAGGGTGAATCTGTCAAAAAGAAAGAAAGCAAAGAAAAAAAAAAAACTCTCACACGAAGAGGCACAAAGTCAGGCTCCTTCGAGAAATACTTGAATTGACTCTGAAATGCCAAAAGCTCTTTTATTCTTCTTGACATGTTCTTTTTTTGTTGTATCCAAAACATGCTCTTGTTTCATAATGCAGTATCTTATTGTTTCTCATTTCTTTCTCCAGGGCTACTGTTGATGGATTGCTTTAAAGTTTTTGTTTCTCTGTATATGGTTTCCTCTACATTGCTATTCAGTCCTTAGTCTTTCATAGTAGATATTTCCTTAAACGTCTGGTGATCTTTAGCTTCCTGCTCACATTTTAAACTGAGGCACTGAAATATTCTGTGTCAAGCATGGACTTCACTGTAGGGTGATCTGACTTGGCTATATCATTAGTCCTAAAATCAGGATCTGTAGATCTTTGATCTTGTATGTTCAGATTGCTGAGAAAAGGCATTTTGATCTCTCTCCCTTGAGAGTGGAGTTGTGACAGTCCTGGACCATCTTAACATTCAGTGTAGAATTTTTAGTTGCTCCTCCTGTGTAAGTTTAGTACCCCTGTCCTCATCTGAGCCTGGTGTCCCCTAGTCCACAGACCGTCTCTAAGAGAAAAAACCTCTAGTCTTTCACTACAGTTGTGTAGGGGATGTGGGGGTCTACCTGTTCTCAGACTTTGCATAGTTTCCCTCATTTTTAGCTCCATCCTCATCCCACTGCTACCAGTTTCTCTGAGGGCTTCTGTAATAGAAGTCTAGCTCTTAGTCTTAGCTCTTCTTACTTCTGGTTCAGGATTCAGTAGGGCAATTACCACTTGCCAACCTGCTTTTTGGCTTCTGCTTCCATTCTTGTTGTTTTCCCCAGTTTTGTTTTGCTGAAAAATAATAATAATAAAAAGATTTTTTATTATTTGAGTGTGGCTTAGGGAGGGAACAGAGCTAAATGCATGAATTCAGTACTTATTTTTTCAAAGTAAAGTGAATATTCTATGTAGACCTGATTTAGACTTTTGAGTTTTCCCTCCAGTTTGTATTTACCTCACAATACATATTTCTCTAAGGCCTATCTTGACTTCCCGGTTCCTTAATTGTTTTGGCCTCACTTATTCAAACATCAGCCTGTGGATATCTCAGTTTTCCTTGGAGGTAGGAGAGCACTAGTAATGCTTCTCCCTTATTTCCCCAGAGGTGAGATTCAGTGTCATTAAGTCATTTGATGCACCCATTGTTATAAAACCACCACTGTGGAGAAGAAAAGAAAACAGAAAAAAGTGGTGCTTACCCTTAGGAATTTAGTGTCTTTGGGTAGGTGGTATTTTACTCTCTTTTAACAAGATGGCTTTTTAGGGGAAAGGAACAATATGAGTTGCTGATTTTTATTACTTCATACTAATTCTCCCTCTCAAAGAAATCTCAAGGCATGAAAATTTCAGCACTCTTCTAACTTCAGGTCACTTGGTTTGTTATCGAGGGTTTTTAATTCCTAGAAAGAAGCTGTAGGCTCCCTGTGTGGAAACAGAAAGTTCCAGCAGAGTAGAGCAGTAGTAGTAGATTTGGGAACATCAGAAACAGGCTCAAGTTCTAGGCTTTGTGTCTCCCTGCTAAGGAACGTGGTTCGTCTCCTAGACAGTCACTACAATGGAAAATTTGAAAATTATGTCCCTCTCCTTTCTAGTACTTCCTTCCCGGGCCCCACTTATACTTGATGTGGATTTTACTGCTTCCCAGACTCCTACGTGAAGTGTGCAGATTTACAGTCTTCAAAGGGTTGTCTGATCGTAGAATTGCTAGGAGGAAGTGGGAAAATGCATGTGTGGCACTTGGCACAAAGCCAGGAATGTACTACATGCTCAGCGAATGACAGCTGCCATGGCTGTGGCTGCTCTTGTTCTAGTTGCTGTGACAGAGGGTGTTTGATGTGAATAAAGCAGGCCAGACAGGTCCCTGGAATGCCAGGCCAGCAGAAAGAGCTTTTGGAGCCTTTTTCTCTTCCTCATTTTATATCTGAAAAGTTAAAAAAAAAAAAATAGACTACTCTACAAGCTGTACTGTCCTCTTTGGATTTTTCACCAACCCAGGAAGGTTTTGTCCTTAGGATCTGATTGCTGGTGCCTTAGTTTCCCAGTATTGTGAAGTGACTAAGCAATAGAAATCACTTGACCAATCTGAAAGAGTGATGATTACAAGTGATAATAAATAGAAATAAATAATACATGATGGTCAGACATGAAGCCATTTCAATAAGAAGATACACGGGCTCAGTTCAAATATTGCTTTCCTGTGCTTTAGAGTGATCTTTAATAGATGATGTTTGCTAAACCAAATGCTTCTAGATTTTTCCCTTGGGGGCATGAGGATATTGCTTTATGGGGAGAGGTCCAGCTGAGTCTGTTAGTCTGTAAACCAGACAATTGACCCCATTGGCTTGACCTCTGGGGTGGGGGTGGGGGTGTCTTGCAGGTCATGAAGACATATCACATGTACAATGCCGACAGCATCAGTGCTCAGAGCAAACTCAAGGAGGCAGAGAAGCAGGAGGAGAAGCAAATTGGTAAATCGGTAAAGCAGGAAGACCGGCAGACCCCACGCTCCCCTGACTCCACAGCCAACGTTCGCATTGAGGAGAAACATGTGCGGAGGAGCTCAGTGAAGAAGATCGAGAAGATGAAGGAGAAGGTACGTATGCTCCAGTGAGAACAGGGGTTGGGGAGCAGCGTTCTGGAAGGCAAGACTGATGGGACTTTCCCAGTGGGCACCAGGAAGAGCAGAATAAGGAATCTCTGGATTCCTTTGGTGCCCAGAGACCAAGTGAGTCCTTGCCATCTCTCCTGGCAGGAATACTTAGATAGATACTGGAAGAACTTGGGCACATGACCTCAAAGTTTTTAACCTCACAGTGGTTCTCAACCTTCCTAATGCCACGACCCTTTAATACAGTTCCTCATGTGGTGACCTCCAACCATAAAGTTATTTTTGTTGCTTGGGGGTCACCACAACTTGAGGAACTGTATTAAAGGATTGTGGCATTAGGAAGTTGAGAACCACTGTGTCTAGCAGATAAATGGGAAATAGTAGTCACCTTTCTGAATTCATTTTCCAAATACAGCTCAATATCCTATTGCTTTAGGGGATGAGAGGAGACTGTTGACCTAGGGTTTGGGTTCAGGAGTTAGGTGTTCAGGGACAGGATAGTGGCACCTCCTTCAGAGTGGCACTGCAAGGATGAAGAATGGTATTTGAAGATAGAATCAAAGTGGGGCATACATCTGAAGTAGGGAGCCTCATTAACCTTTCCTGAAATGATCTACATTGTGCCCTTGAATCTCATTAAACTGAATTAGAACCCAATTTAAGGCAGACGCGCACAGGGAGTAGCAGCACAAATCTGGTTCTTGAATGTACTGTACTTTCATCTTTTAGAGAACAATCTCCCCTTTAAAGAAAAATAAAATTGAACTTCTGTTCCCTTTTCAGCGCCAAGCCAAGTACACAGAGAATAAACTGAAGGCCATTAAAGCCCGGAACGAGTACTTACTGGCTTTGGAGGCAACCAATGCATCTGTCTTCAAGTACTACATCCACGACCTGTCTGACCTTATTGATGTAAGTGCTTAAAGCCAGGGGCCTAAGGGCACCTCTTTTCTGGTTTCAGAATCCTGGTCACATGTTCCCCAGTTCTGTTGTTCAGGCATCTGGGGCATTTTGAGAACAATTATAAAATTAGTAGCCATGATCCATCAGAGGACTTGCCATGTCCCATGTACCAGGTGAAACACTTTATCTCATTCAATCCTAGGAGGAAAACATTATTATTTCTATTTTCACAGATTAATAATTCAAAGCATTTGGATGACTTATGCAGCGTCAGTTAATAAATGACAGGGGTAAAGTTTGCACCTGGGTCAGATTACGAAACCCATGCTTATAACCTCTACGCTCTTCTGTCTGCCAGGAAATACTCCTTTATGTCTGCTTCTTGCACACAGAAACTGAGTGGCAAGACCTAAAGAGTTAGAATTCCATACCTTACATTTCTGTGGTACTCAATGTTTGTCAGGATTAACTCATTTGATTTTCATATCACTCCTTTGGATAAGCATTGCTAGCTCAATTTGTAGATAAAGAAGCTATGGTTTCAGAGGGCTAAGAGACTTACCTGGCCAAAGTGATACTACAGATTAGGGTCCTGTCAGGAAGGTGTCCAGATGCCCTTGACATCTGGCCCACTGTTTTTGATATGTGGGAGAAAGATGATTGAGAAAAGCAGATGAGTAGGCACATGTTTGACATGGGGTAAGCACAAGGAATAAGCTTTTTGTCTCTGGCTTTGTGAGTCAGCCTTGGCCTTGTTTTCCTGCTACTTTCCTTCTACCCTTCTATTTGGGTCTTGTAAGCCCTCTCACCTGCAGACTCAAATCTGGCCCAGTTCCTGATCTAGTCCTAAGGGAAGCTATGTACGTACACCCTTTCCCATCTCTCCTAGTCATCAAAGTGAGGCATCTGGAGCCAGCTGATTTAGCATTGGCACCCCAGTCGCCTGTGCTTGAGGTATATCCCAGCCAGTCTTTTCTCTGAGACCCGACGTTTGCTTCAGGTTCTTGAGGGCGGCAGCTAGGCCTTGCAAGAGACTCTGGCCAGACCTCAGTTTCTCCACAGCAAACCTGCTATACTTTCCAACATCATGTGGAGTTCTGGTCTGAGGTTCTCTGTTACATCACTAGCTGGATCATCTAGATTTGTCACTGACCTGTTCCAGAAATTTGCTTTGTTTTCTGCCCATCCCTCACCCCCTCTAGCAAACTGAAGAAGCGCTCTAGAACCTTAGTTCTTAAATCTGGCCTTACTTCGGAGTCACTTGGGCAACTTTTCTAAAATACAGATTCCTATCTCCCTTCAGCCAGGGATTTTTGATTCAAAAGGTTTCAGTCTCTTAATGCCCTGAGTGTCATGGTCTCACTGGGTAAGTAGAGCCCTGTTCCCTGTCTAAGTACCTCTTTGTTCTCTCTGCTTGTTGATGCCAATCTGAACACTGTCCTCCAATGGAGGTCAAAACCTAAACAAGATCCCTTCTCCTCCTCAGGGAGCAGCTCCTCGCTGTTGGGAGAGAGGCCTGTTCTCAGCATACGCAAGAGGATCAGCTCTTGCTTATGTGTGATTTCTGCTATTTATCTTGCATTTGGTTAAAAAAGAAAAATTAGACTATGCAGACTGTCACACCCCTTTTACTGGTTTGTTCTTTTTCTTTTGCCCCCAGAGCAACTTCCCTACCTTTTTCAGCAAAATGCTGACCTCAGGGGAAAGGAAGCGCTGTTGCTATTTCAGTGACTACCTGTGCAATCCAGAGCTGCCATCAGGTGCACACAGGTGTTTTAAGATTGGTCCAAGAAGCAAGCTGTCTTCTTCCTTGCTATTATCACATTTAAAAAAAAAAAATGTCTGTTAGGAGGGTAATATTCAGGATGTGGTATAAAGTGCTGTTTCAGAAGTAGCCTCTTTAATACTTAGCAGGGAATGGGTCTATGTCACTGTGAGCAACTCCAGGCCACATGGGTAGTAAAGTTGCTCTTATTTCTTTGCTGCTGTGTTTTGGTTGTATCTTATTCTGTTTTGTTTATTATTTGTTCGTATTTTTCCTAGGATGAGACTAGATTCATTATTATTTTTTAAAAGCTGATATTAGCCTGACCTATAAATGCTCAGTAAATATTTATTTGGGGAGAGGCTATGTGCTCAGCATCAGGGGTGCAAATGGAATGTGTTAGTCTTTGCCCTAGAGGTATTCATAAACTATGATGGTATTTTTCAAACCATAAATCAGATCCATCGGGGCAGTCGCAAAATCACTTTTATGGGTTTGACTCATTTTTTCAAATGAATAGACTAGGCCAGAGTAGAATAAGAAAGAGGACATCAAGGTGTATCACACTAGTACGGTCATATTTTATTTTGTGAAGGTTTTATGTTACATGTGTATATGTGTGTGTGTGTTAAAATATAAGATATATTTTTCATGCTGAGTTGGGGGTCAAAGAGAAGTTTGGGAGCCATTGTACTGTGAATAGAAGAAGATCTCATGGTCTTCTCCCTAACTTCCACAAGGGGAAAAACCAAGTGTTTTTTAAATTTGAGTAGCCCCTGGTGCTTTAGTACATGGCTGGGCTGAGCACTCTGTATGTTCATTGAAGGAAGAAAGGAAGAGAAGGCAGAGGAAAAGGATGATCTCCTGAGCCAACATTTGTTTTTCTTTTTGTGCCTTTTAATATTATTTTGAGGTATAATTTACATACAATGACTGAACGTATGTTACAGTTTCCAGAGTTTTTGATAAATTTGTAGAAGCTTGTGACCTACATCTATATCAAGATATAGAATAAATATTTTGATCAAGGCTATAGTTCTGCCACCTCAGAAAGTTCCTCTTATCTCTTCCCAGTCGCTCCCCCACACCAAGGCAACCACCGTTAGGCCGAATGAACTTGTAGTGAAAGAAATCCTGTTTTAGGAGTTCGCAAAGTGGGAATCATACAGCATCTACTTTTCTCTGTCTGGCTTTTTTTGCCCAGGTTTTTGGGCTTCATCCATGTTGTCTGTATGTATTAGTGGCTTCTTCCTTTTTCTTGCTGATCCATGCAATAAAGAAGGCCAAAAGGATGCTCTGGCAAGGAATCGACAGTAAGAGGAGTAAGTGAGGAGCCTGGGCATATTGGCATCCTGATCTTGATGGTATCCAGAACTTGCTTCACGACAGGGGATAAATCTTATTCTAGTCCATTGCCATCTGTGTTATATATGCCATTCTTCCTCCTTCCTAAGGGTTTTGATGCTCAATGTGTACTAAAGGCATTGAGGAGAAGCGCAAAGAAGTTATTTTTGTCAATGCCGTTAGCATTGACACAAGGACTAGCCTCCGACTTCTTTTTATAGTTTGGCAGAGGATTTGAATTCAGACTGTAGGAATCCATGTGAGGCAACTGACACACCAGGAAAACCTTGACTTTAAGCCAAAAAGACATTCTGAGTTCATTTGATAGTGTCTAAGAACTGTAGGCTCATTGGAATGTAATTTTCCTCCCCCATACTCCTGGGGCTCTCTCAACACAGGAGCAGATGGATGAGTGATTGTCCTCATGGGTAGTGGGAGTGTTGTGAATGCTGTGTACGTGGATAGAGGGTCCGTGGTACCATGTGCACCTAAGTCAGACATGAGGGAACTTGACTTTTTCACTAAGAAATTTTATTAAAGGCAGTTATTTTTCTCTTTTGTGTGAACTTGAAGTGAGTGTTATGAAATACTCATTTTTCTTTTCTAGGCCTTCGGTAGAGTCTCTGGGTGAGGATATCAGCTGTGAAAGGGTTAATGGGCTATCAACTCAAGTCATCATATATCTGGATGGGCTGTCATTAAATTCTTATAAAAATTTGATTTCCCCTGAGAGATTTTTTCATCAAACATTTATATAACCCAGAAATGGTTAGGGGAGCCCAGCGTGGCCACAGAACTCATCAGAAGCCGTGGAAAGCTTGCTTTGTCCCTATTGTGAGCAAAATAATGTGCCGCCTCTTCTTAACTGGGATTCTCCTGGGAACAGGATGAAATATTCAAATCTCAGTTACCTAACCGTGTCAGATATTATTTCTTTGCTAAAGGCTCCGTTTCCAGCTATTGCCCTTACAGGTGTTCAGATAGCCAAGATTCTAGAAAAACTCTTTCATATTTCCCTGGTTGGCTAGAGGTGTGGAGGAACCAGGGGGCACACTGTGATGAGACCCCCACTCATGGGCAGAGAAGCTACTGAACCATTATGTAAAGAGAGACAGTGCAGCTCAGCCTGGGAAAAGTCTCACCCTTCCTTTGGCTATACAGAGTGAGCAAAACAAAAAACTTCAGTGCCTTCATTTACCACTTGACTTAGGTCAGGATTCAGCCTAAGTGTGTTATTTCCTGAGAAGCTAGAATCTGTACTTGTGGCATCACTCAACTAAAGTTTATTAAATGCTTGCTGTGAGCAAGGCCTAATGGTAAGGGACATAAAAAAGGATAAGACACTGGCCAGTCCCTCAAGCAACTCGTCTTCTGGTTGGGGTGAGATGAAATAGCAAGTCACAGAATGCGGGAGTGTACTCTGTATCACATGAGGGCTGCAGATGACTGTGGTTCTGAGTTAAGGCTGAGGTCAGTGGCGGCCAGGATTGCAGGTCCACCTGGCTTCCCAGAGGCTGGGAATTTGATGTGGATCTTGAAGATCTCGTCCAATTACAACAGGTGAAAGAAGAGGAGATTTTTGGGGTTGAAGGGCACTGATCAGCAGGTTAGGAGATAGATCAGTATTTGTCTAGCGTCTATAATGCTACATGATGCGAAACATATGTAAATGTCTTACCTACGAGCCTCACCACAACCTATGAGATTCGCGTTGTCCTTGTTTGAGGCTTGGAGATTAAGAAGCTTGCTTATGGTCATATAGAGTTGATTTGAGGCCTCTACTTTTCTAATATGTACCCTAAACCTAATGTCATTGAATTAGAACTGAAGAATCTAAAGAAGAAAATAGAGAGAGATGTTGTTGGATGGCTGGATTGAAAACAGATTATAATTTGTTTTGGCTGTTGGACCTTGCTCAAATTATTTAACTTCACTGAGCCTCAGCTTCCTAGTCTGGAAAATTAAGATAACACCAACCTCATTGGGATTATTATGAGGATTAAAGTGTAGAATGTGTATAAAGTGCTTAGCACACTGACTTACAGTACACTGTGCATATAGTAAGCACACGTAGTGAATAGAAACATTTTCTAAATTTCCAAACTGAGGAAGGTAGATTTTACCTTAGGAAAAAAATACCAGGTATATTAGGGATAATAGCAGTAGGGATATGGCATAATAAAAATCACATTTTAGGCAGTAATGCAGATAGCTCTGCTAAGAGATAGTAAGGGCATGGAAGAGGGTTTCAATAATGAGAAGAGAGGAAAGAGGAATTTCCAAAAATAGGTAAAGGTTTTGATGGGTACCTTTCCTCCCTACCAATTCTACCCCTGACCGCCTGCCCCCCAACACACCCCCTGTGGGCAGTGTTACTTCTGCTCATTAGACACTTACAGACATAGAGTTCATCACCAGGGCCCACACAAGGCTAGTCAGGAAGGCTTATAGGTTCCAGGGCAGCCTGGTGAGACCAGCAGCATCTCCCAGAGGAGGGAGGATCCTGCACGTGCAGCCGCCTAATCAGCCACTTTTGTCTAGCTTCCATTTGCTCTTCCCTCCCAACTGAATTTAATGTCTTTCCATCCTCTGCCTCTAGTTAAGCTGTTAAGTGCTGTTATTCCATTGCAGCCAGGCACCTGCCAGGGCCTGTTGGCACTGAATCCAGAGCCCAGCCCAGCGGATGCTCTCACTGAGCTTCTTGTCAGATGCCAGGAGGCACATCACATGCTTTTTCTTCCCCAGTAGTGCCTGTTCCCAATGTGATCGTGATGAGAGAGAAAGGCTCAGGGAGAGTTAATTTGATGCTAGCAATGAAATGGCAATCAGGCAGATGGCCTTACTCCATCTATGGATTCTTCTCTGATGTTTCTTCTCAGTTTCTGGACCTCAAAGATGCTCAAGGAATAGAGGGGATAATGGATGGCAATGAATCAGAATCACTGGGTCTTTTTGGATGGATGGGGAATGTACTCATTGAGTTACAGGATGCCACTGCTGGAGAAGGCCTTACAGATTACATTTAGACCAGGGATTTTTAGACTTTTTCTCTAGCAGAAGAATTCTTTCTTCAAATCCAACCTTACATAGAATCCCAGAATGTTAAATAGGAAAAAGAACATAGCTGGCTTGGTTGAAATAGGGATAGGAGGCTCTAAGTCCTAATAGTTGGGTTGGGTGCCTTTTTATCCCCTTCTCAAGGGCAGCCTGAGAGCTGACACAGAACCTTAGAACTCTGGTCTACAGCTTGAAAACCACTGCCCTGGGCAGCTCTGTTCATTGTACTATGGAGGAAACAGGTTTAGAGATGGGGAATGACTTTCCTAAGGTTGCTTGATTCTGCCTCTAGTATTTTTTTTATTTTTTATACAGTTGCCCTTACCATTTACTCGTTTCACTGTAGAAAATCACAGTCTCTTACATGATATAAATTTCCCCAGTAACACTTATGTTTAGAACTGCTTAGTCCTTTAAATGCTATTTCATCACCAGGGTCCACACAAGGCTAATCAGGAAGGCTTATAGGTTAAGGGCAGGGTTATCTGTTGTCAGATGCTGGGAAGGAGGGGGCACATCAGAAATCCTGGTCTGCAGCTCAGGCTGCCCTAGAACGTGGGCATTTTGTGAGGATGATGAGCCACACTGCCCCCTACTCTCTCCTTCTCCCACCTAGAGGGTTCTGCATAAATCAGCTGCGGTTACAAGACTCTTGCTCTCAGGACCCTGAGTCCTGAAATGTCCTGGCTTGGTTCTGTGTAGTGACTTAACCACAGTAACCCTTAGGGAGTGGCAGACTGCATTTTTATTGTTGAATTTTGTTATAAAGGCATTTCCCAGATGAAGCTGAAAATGAAAGAAGATTCTCCTTAATTCTCTACTCTTTTCATGTTTATGGGTTATTATTGTACAGGGCTTCATGAAATAATATCATTTTGTCCTTACAAGGTTTCTTCCTTGTAACCACCTCACAGTCCTCTCTGTTTAACCATTAAATGGGGAGTCAAGAACTGAGAACTCTCATCCAGCCTGTGGAAGTCAGAATGTCAGCCTGCCTTCTGCTGCACAGCCAGGTTCTTGGATGTGGTCAGATCTGCCCTGGTGAAAGGACCAGCCCTCTCTTTCACCCAAGCCATGGGGCTGTCCATGGTGTGCTCATGTGCCTTCTCCTTCCCACAGCAGTGTTGTGACTTAGGCTACCATGCTAGCCTGAACCGGGCTCTGCGCACCTTCCTCTCTGCCGAGTTAAATCTGGAACAGTCAAAGCATGAAGGTCTGGATGCCATTGAGAATGCAGTGGAAAACCTGGATGCCACCAGTGACAAGCAGCGCCTCATGGAGATGTACAACAATGTCTTCTGCCCCCCTATGAAGTTTGAGTTCCAGCCCCACATGGGCGACATGGTGAGGCCCTCTTCCCACCTTCTCACCCTCCGCAAGGGGCTTGAGTGCACTGTGTCTAGATTCATTACACAGAAGCCATGTTATTTGGGGGGAAGGGGTGGGGGAAAGACCTGGAAGTGGTGTCCTGTCAGATGGGTGAGGCACATTCCACTCACTGAACAACAGCTACTGAGTGCCTGCCGTCTACCAGGCTGGGCTCTGGACATTGGAGATTAGAGTCCTTGGGGAGCTTACATTCTGAGGAGTAAAGTCACTGAGATTAGGAGAGAGTTAGAAACATGCTTAGGGAAGAACCTCTGAAGGGACCCAGCAGGATCAAAAAAGATAAAAAGCAGCAGGTGTATTCTAAAAACTAACAGTTCACCATGGTGAAAGGAAGGTGGGGGAGAGGGGCACTCCCAGTGGTGAGTCTCCACAAAGTGAGAGCTAAGGTGGGACCATGTCTTAGAGTCTCTTGTGGGGGAGGGAGGGCTAAGCAGGGGAATGATGTGATCCTTTGACATTTGGCAAAGTTCTGAAAGAATTTTTGGCGGGGAGGGGTTAGAAAATTGTGATAAAGTTCTGCTTGAGTATTGAACAAAAAGGAATGGGTGCCTATAGAAAAAGGGCTTAATTAAATAATGCCCCAGTAGGGGAATGGGAGCAGTGTGACCTTGTTTTTTGTTCTACCTCCAATGACTAGAACAGGAAGGGCCAAAATAAACTAAAGTGGGAGGAAAGAGAAGCTCCTGGTTTTTTAAATGCTGTGAATCATTTGGTTCCACTTATGATGGTTGTATATACAGGTCAGAATGAAACTCATTCCTATGGGTTGGAATTCCATTTCACCTACTAGTTAAATCAGAAGGAGGATGTAAGACTTATGTAATAGAAAAAAATCAGGATGGGCTTGGCGTCTGTAGCACAGTGGTTACAGTGCTGACCACATACACCGAGGCTGGCAGGTTCGAGCCCGGCCTGGGCCAGCTAAACAACCATGACAATTCCAAAAACAACAACAAATAGCCAGGCATTGTGGTGGACACCTGTAGTCCCAGCTACTCGAGAGGCTGAGGCAAGAGAATTGCTTAAGCCCAGGAGCTTGAGGTTGCTGTAAGCTGTGATGCCATGGTACTCTACCAAGGGTGACATGGTAAAACTCTGTCTCAAATAAAAATAAAAATAAAAATAATAATAAATAAATAGAAAAGATCAGGATGGTGAGACCTTGTCTCTCCAAAAAAAAAAAACACCTGTAGTCCCAGCTACTTGAGAGGCTGAGAGGCAAGAGGATCGCTTGAGCCTCAGAGTCTGAAATTGTGCTGGGCTATGATGAAGCCACTGCACTCTAACTGGAGCAACAGAGAAGACCCTGTCTTGAGAAAAAAAAAAAAAAAAGCAAAATGGATCTCCAGGCACGGTTGGATTTAGGAGCAGGAACTTTACCAGGACTGTTCTCTCTCTGCTCCACTTCCCTTCCTGTGTGTTAGCTTTGTTTCAGGTAGGCCCTTAGCCCATGAAGGCAGGGTGACCTGCATTTCCAGCCTTCTTTCTTGATAGGCTGAAATCTAGTCGAAAGAGTATCTGACTCCCTCCTTGAAGGCCTCTCAAATGTCTCATGTGTTTTGATGGGGTAAAGTGCTTATCCATAAGCCATTTGCAGTTGTGTGTCGTTGGCTGGTGGTCGTATGCCTGGGTCCCAAGTCCATCCAAAGCACATGGCCTGAGGTGTAGAGTGGGAGGTTCCCTCCAAAGGGCAGTCAGACCAAAGCTGCCAAGAGGAGAAGGAGTGGATGCCAGGGGACCAAAAAACAGCAACACCCTCTCCCTAGGAATGGTGCTTCCCTGAGGATTAGCATCCAAATTCTTTAGAAATATCTGTACCAAAATGACAACTGTAGCAGTGTAAAGAGGATTTTCTGTCATCAGTTCTCCACTATGGAGAGGAAGGAGGTCATTTCTATCCTAAAGGCAAAAAATGTGGAGATGATTTCCTTCCTTTCCTTCTTAGGGAAAATCAGACCATTTCCAGTTTGCTTCCATTGTTGTGGCTTAGGAAACGTCAGCATCTGAACAGATGGGGAAGTGAGATGGCAGCATGTGCAATTAGAATTGGGGGAGGGGTGTCACCAGGCCCCAGGAAGCCTCATTCCTCACCTGCCCTGGCTTCTGGTCAAACTTGCCTTCCAAGCCCCTTCTCCAGCTGCTGCTGAGATTCCTTCCCAAGGATCAGTGGAACTTGGGGACCAGCTGAGTGGAGTGATACATTTTCTGGTATCGGCTGAGTTGCCTTCTGAGCCAAACAGCTTGTCTCCATAAAGGGGGAATCCAGATGCCGGGTGCTCAGGCCCCCTCCTAACCATGTCAGGGTCTTATTTCCATTCTCTAGAGTACAGCTGGAATGCATTACCTTGCACCCTGGTAGTGGACCATTGCCAAAGTATGTATCAACAGCTCTGCTGCTTCTTAAAGGAACAGGCTTAGAGGAGGTTTTCCCTCTGTGATTCCTCCCTGCTAGGTCTGGTTTACTTTAAAAATCAATGGCTCACTCCTCTGCCTGGGCCTTCCCTCTGTGTGATAATAGCTGATCAGTGGCTGAGCCAGGCAGGGGCCAGGGCCAGCCCTGCAGCTTGTAAAGGTTGTACATTGCAGCCTAGCCTTCATATGAGTGAAAATAAAATGAGATGGGAGGATGAGTTGTTCTTGGTTCCTACAGCCAGTCTATCCCCATCAGTGTGGGTTGTCTGTAGATTATCTAGGCAACAAGAAGGAGCTGCCTGAAAGTCCTTGAACTAGGGCCAGAGTTCGGGTGGCATTTTGACCGGAAGCCCTGTAATTGGACAAGGCCCCACACTGACTGTTGTTCTGGGGTGCTCAGCACATGAAATGATGCCAAGTGCTCTCAGATGTACTAGGAGGAGGTACTTGGCTCCACTCTTGGTGCCCCCAGAGGCTTGTGGGGCTCTAAATGCCTGACCGGTGACATCAGGCAGCCAGAGAGTTTCACTCTTGGCGCTAACACATTCTGGCCACTGATCTTTCTCCATTGTGTCTGCTTATCCAAGAGCCAGAGTGAAGTCAGCGCTCTTCAGATCTGAGAGCTGGCTCAGCCCAACCTTCCAGCTGGGGGAGGAGGTCAAGTCAGTTGGGAGCTTAAAAGCCAATGGAGGAAAAGGTCAAGTCCCAGCCCCCTCCATTTAAAGAGAGGTTTTGTCTTTGCAAGCAAGAGAATGGTCTGTGGGCATGTGAATGTGCCCACTCATTGCTGAGGAGGCCGAGGACGCTTCTATCCGGATGTCTCTGCAGACAAGAAGCTAGAGGACACATGGTAGTGAGGTGTCAGGAGCTACCTTCCAACTCTCCCAGCCTTCTACCATGTGTCATCCTAAGGACCATGGGTGACCCCATGCCATAGCCACACCCCCACCTAGAGACAGTGGATCAGCCTTTCCTTTGCAGGGGAAAGCTAGTTGACAATGATCTTTGAGAGAAGGGCAGACTCTTTTACCACACAGGGCTACTAAAGACCCAGGCTAAAATGATGGCTCTTTGGAAAATGCTGAGTCCCACCAGATTCCATGCCCTCTGGGGCCCTCTAGCATGGCCTGTGGTATGATCTTATTGCTGGCTTCACGTTCTCTCACTGAGTCGGAGCTCTCACACGTGGCCTGGATTTATAAACATACGTTGGCTGCCAACAGCAGCAAGTTAGCCTCCTGACCCACTTCTTTCCTGCTCTCACTCCGGTGTATGAAGGGGGATGGAGGGAGGGACTATAGAGGTGGCCACTTGGACTTCTAGCAGGAAATCCTTGCTGTGCCAAAGCATTGTGTTGCTAAGCTGGGGCTGCCTGAGGTGCTCTTCTCTACCTCCTTCACCTTCCATGAAGCTGCATACCCTGCATAGACCTCCCCCGGCTAAGAGGTGAGCTCCAAAGAGAGAGAGAGACCTGGTCTTTCCAAACAGATTCCCCTCCCCATTCCTTTCATGTGCTATTTGGTCTTGGAAGAAGTCCACGCATGTTGGTTTTGGATTTTGTTTCAACATAGAAACAGTAAGCTTTACACCTTGAATAAGAGTAGTTTTATTACCAGTAATGGGAACTGTGGAACCACCAAAAGAAGTATATCCTCTTCCTGACCTGGTGTTGCTTTCTTTCTGGCAGGCTTCCCAGCTCTGTGCCCAGCAGCCTGTCCAGAGTGAGCTGGTGCAGAGATGCCAACAACTGCAGTCTCGCTTATCCACTCTAAAGATTGAGAATGAAGAGGTGAGTTTTCTGCTTACAAGGCTCAGAGCCATCTTCTGAGTTGAACCTCTTTGCTGCTGCCCATCTGGGAGCAGGTGGAAGAAGCATGCAGAGAATGTCCGGGCTGCCACAAACATTTCCTAGCCAAATGTAGGCTTGGACTTTCCCCCTCTGTTACATCCTGCCCTTGAACTCCAGGAAGTTGCTCTTGCATTGCCAAAGGTTGTGGTCTATTTTGAGCTTTTGCAAAATGCTTTTTTTCCCCTCTACACATTTAATCAAAATGGCACTTGGCAGCTGTGTGAACAATATTGTGTCTCTGAAACCACCCCATCATGCCTAGCTTTTTCCAACATTTTCAAACAAACAGAGGCCTTTGACTTTGACACTTCAAACATCTCCATTCCCTTAGGAAAGGCTGACTTTCTTCTGGGACCAGTGTATTTGCTCTCAACAACCAGTTCAAAAGGGCAAGTATGATTGATGATCCAGTTTTATCTTGAGCTCAGTTGGCTTTTACCTTGCATCTCAGCAAATCTTCTTTTTCAAGGAATATTAGGCAGGATTGGAGATGGGTCACTTAGTGTGCAAATGAGGAAACAGGTTCATCAGTTTGTTGAAAGTTATGAAACAAAACCTGGGGCTTTGCAGAACTAGGCCCATCACAAATTTTAACTAGCTGTTTGAGTAGTGGGATTGGCTTGGATTTGTTTCATTCTCTTTCCCTTAGCACTTCTGTTACAATGAAGAGCTAACATTAAATTTTAAAAGTCAACATTAAATAAAAGAGCTAGGTCAAATATGTAGCTTGAAGGGGGCAGTGGTCTATAGGTTCTCTTGGAGAGAGTAGCACTGCGTAGCTGAGTCCATATGATGTTTATCACTCACTCAGCCCTGTCCGGAGGAAGCAGAGTTGCACCCTCTGGTGGCATTCTCCATCCTCCCCCAGCCTACTCCCTCCTCCACTTCTCCAAGCTTCTCCATCACCTGCTTCTTTGCAGCCCCCCACCCCCCATACATTATGTTGGCGATTGTCATTGCAGGTAAAGAAGACAATGGAGGCCACCCTGCAGACCATCCAGGACATTGTGACTGTTGAGGATTTCGATGTGTCTGACTGCTTCCAGTACAGCAACTCCATGGAGTCTGTCAAGTCCACAGTCTCAGAAACCTTCATGAGTAAACCTAGCATTGCTAAGAGGAGAGCCAACCAGCAGGAGACAGAGCAGTTTTATTTCACGGTAAGGGAGTTCAGTGGCCTTTAAAGAGCCTTAGCAGGCACACAAGGGAGATTTGGCACTCAGCGTCCTTGTTGAGTGTCTGATGGGCAGGCCTTGAAATCCTTGATTTGAGTCTGGGCATATTCTGAGACCATCCCTGCACTTAAAGAAACAAACAGCTACAAAGTGTATATGACTAACAGGTACCACCACCCCCCAAGAGAAAAGATCCTCCCAAGTATACTGCTAAGATTTTCCTTTTTAAGACATGTTTAACCAGCTAGTAGGTTTTCATTTGAAAGCTTCCTTGTCAGCCATAGGGGATCATGAAAAGGGGACTTCATCATTTAGTTCATAGGAACTACATCCAAATATTCTAGATAGCACGTACCTTGTTTTTAAAAGTATGTCTTTTAAGTAAGTCTCTTCTAAGTGATATGATGACATTATTTCATAACTTTTATTATTAGGAAACTGTTTTTCCTAATTATTGCTGCAATTTAAAGGGATGGGTAATGTGTAGCATTGCTGTTTTGCAGAGAATTCTAAAACATTACATTTTGTTATTCATTTGTTTCCAGTCGTCTTTTAGACAGATGGACTGATTTTTTTTTTTTTTAAGTAGCGTTAATAGTCCTTTGGAAGGTTGCTAGTTGGTCTTTAGTGCTGCTTTTTAATAATTAAGTTATTTTGAGCTTGCCAAGTTGAATTTATTGCCTGTGCTAAAATTTATTTCCTAATCTGATGACCAAGAAAGGAAAAATTAAGTTTGCAGATGTGAAATGAAATATAGCCAGTGAATGTGTATACTGATTCTGAATGAAAGGAATTAGCTTGTTTTTCAGTGAAGACACACAGTCTGCATGCAGTAAATTGAATTTTTCCTCCAACTGGAACAATTTGTTTAATTCTTTGAACACTGCCCTTTCTCTATTAAGAGCCCTAATGATTTGTTAACTTTTCTTTAAGAAATCTGTTTTTTAATTAGTTAAGCTCAGACTTCAGGTTTTTTTTTATCCTAACGAAAACTGCTAAAAGGGAATGATTTATTAGTATTGTTCTTCTAAAACAACTTTTTAAATTATCATACAAAGTAAAACAGGCTCATTATATAAAATTTAGAAGGAAAAAGAGGAAAATGAAACTGTCAGTAGTCCTACCATCTATAGGTAATGGTTTAGGAATATATTCCCTTCTAATCTCTTTCTTGTGCATACCCAAACATATGAGAGCATGTATTTATCATTTTATTGAAAAAAAAAAAAAGGGAAACTGCCACACATATTGTTTTACAGTCTCCGTCATTTAATTATAACATTCTTTACGCATATTTATAAGTAAAATACTAAAATCTACACAAGAAATGATTGACATTTTGGCTCATTCATTCGTTTTTGTGAGATAGTTAACGCACTGCCTGGTTTCCTAGTTAGTGCACCGTATATGCTAAAAGCTTTCTTTCACCGTATTTCTTTCTTCATTAGTCATTGAATTACTCGATGATCATTTATTGAGGATTTGCTCTTTGCCAAACTTTGCTATAAGTTGGGAACACTGAGAGTATAAGATGAAGAGGGAATGATGGGATTGGGCATGTAAAGGGATAACTTTCATTTTAACTTCATATTCCTAAACAGTTACAATAGAATTGATTTTTATAATTAAAAACATAGAAAAATTTTTAAAATGAATGCTTGCACATCTTCCTGAAAGGAGACCAGGATGAGTAGAAGTGAGGAAGCATCACACACAAAGTGACTTTTGGGCTTGATCTTGATGGATGGAGCAAAGCCGGCAGGGAATCAGGGAGGGGGGAGGCGGCATTCTTTGAGGGAGGAAAGAATAGCATGTGCAAAACATGAAGGGATGCAAAAACCGGGCTTAAATGTTAAGAGAACTTTATGACTATAATGAGGGACGTGTCACCTCCCCAAGCTTCATTATCCAAGGAGCTTGTTGAACTCTCTCTAGAGGGTTTTAATAAGATGATTGTTTGGCTGGTCTGTCTGGACTGCATAGATATAACACTATTTATGACCCAATCTTGTTATGTTGCTGAGTATTTCCATTTTTGAGGTTCAGTAAGAATTTGGATTTAAAAAAATCTGTGTTTAAGACAGTCTTTGTCAGAATTGCTTTTGGCTTTAAATGAAATTATACAATTTATGTTCAAGGTTGGCCTTTTGTAAAAGCAGGAGTGACCGTATGCAAATTGGTGACCTCTCAAATCCTGTCCACCTTTTCACCTTCTGTCTGGAAGCATGGATGTCCTCTAACCCATTTCCTGTCTTTTGTGGCCCTAACGCTACTTATCAAAATTTGTGTGCAAATTTCCTTGGCTAGCAGGAAGAGTTTTTGTCTGGACTTGTCTAGTAATGGATTTACAAGAGAGTTCATCATTTTTGTGACGGGTGCTTAAAATGCATCACAAAATTCATTTCATGATAAAAGGACTTTTTGCGGGTAGTGAAATAGACATATAAGAAAAGGAGGCACCTAGGTTAAACAGAGTGCCTTCCACTTTACCACATGACCCGTATAAAGCCAACACAACTGCAGATGTGCTTTTTTCGTCTGTTGTCTCTATAAACGTTGCCCCTGTATTTTTCTGTGCCCTTCAAAGCTGTCAGAGCAGTGCATCCTGGAAGCTCCTTTTGGAAAGCTGAGAAAGGAGTCCCTTGTCATGACCTGACTCCTGTGTAGTATGTCTAGTGAACAAAGGGCTCCAAGGAAAGCTTTCTGACCACCGGTGGCTGTCATCAGATTGATTTGCCCAGATGACATCAATTAGAAATTTGAAACATCGTCTATAAAGGTCACTTTGCTTGCGAGAGTCTCAGGAAAAAAACCATGAAATGTTAAAACTTGAAGTGATGTTTAAAAATCATCTAACCCAATCTTCTCATTTGAAAGATTTAATAAATCCAGAGGATGGGTAGCTTGTCCAAGGTTCTCAGGAAGGGCTGAATGGAAACTCTGGTCATCTGGTCTCTATCCACAGGTCACCTTTTTCTCTGCACCCTGCTAAAGAAGCTGAGGTGAAGGGAAAGGCTCAGGAACGGCTCAACAACTTCCCCGTCTTACATGCCCTGAGAGAGAACGTGTTTTCTGATCTCCTTGGCTTTGTGTTTATCATTCATCTATTAGAGCACATAATTCAGTAATGCCTATTTTTTCCCATTGCCTTTTTTATTGTGATTGTTAAAAACAGATTTTTTTTTTTTTTTAAGATCCAAAGATTTCAAATGGGCATACAGGAGAAGTATTCTCAATTCTAACCCCTTCTCCCCTCCCTTCTGCTGGTGATGGAAACCAGTTTCTTTTGTGTCCTTCAGGGAGAGTCTATGCCTGGGCAACAACTGGCATATACACAACAAATTACATTAGAAATGTAATGGAATAAAACCGAAGTGTGAGTAGAAGTAGTCCTTTCATACTGTTCTTCACTTTATTGTCTTCAATTAATTTCCTTTGGATATTATTTTAATATTAGTCCCAAAAAATCTACTTCCTTTTTCAGTGGCTGGACAGAATTCCATCACACGGATGTGCCATCACTTATTTAACCAATTCCCTGCTGATAGGCAGCAGTGTTCACTGTTTAGCCACGGATTATCAAAGCTTTATTAAGGCTGGTGTTTCTCCTAAGTGTATCTTTATATGAGGAGACGGATCATGAGGTTCTTATATGAGGAATAGAACAGGGAAGGGGTTAAGGATTTTAGCTGATAAAGTAACAAAGCTAGAGGGCCTGAATTCTTAGGGACTGGTCTGGGTAAGGTAATAGGAGAGGTGGTAGTGTCTTAGCCATTGGGGCCCTTAGGGTACTCTAACTTCTGGTCTGGGATCTATCCTGGGATCTCCTGCAGGCTGTTAGTAAATGTGTGCTAAGCAGGTACAAATGAGTGAATGCCTCTGCCGTGTCAATTAAACTGGGGAGATGTGCTCCATTTGAAGTTTACTCTATTATGTATTCTGTCTGACAGCTGTTTCCTGTTTTAAAAATTGACGAGGAGGAGGGGAAATGTCAGCGTGCAATGGATGGTGGGGAAGCAGCCACATAATGACATCTGTGTATCTCTGTGCATAGTGTTGGCTAGGCATAGCTCACGCCTCCTGCCCACCCCACCCCCTTGCTGCAGTGGAAACTTACGGCCTTGGGTTCACACAGATAAATCCAAAGTATAAGCAAGATCCTGTGAGTTTTTACCCCTGTGGTAAGAGTGTATTTAAAAGGAAAGATGTTTTGTAAAAATTAAAAGCATTCTCGTGCCTCTTACTAATTTGTTTTAAAAGGCTCAAAGCCTTCTGATTTGATCCCACTTTCTTAGATTTTAGCACAAAGCAAAGAAGTTTATGGAAGGAATGTTTTAAGTTAAGTGAGCAGGTGATTCAGGTATAGGGATAAGGAACACTTTTTGAGCACCTGCTGTGTGCCAGGCTGTGTGTTAATCAAATAATGCTTGTTACCCACTTTCGTTCTCAACAACTTTGTGAAAAAGATACTATTTCCATTTTTCAGATGGAAAAACATAGACTCAGGGAGGTTAAATGTTTTGTCCAAGATTAGAAGAATTAATAAGTGGTTAGGACTAGAATATTCCAACTCACTCTTTTTCATTGTAATGCAAATAAAATATCTATCTGGGAGGGAGGGCTCAGAAAGAAAAATTATTCTATTAATATTTTTTAATAAATAAAAGTCATTGCTGACAGTTAATAACCAAATCGGAATTATTGGGACATGGTTTAATTAATGAAATCATAAAAACTACACTGAAGTTTCACAATGGTAAACAACAAACACAATAAAAGCCCTATTAGACTCTGCTTCCCTTCCTACTTTTTTGAAGAAATTCTCAGTTTTGATCCTTTTGAGTGTGAAATGGGCACTGAGTGTAGGGGATGGGCACTGAACAGCTGTGTTTTAGGAACTTAATTTTATTTCGGTGATACCTAAAATGCAACATTACCCTTTCTTTTGCTTCCCCATTGAGGAAATGCCCAGCTAATCACTTTACTTTCTTAGGTGTTTGGGTTTTTTTTTTTTTAATTAATTAATTAATTTATTTATTGAATGGCAACTATGTACATTAATGCACTTCTGGGGTACAGTGTGGGGTTTTCACATGCAATCTGAAATACTTCCATCAAACTGCTCAACACAGCCTTCATGTCATTTTCTCAGTTATTGCTTTAAAACGTTCACATTCTACTCTTAGAAAGATTCACCTGTACCCCTATAAGATAAACCTCAGAAGTGATCCCTCCAAACCCCCTCCCTCCACCCATTCACTCCTCCCTTCTCCCTCCCCCCTCCCCATATTCTTAGGCTATTTGGTTATAGCTTTCATATAAAAAGTATAAATTAGTTTCATAATAGGGGTGTGTACATTGGATATTTCGCTCCGCTCGCACTGTCATCTTAGGTGTCTGTTGAAGGAAGCTGAGTATAGTGTAGGAGTGAAACCAAAGAAAACTAATTACCTAATATTGGAACAGTGACCTTAATTGCTCAAGGAGGGAATTTTGAGATTTGAGGTAATAAACAGCTCTTTTCTGGCCTCCTGGTCTCCAGAAATCATTGAAAGCCACCTGTTCTCCCCTTGCTTTCAGCTGTCTCAGCTCCTTTATCTGTGTGTCTGTCCAACGGCAACTGGAATCTTCCAGCTCAGCTCCACCGTTAAAGCCGATATGCATCATACACATAAACGCTGACTTATGGGCGAGTTAGGGAGGTGATAAATAGCATGCCTGCAAACTGTGGGGTGCCTTTATCTTCCCACTCCCAGCTCACATAGACGGAAAACTCCCAACCACGGTTTCCACACTAGTATTAGGGATGCAGGTCATACTTTGACACAGCTTTGATCCTTTAGGGTTTAATGGAAACTGAAAAGGTAATCCATCATACCCCTTTATCAGATTATTATTTATTTTAATGGTTCACCAAGTGGCAGCCACGGTTAACGAGTGAATTGTGAACACGGATGAAAAAATGATTTCCAGAATCACAAGTAGAAACATGAATGAAAGGAAGGAATTTGCATCCATCTCCTTTCAGAATTTTGGCTGTTTTCTGAGCAGTCTGGTCTGGTTTTGAGGGTTACAGCTTCTTGGTGAATTTTCCTCATTAGGAACCCTTTAAATGTCTCCTGGGATAACCTTCCAAAGAGAGGCTTTTGAAGATTGCATTCTTAGCAGTGATGTTTCCTGAAGGCTTTTCACCTCTGAGCCCTAAAATAACTGTTCCAAGTCCACAATTAGGCATTGGTTGGGGATTAGGATGTCACCCAGGGAAAACTGACAGCAGGTGAGCTGGCAGCTGGAGCAGATGGAACAGGAAAGGTGACAACAGAGCCTATTCTCATGCAGATGTTCTTGTGCAAAAGCATAAAGGAGCAGAGAGAACAGGTTGTGAATAAGGCAGCAGAAATGATCTGGTATAGAGTGTGTTTTGCTTTGTTTTATATTTAATTTAGAGATGAGGGGCATACTTAGGGGCTTGATTTTTATCTACTGAGGAGGGTTCTATCCAGAAGAGAGACTGAGGAGGGTTCTATCCAGAAGAGTGTGAGACTACTTGTTTATTTACCCATTCTTCATGCATTATATTGAGTATCTGTTAGGCATGATAGTAAGCATCAGGGATGCAAAGAATAATGAATGACATGGTCTCTGAGCATAGGGAGGAGGCAGTCTAGGAAGAAAGGCACGTGCGTAATAAACCCTTGGCTACAGGATTGTATGAGAAGTGCTGTCATGGAGATTTTTAAGGAACATATAGGACCATCAGGGTGAGCGTGGGAGGGTCAGGGACTGCATCCCAGAGAAAGCAGATTTTTCTTTTGTTTATAAGAGAGAATTAAAGCTTGCAGTGCAAAGTTAACATTGTATAGAAAAGTACAGAGTAAAAGTAATGTACATTTTTTTCACTTTACTTTCTATTAACCTTGTGGTAATATCCATAAAGTTGAAGGTTTGATGTATAATTACATATACATATATTTAATACACTTTAAAAGACAAAACTATTACAGTTTAAAATGTTTTATCTACTTACCAGCTCAACAATCTTACAGTGACTCAGGGGTCACACTGAATCCATGTGGGTTGCCCTGCTTTTAGGCTTCTGAGTTAGACATGGGCAGATGACCCCCAATCTGGCAGATGAACTTCTGTAGTAGCAAACAGCCAAGGCAAACTAAGATCCCAAGAACAGCTGTAGGGGACGGTGCAAAAGTCACTGTGTGAAGAGTTTAAGGGTATAGAGTCCGGGCCTGGCACTACTACTTCACTAGCTTGCTATAATCAGAGCAATTTTATTGACACCTCCCTCCCCTGAGCTCATCTTCTTCTCTGTAATAAGGAAATAATAATGTCTACCCTATGTGCTATAAAGAGTTATTTATAATGAGAGTCAAATGAGAAAAATGTATGCTAAAGTGCTCTAAAATAGCTTAAGCTGCTACACATATGAAAAGAATTAATACTATGAAGCTTAGTTCTGCTTTTCTCCTGCTCTGTATTATAATGAGTGGAGCATTTTATCCTAAAGGATAAAAGCACACGCCGTATCATCAGACTGCGTGCATTTCGATACTGAATCCACCACTCACTGTTTGACCTTGAGCGACTGAATTAAAAACTCTCCAAACATTCATGCCCTCATCTGTCAAATGGGGATAATGATAATAATAGTACCTAGAGTTATTTTGAAGATTTGATGAATTGTCTGTCAAAATACAGTCTCTCCCTGGACAGAGGAGAGAGAGCAAATCTGAAAGTGCAGCACAGCAATCACATTCTGATTGTTAGAGCAGGTAGGATTACATTCCCCAAACCCATGTTTGGAACCGTATGTGTGTATGCAAGTGGGGTGTGGCAGCCCCTTCCTCTGAGTGCTCAGCAATCCCACGCTTTCCATAAAGTCTCTGTCAGAAGGGAGGAGGCTGATTAGGATGTGGCTCAGACGAAGATGCTGTGCATGCCAGGCTTGCAGCTGAGGCAGGGGCTGAGCCTGCCATTGGCCCTGATCCTGTGTGATGGAATGCACTTGGGGAAGGGGCGGGACAGGGTGGGATGTCCATGGAGGTGTCCTCATACCAAGAAGAGGGGGACTCAGGAATCTGTCCACCTTCCCTGTTCTTCTTCAGGGAAACCAAAGGAGACAGATGAAGGGCTCTAGGAAACAGTCTCTATATGCCAGCCAACATGGAGCTCCTAGTAAAACATACAGCAGAATACTAATCCAGCATGAAAATCAGCAGCCGCCTGTATGCTTAAAGAAATAAAAAATGAACCTGGTGTAAATTAGGTCAGAAACCAAATAACCTCTAAAAAAGGGAATTGAATTGTCCTACTGAGCATCTGTAATTTTTTTCCTTCTTTGGGAAACTGATAACTCTTTCTCCTCCTCCTCTCTTAATAGAAAATGAAGGAGTACCTGGAGGGCAGGAACCTCATCACTAAATTACAAGCCAAGCACGACCTTCTGCAGAAAACCCTAGGAGAAAGTGAGTGTGGGAACCCTCTGCTAGGGTTGGCAGTGAGAGCAGCTCAAGCTTTCTTGCTGAGCACACGCCTCCCTCTTCAGCCAAGTGGACTCGATCTCGTTATTTGAATGCTTTTCTTTTCCTGGTCTGTTTGATGTGGAAGCACATGCCCCAAATGACTGCTTGAGTAATGGGGAAGGCCAATGTTTAATGAAGCACTAACGTGCATCATCTATTTGTTTAAATGGAGCGTGTCTGCTCTCCACCCAGTCCCCCTCCTCCTCCTCTGCTGTGAGTTGGGTAAAAGGGCTCAGGGGTTATTCAGTCTCCAGACACTTTGTTAAAAACTCTCAGTTCCTCTGTGGCAGGACTGAGGCTGGAGCAAGAAGGTAGGAAGCCAGGTGATGAGATACCCAGCTGCTCTGGGGGGAGGAGCGGATCTTCAAATACAGAAGATGTGGACAGCCTGCTGCTGTCCGTAGCTTCCAGGGAGAGTATCATTTTCCTTCTTCTATGAAGGGTCCTGATGTTGTTCAAGTGCTTTGAAGGGTCTCTCTGCTGTGGTCATGTTCAGGCCATGGTGCTGAATGGACTGTCTTGTCTCATAGGATGCTTTTAACCAGACTCTGGAAAGTAGCAAGGCAGAGAACTGGACGGGCACTCTGCAGTTTCTCTCCTCGGCTGTCAAACAGAAGGCGGAGGTTTAAATAGAAGTTTCCCCGGGGTTTTTGGCATCCAGCCCAGGTCTCCTGCCTAGCTCTTAGCATCCTATGATTAATGGGATTCCCAAGTTGGGGATGCCTCTGAATGCTCTGCCCTTCTTCCCTCCCCCAACTAATCTCCTCACGTAAAGATGTAAGGGAGAGGAAGGAGGGGGCTGCAGGGAATATGTGGTAACGTCAGTGACAGACAAGCCTGCACTTAGAAGGAGCTCGAACATCTTTAAATAAATTCTTGGGCACTCTTCAGATGAATTGCACCAGTGTAGGAAAGTTTGCAATACTCACTGGCCCCAGGAATTGGAGCCTCATTTTTTTATACCCGACCTTCCTACCTACCCTTTTTGCTCTGTCCTTTTCCTGCCTGGGACAATTCCCCTAGATGATTAATTGTTTTCTGTAGTCTTTGATCTTGTGATTTCTCTCTGTCTCTCTACCTATCTGCGTCTTTTTTTGTACCCCTCCTCAGCCCCATATCTTGTGATTTTTAAGGTGTTTTCTTTTATATGAAGGAAACTTGTTAGTTAGCTTATGTTTCTCTTTCCTCCCCGCTATCTGAGGGACTCAAACCAAGCAGGTTTGGCCACGAAGAGCCAAACTTTGCTTATAGAAAATCTTTACTCTTAGATTATCAGATTGCTCCATGGACAATTAGAGGAAAGAAAGCCCAGAACTATTTGAAGCAAATTATAGCTGTTATTTCTTTTTGTCAAGACAATCTGAGTATAGCCTATGAGTAAGACAGGAACTGAGGCCTTGGGGTCACAGGTGGGTGTGTATGTGTATGTGAGTGAATGGCTTTGCTCACACATGTATGCACCAGATGTACTACTATGGAGGCACGAAGGTTGACCATTCATTAATAGTGTAAGTTGCTTTAATCTAAAGATGATGAGTTCTAGCAATAAACAAAAAAAATGGTAAAATCTTCCCATGTGCAAGTCATCATGTCGTTGCCTTCTGTATATATTTGTCACCATAATGCCAGAGTCCCTTGTTCTTGCCACAGAGGGATAATTGATGTGTATGACTATTCCAGAATGGAAATGGGACAGATGTTGAAAATAATGGCTCAGAATAACATTTTTGCAGATGAAAGCCGAGCTTTTAGTAAGGAGAAGCTGTTAGGGGTGGGGGTTGGTTTTACTTAAGATGAGCTGAACTGTAATCAACAATTAGCAACCTTTAAAGGGAAGGAAAAGCCCTTCCCTCCTGCAGCCCTTGGAGTTGCCTTTCCCAGAGTTTGGATGAGAAGTGTGGGGGCTGATCTTTACTTCCCCAGCTCAGCACCTGGGTTTTGCCCCTGGTTTAAATATTAGAGGTCTGATAGAGATCAACCTTCATTAACTGTGGACCCAAGGGAAGCAATATATATTACGTCAGGACCATGTACACATGCATGTATAATTTTTAAAAACATAAGAACACTTTTTATAAGCATTAGGGTTTTCTATTTCATTTTTTAAAGCTGGCAATGACTCACTAAACTATTAGGCCCCACTATTGGATTAAGAATCATGATTTGATAGCAGTATTAACATTAAGTATCTTCCCTTCTCCCCAAACAGCTTCTATTTCGTCCCTTCCCAACCCTAACTGTGTGTGTGTGTGTGTTCATATACTCAAGAGCAAGCAAGCTGTTCCCCACCCCGACACACACCCCATATATACACATAAGAGAAGCTGAAGAGCTGAATTTTATCTCTGGGAAGGCTTCTAATAATTTCTTCCATAAAGAATGATCTGTCCTGCTATCGTTCCCCCCAAATCCACCCCTATTTTCCCATTGAAAAGGGAAATTGGCAAGTGGCGCCTGTGGCTCAAAGGAGTAGGGGGTTGGCCCCATATGCTGGAGATGGCGGGTTCAAACCCAGCCCCGGCCAAAAAAGAAAAGAAAAGGGGAACTGGCAAACCTAAGGTTTAGGGATATTGGCAACCCTGGTCTAGGAATCAGCATCAGAAATAGTTTTTGCTCAGAAAGAGGCTCTGGACACCTTTCTCTCTTTTTTTCTTTGCCACACTGTTACACCAGTGGCTATATGGGGAGGTGGGCAGGGCATGGTGATTCCTAGAAGCAGGTCTCCCTTTTTCACCCCTTTGCATCAACATATGCTTTTTGCCTTTGCTTTTCCAACAGGTCAGCGGACAGATTGCAGTCTAGCCAGGTAAGTGTGGCCTAGGAACAGGCCTGGGAAGGGCTAAAGAGAGGCCCATGGGAGTAGAGCAGTCCCAGCCTGGGGAAGGGCCAAGGAATTGAGTTGTAAAGAAAAGGAATGACTTTACAAAGCCGTGGCCTGGGGCGAGGGCTGTTTCCTTGTTTCCTTCCCTTTGCCTTGCTGACCCCATCTGGTCTTAGACAGAAATGGAGTTTCCTAAGACTTTAGGAAAGAACTGAGCAGAACTGAGTGAAGGGAGTTGTCACTTGCTGAAATAGTCCCAGAGACTCCAAAAAGCCACTGCAATGTAAGGAGAATAAAATGATTGACTCTGGAAAATCCTGGTAACCTAAACTTAACTACTAGACTTCAATGGGTGGGCTTTGGGAAGTCTCTGACAGAGTGAAAGATAGCATTTGATCTGATTTCTTAATGCCTGGAAAAGATGACAGTCCCTAATTAGTGACTATTGCCAGATAATGAAATATTGCATTGCATTGGCTTGCCAAATAGCGTTGGTGGAAATCTTCACCTGATGTACAAGTGTGCAGCCCTCCCAATCTTTCCCCACCTTCCCTTCACTCCCCCACCCTGGCTAAATATTTTTCCGCCCAGTCATGGTGCTGCTGTGAAAAAACTTGTGAGCTGGTGAAGTGTGGTGTATTCATTCAGCCAGCAGTTCTAAGATGCCTAAAAATGTGCTGATTTAACTGGAAGAAAGGTTTTAATGGGCTGGACTCCTTAGAGACCCTGGGTTAGCCCATTATATCAACCACTTAGATCTGCCAACACACACAATAATCATGAGGCCGTTTACAATTATAGGCTCATTATTTAGAGAGAGCTTCATTTGGCTTTCATCGTTTTGTCATTGTGTGAGATGATAAAGATCTCATTAATATACCAGTCTTGGTGACTAGAGGCAACCAGGATAATGGCGTTCTCTGGAATATATCTTCTCGGTGACACAGTCTTAGTATAAATTCACCTGAGGTCCTCTAGCTGCAGGGTCCGTGGGACTAAAAAGAGCTGAGTTGAATTTCCTGTTGCTGGATTATATCCCTCTGTGGCCCGGGGTCGCACCTTTCCCCTCTCTGAACTCTACTTTCCTCCTCTGTGAATCAAGAGCATTACACTAGATCAGATTCCAAAGAGGTTCCTCAGGAGGGACCTGGTGGCGGGGCAGAGCGGTGCCCAGCAGCCAGGCCCAGGTGCCTACCTCTTCTCCGAGCAAGGCAGCACTGCCCTTGCTGCCCTTTGTGTGTGGTGCCTCTGAGTCTCATTCCTATTGAGAAAGGGCTTCTGAGGCTAAACACAGCATGAAAGACCCAGAGGATCCCCAAAAGGTTTCTTCTAGATTGAATGCTTTGCCTTTTAAATCCAGAAAAATTGTTTCTTATAAAGGTAAGGAAGGATCTTTAATGATTTCCAATGGGAGGGAAAAAAACCTGTAGCACCCTTCGGTGTTTACCAGTATCTCCTTACAACAGAAAAATATTTTTGTTGTCTAACCCAAATATATTTTATGTAAATTGAACCACTTCTCTCCTGTTGTAATATTGAGTGGTCGCAGACATTAAAAGCAGACCTCTATGGTTTAGGGAGAAAAGAGCTTGATTAGGCTTTATTTGGGAAGTAATTTGTCGAGTCTCTTAGCCACTTCTGAGACTGAGCTGAATAATGTGACTTGTTTCACTCACCACCACGCAGATTGTTTTTAATTATTAAAAACTTTACCTCTGGCATTAAGAGCGGTTTTTGTCTCATTCCATCCCAATTTTTTCTTTTTCCTCCCTGTTGCTGGCTCCATCCTCCCTGACTCTGCGGGAACGATAGGCGTAGCTCAACTGTGCGGAAACAGGTAAGAGCCCAACAAGACCGGGCTGGTCTGGTGTGAGATCAGGTACAGCCCATAGCCATTTATGAAACGCCACTGTGGGTGGGGGGGATAGACATTTTTCTGACTTCATTCCTGCGCTTAGTAATGTATCATTTACTCATAATGTGTTTAATATTATAACAGCTTCATTGATTTAACTTTATTTGGAGTGGTCACAGTCTTTTTGACTTGTTCCTCTTTTTTTCTGGACATCTATCCTCTTGCATAGTAGGGATTTGGTCTGACTAGGGCAGACTGTTTTCAGGACTACCTATCTCATCCTTTCCCAAGAGATCACAAAAGGCTTGCCATGTCCTACACATATGCTAATATGAGCTGGTAACTCGAAGTAGCTAATTACCTAGGCTAGACAATCTTGCTTTAAGTTTGCAGATTTTGTTTGATTGTTTCTGATGGTGCAGTCATCTAGATATATCCTAAGACTTGCTAACAATGCAAAGATTAAGTCTGGTCTAGGAATGGCAGGCAAGAGCTGTTCAACTCTGTCATTTCATGCATGATCTTCAGTGTTGTGTTAAAATCTGCCACTGGGCAGCCAGCTCTTATTACCCATATTAGGAGGGATCTTAGAGAGCAGTGGCATGGATAATCCACGTCAATAGATAATCTAAACAGCACTTGTGCTTGTTTAAAAAGAATTAATTGAAGTATTTTTTGCAGTCGCAAATTTGACTTCCTAATTATACTTTATGGCAAATACTGAAATGATTTTAAGTCCCCTAAGCTTATATCAGCTCTGCAGTCAGCAGTTAGCAGGGAGTGGTGGAGAGAGCTCAGAAACATCTTTGTGTCTGCTCAAGGGAAAGCTGATCCAGGCTTTTAAAAATCATTTTGGATAATTCACAGCGGCTCTAGCCACAGGAAGATAATCGAATGTACAGGGCACGTGGTTTTTGTGGTGTCGGCAGCTCCTCTGACTGCTCTGGCTGAGTAGGTGGTTCATCTGAGGAACTCAGATGAGGGAGGCCTCACTTGTCTTAGCTTTGCTGTCATTTTTTTTCCCTATCTCTACTTGGATCCCATTTAGATGAAAACACCATCAGATGCAATTATATATTTATTTTATTTTATTTTGTTTTTTGAGGCAGAGTCCTACTATGTCACCCTTGGTGGAATACCATGGTATCACATCTCATAGCAACCTCAAACTCTTGGGCTTAAACGTTCTGCTTGCCTCAACCTCCCAAGTAGCTGGGACTACAGGCGCCTACCACAACACCTGGCTATTTTTTTGTTGTAGTTTATCATTGTTGTATGGCAGGCCTGGGCTGGGTTCGAACCCGCCGGCCCCTATGTGTGTGACCAGCGCCCTAACCACTGAGCCACGGGTGTCAAGCCTACATATTTTTTTAAATTATGGAAATTTCATTGCAACTCTCCTTCCTCTTGTTCCTGTATTTATTCTTTTTCCATTCTTCCACTAATTTCATTTAAAGCTAGAGAGGTCTGGAGCACCTCCCAGGAATAATTTATTGCCTTTAAAATTAATAGGTGGATAACTTGAAGAGAGAGCAAGCCTTTTCCCCTTAAACACTAACAATAGAAATGAACTTGAAGTTTGTTCCTTTCAGTTCTTGGATTGAAACTGGATTTCTTGCGTTTGGATGGGACATATGGGAAGCGCTTTACAGCCTCCATGCTGGCTAAAGGAATGCTAGAGACCACAGTTTGGCAGGTGGTATGTGCCCTTGGTTGGGCTTGCCATCGGAGGGCAATGGCACCCATCTGGTTTGCATCCTGCTGTGCGTAAAAAGTTGCAGGCAAAGTATATTTGCTGGTGCTAGATTTGAGTAAGAGTTCCAGGATATCCCCAAAATTCCAATCAAATTAAGACCTTGTTTTCATTTTTCTGCCCCAGCTGTTCTCTAGCAGTTCAGATCTACTGGTGGATCAGCAAAAAAAGCTTTTCCAAAATGGTCAGAAGGTTAAAAATATTAATAGTAAGTAATTTGGAAGATGAGTAATATTACATAAATCATCAGGAAATAAATGTTTGTTTGTTTATGGCAAATCAGCCAAAAAAGAGAAAGAATTGTAGCTTTTGATTTTGAAGGTCCCTAATGGGTTCAAGTCATTTTTGACCCTGGCAAATAGTGGTTCAAACCATCCCAGACCTTTCTTTAAAAAGAAGGCACTTCCACTGCTGCTTCTAGACCTTCCCTGCTCCCTGCAAGTCCAAGATTTTCTCTCCTGACCATGACTTCCATATCTCCTTTGCTGACCTTTCTTTCTCCTTTTCTCTAAATCTAGGCATTCTTACAGGGTTTGGTCTTCTCTGGACATCTCTCCATGGTCCTTCCCTTGTCACTCTTGTTCCCTTAGATGAATTTTCTTTTCTTCCTTAAGTACCCTTTTGTTTATATATGTATAATTTCCCATATATTTACTTTTACTGAGATCTTTATTTCTCCATACAGCTTCATTTTGCCCTACAGAACTCCCTTGAGCCACCCTTCCTTCTTTCCTTCCCTCCTTCCCACCCTCCCTCCTTCCTTTTTTCCTTCCTTCCTACCACATTTCTTGCAGGGAAGTTTTTCGTGGTAACATTCTCTGCTTTTGTTTGTCTGAGATTGTCTTAATTTCTCCCTCACTTTGAAGGGCACTTTTGTCAGATATAGGTTCTTGGTCGGTAGGTTTTTCTTTTTTTCTTTTCGCACTTGAAAAATGTTGGCCTTGGGCCTCCTGGCCTACAAATTCTCTGATGCCAAATCTGGTGATCTTACTGAGGATCGCGTGTATGTGATAAGTTGTCTCAGTGTGGGTCTCTTTGAGTTCGTCTTACTTGGTGTTTGTTGAGGTTCTTGAATATTTATATTCATGTCTTCTTTTTTCAAATTCGGGAAGTTTTCGGCCATTATTTCTTCAGCTGTGCTCCTTTCTCTCTCTTTTCTCCTGCAGGGACTTCCACAATGCATTTGTTGGTTGGTTGGTATCCCTCAGGTCCCTGAGGCTTTGGTCCCTTTTCATCAATCTTTTCTCTGTTCCTCACACTCAGTAATTTCCATTGTCATGTCTTCACGTTTGCCGATCCTTTCTTTTGCCTGTTCAAAAAATCTACCTTTGAATCCCTCTAATGAATTTTTTTCTTGAACTTTGTTATCATCTCCAGGTTTTCTGTCGCTTCATTGATATTTTCATTTTTGTTAATATATCATTTTCTTAGTTTTATATCTTTCTGTCTTTCTCCTCAGCATCCCTTTGTTCTATGATGCTGTCTTTCCACATCTCAGTAACTGACTGGGGGCTTGAAGTTGCCGTAGCACCTCCTCTCACCATCAGTTTCTTCACCTTCCCCCATTCTGATGTCCTTGACTCCTCCCTTCCCTTCTCTGTTTGTGTGCATGGGACTCTCCACTCTTGCAGTCCCTGAGGCCTCAAATCTTATCTTTGATGCCTGTTCCTTTTTTCATTACCCACATCTCATCAGTTGTCAAGACTTATCTTCTCCCTGGGTGAAAACAGAGATTAACAAATGTAATAAGAGGTTAGTACCTGACAAAAACTCTAGCCTTCCTACTCTTAAGAAATTATGCTAACCAGTGCCTATTTAGACATTATCTGATCCCTTCTCTGATTGTTTTTATCTGCACATTACTGGATGGCTGCTACTGTACTGTCTTTTCCAAGTTTATGCCCTACCCTTTTCCTTCACTTTTGATTTAAAGTTTCCTTAATCTGATTGGGTAAGAATTTATCCTAATAGTCCTTAATCACCCTTTCCAAACCTGAGGTTATGACCAAAAATAATATAAGAGAACCTCCGTAGTTGACCATCTCCCTATATTGACCACCTGATTTTCATAGACCGCAACCTATGCTCATATCAGTACAGTAGGTCTGGTTTCCTTATGTTGATCACTTCTACACGTTGACCAGTTTGTTACAGTCCCTTGAGTGGTCAACATATAGTCTACTGTATATAAAAAGGAATTAAACTGACACGGGCTCTAACACCAGTGGAGGGAAGAAGAGAAGGAGTGAGAGAGAGTGAATAAAAACCTGTAGAAATTGCTTTGTCATAGCCAGTGGCTCATTCATGTAATTTTAGCTCTGAGGCTAAGGCAGGAGGATCACTTGAGGCCAGGAGTTTGACATCAGCTGAGGCAACATAGTCAGACCTGACCCTACCCTATATCTACAAAAAATAAAAAAGAAACTGTTCAGTTAGCTGCATGCGAAGTCAGTGATAAAGTGCAGGCCTTTAGGACACCATAGGAACACACAGCAATATCTCAAGGAAATAAATTCACTCATAGCTCAGAAACATCATGAGGAGAGGAAGATGGCAGGAGCATTTGAAGCCTGTGTAATTTTGCCCATTTTGTGCTCCCTGTGGACTCTGTCTTAGTCTGCATCAGAGCAATGAGGGCTAAGAAAATCTCTTCTGTAATAAGACAGGCCATCACCAGCCCACCTTTGTCTGCCACAGATTATCCTCTGGGGCTACTTCTGACTTCTGCTGGTAACCGTAGACATGCAGGTTAATATCTGATGCTCTGTTTCCTGTCAACCCTTCATACTTACCTTTAACTACCACTGATCATCCATTTCCTGCAGGTCCAGGCAGAATTTTGCACTCATATAACTTCTTAAAGCCAGTAACCTATAAGCGTCTCAGCTTTCCTCCCTCTGGGTCTTTATATATAATTCTGGGGCCAATAAAAGTTTACCAATTTTCATATCACTATTCTTATTATGCTGTTGCTACTTTTCCTAATGTCTTTATTGATATGTAATAACTATACATATTTATGGGGTACATGTGATATTTTGATACATGCATAAAATGTATAATGATCAAATTAGGGCAGTTGGTATATCCATCACCTCAAATATTTATCTTTTTTGGTGTGTGATTCCAGATCTTTTCTTCTAGCTGTTTTGAAATATACAATATATTATTATATACTATTGTCATCCTACTGTGCCATCAAACATCAGAAATTATTCCTTCTAGCTAGCTGTAGTTCCGTACCCATTAACCTACCTCTTCCTCCCCCCACTTCTTAGTCTCTGGTTGCTATCATTCCACTTTCTACTTTCAAGATCAACTTTCTTAACTCCCATATATGAGTAAGAACATGGGGTATTTGTCTGTCTGTATCTGGTTTATTTTACTTAACATGTTGTCCTCTAGTTCTGTCCATGTTGCTGCAAAGGAGAGGATTTTATTCCTTCCTATGGCTGAATAATATTCTGTCCTACACACACACATACACACACACCCCCCACATTCTCTTTATCCTTTCATCCATGATAGATGTGTAGGTTGTTTCTACATGTTGGCTCTTGTGATAGTGCTTCAATAAGCAGATATACTGATATTCTGATACACTGATTTCTTTCCTTCTTTTTTTTGGATATATAGCCAGTGGTGGGATTGCTGGATTGCTGGATCATACAGCAGATCTACTTTGAGTTTTTGAGGGACCTCCATGCTATTGTCCAGTGTCCATTTACATTCCCGCCAACGTGGTACAGTGTAGGAACATTCCCCTTTCTTCACGTTTTCAGCATTTGTTATTTTTTGTCTTTTTGGTAATAGCCATTTTAACTAGGTGAAGACAATATCTCTTTAGTTTTGATTTGTATTTCCCTTGGTGTTAAGAATTTTTTATATGCCTATCTACCATTTGTAATCTTCTTTTAAGAAATGTCTGTTTAGTCTATTTGCCCATTTCTTAATCAGGTTATTTGTTGGCTAGTGAGTTGTTTGAGTTCCTCATATATTCCAGTTATTAAACCCTTGTCACATGGGTAGATTGCATGTGTTCTTTGACATTCTTTAGGTTGTTTCTTCACTCTGTTGATTGTTTCCTTTGCTATGCAGAAACTTTGTAGCTTGATGCAGTCCTGCTTGTCTATTTTTGTTTTTGTTTCCTGTGCTTTTAGGACCTTATCCAAAAAGTCTTTTCCTAGACCAATGTCCTAAAGGGTTTCCCCAATATTTTCTTCTATTAGTTTCTTTAATGCATTTTAATTTGATTTTGATATTTGGTGAGACATAGGAGTCTAGTTTCATTTTCCTGCTGCTACTATTTATAAATGAAAAATGTAGTAACTGAAGTCTATAACCATACAAAGGCTTCCCAAGAATTGAGGCTTTTTTTTTTTTTTTTTTTAGCTTTTTCATACTTTCATTGCAATAAGGAAGAGAGACAAAGATTCTTTCTCTAAGATCACCCTACCTGACTGGCAAAAGTCAGTGATATTGACAAGAGGGCAGACACGAGCTGCTGTAGCTGGAAAGCTGGAGGAAGCAAATGGGTTTGGGGGTTCAGGAAGAAGAGCATTTGGGTCATTGAAACCTTCCTGACTCTAGGTCCACCTTGGCATGTGAAGTATGCCCTTTGGCAGCATCTTTAGTTCCCAGAAAGCTTAGGAACTAGAGGCTAAGGCAGCTCTTCTCTCAGCCTGACTTCCAGCTGCTTTCCTAATAGTGGCCAAACCCCTTGGCCACCGTGGAAAATTTAGTGCCAGGGCAAGGACATAGGCAAACCTGTGAAATGGGCCCAAGTCACATGGACCCATCCCACTTGAGAGTCCAGTCTCTGTCCATCTAAAGCCCTTTGTAGTTTGGTTTTGGCCCCCTTGGCTAATCGCTTTCACACAGCTGGATTATTATGCATTTAGCTACATTATAAAACCATACTAGTTTTTAGGAATGTTTCATATGCCCATGTGGCCATGTTTGCTGAATTCCCAGGGAGCAAACCTGGTAGTTTTGGTCTCAGAGGGAGACTGCCTGAATCTGAATCCTTGAATCCTGTTTACCAGCCATGGGACCACAAGGAGCTATTTAACCTCACTAAGCCTTCAGGTCCTCATTTGTCAAACAATAATAATAATAACAAGTACTCCATAGGGTTGTTACCAGAACCTACTTGTCTGAAGGACTTAGCAGAAACTAAGGAGAAAAGCAGACTATGGAAATGCAGGCAAATGCAGGATCCCAGATATGCAAGGCTGTGTGAAGAAAGTAATAAGAAGTCTTTGAGAGAGTTTAGATGAAGAGTTGTCTGTACTTTTAAAGATCACCTAAATACTATGTGAGGAAAGAGAAATGTAGATCAGAAGAAGGCTAGGGGGCTCGGCGCCTGTGGCTCAAGCGGCTAAGGCGCCAGCCACATACACCTAAGGTGGCGGGTTCGAATCCCCAGCCCGAGCCCGCCAAACAACAATGATGGCTGCAACCAAAAAATGGCCAGGCGTTGTGGCGGGCGCCTGTGGTCCCAGCTACTTGGGAGGCTGAGGCAGGAGACTCGCTTGAGCCCAGGAGTTGGAGGTTGCTGTGAGTGTGATGCCATGGCACTCTATCCAGGGTGACAGCTTGAGGCTCCGTCTCAAAAAAAAAAAAAAAAAAAGAAGGCCAGGGTGGGAATTGAGATATTGGTGTATTGAACTAGGTTAATGGCAGTAGAAATGGAGAAAAGTCAATGAATTTGAGGTGTATTTAGGCAGCAGACTGCAACGGAATGTATTGATTGATTGGATGGCTGGGGGTAAGGAGCTGGTTTGGGATAAAAGATCATCAGTTCTGTTTAGGACATGCTGAATTGAAGGCATTTCTGTGACTTTCCAAGAAGGTGGTTGTGTTTTTGTACACTGGAGCTTAGAGAACAGGGCAGGTGCTTCTTTGCGGACTGGCCACTGATCTGACTAAGGCATGTTCCAGACAGTTTGGCCCATTTTCTATGACTCTGGGCTATCCCTGTTTAAAGATTCTAATGTGTCTCTCTTTGGTTTTTCAGGACTCCAGCCAAGCAATTCCTTTGGTGGTGGAAAGCTGTATCCGGTTTATCAGCAGACATGGTAAGCAGGATTACAGCCTTGCCCATATTTGTGCAAAGATTGGGAAGAACTTCCAGGAATTCTTTATAGAGTAAGAATAGAGAGTGACTTCCCATCCTGACATTCTCAGGGAAACATAAGTTCTTATTTGTTCATATAATGTTTGCTACTTTAGAATAGCACACTTAGCCACACATCATATGTTTGGACCTAAAATGGACTCGGCCACTTATCACACCCCCTTTTTTCTAGTTGAGAGTGAGTTTTAAATTGCAGCTATTATGTGAATAAGTGCAGCTGGTGTTACATGATGGCAGCAGTTTCACTGTTACTCATGGTCTTTGGGCACCTGAATAGCTCCCACCGCACAGCTGACCATGTTGGCACATTGGCTTCCTGTATCAGACTGGTTTGAAAACAATGCCTTTTCTACTGTTGCACCAATTCCTAATAATATTCACTTTTGTTTAGGTTTGGTCTCAATGCAATGTTCCCAAAGCTCAGCTCAAAACTGGTCTTAACGTTGTATCCAACTTTTGAGAGTCTGCAGGGGCTGGCTGTTTCTCAGCCTATAAACTCTGTTCTTCATCAGCTCCTGGTCTGGGTGTACTGAATTTAGGGATGGAGATAATTGCCAGAGAATTGATTTTTGAAGTGTGAGAATGTTTAAGAAAGGACAAATATCTAAATTAGTTCCACAAAGATTTTTAGGAATTTCAGGAATTGTTTTCAGATGCTGTCCTGTTCAGTGATAGGAAAAAGACCAGGAATACCTTTGTGGAGCTAAGGAAGTTTGTAAAGTATTGCTTGTCTAAATTCAAAGGCAGCCATTCTCTCTCCTTCCCCTTGCCTTCCTTGCCCCCTGTAAACCAGGACATTTCTCAGGTTTATTTTTGGAATAGTTATTGTTTTAGCATGCTTACAACTTACCTTATTTTAATCAGCTACAAGTTTGTAATCTTATCTGTGTTTATTTGAAGTAATAGCATAGTATATAACTATCCAGCAGTCAACAAATATTTATCAAGTTCATGATCAATGCTGGGCACCATGCATTGCCAAGTAGGAAAAGAGAAACAGGAATAATATGCTATTCTGTCTTTAAGTGGTTTTATGATTCACTTGTGGGAAAATAAGTAAGCAAGTGATAAGTTAAATAGAGATAAGCTGTGGTAATTCAGGATAGAAGAATAAGGAATTTCACAAGATAGTAATGATTAATGATCAAGCAATTGGCAAAGATAAGTACAAACTGAGCTCAGGGGAGGAAGAATTATTTGTGCCTAAAAGGCAATAGGAAGAAGGAAGTGTGAACGACTATTTATTCATCATGCATTTCATTCATTCATTCAACAAATATATATTGGTTACTTATTGTGTGTCAATAAAAAAGTTTCTGTTTTTTTATGAATCTTATATTCCACTGAAGGACAGATAGACAGACAATCAGTTGATGAGCCAAGGAATCCAACATGCCATGAGCCTCATGAAGAAAAGTAAAGCAAAGTGAGGGGTGGAGAATAGAGTGGGGACACTCTTCTAGGTGGATTCAAGGACAAGGCCTCTCCTGAGAAAATGATATTTGAGCAGAGTCACCAGGGCATGATCCATGCGGATATCTGGAAAAGAGAATCTTGGGGAGAGAAAACTACAAGTACAGAGACGTTTTGTATATGCAAGGAACAGCATGCAGAAGCCAGTGATAGGAGACAAAGCTGGAAGCCAGATTCTTAGGCCTCACAGGCTAAGATGAGTGTTTGGATTTTATTCCAAGTGGCATGAGAAGCCATTAGAGAATTTGAACACGAAGTCATATTTTTAAAGGATCCCTGACTGGTGTATAGATATAAGAGTACAAAGAGAAAACAGGAAGCTACTGCTGTAGTGCAGGGAAGAAGACAAGATGGTGGCCAACACTGGGTGTTAGCTGTGCCATTAGCTGAGAAATATACAGAGTGTAGATAATGTGGTCTGAATGTACCTCTCTCTGCCCCTTTACAGGCCCAGTGCATGGGGAGACAAAAATTTAGCACGTTTTTGTAGTGAGGCTCTGGAGAAAGAGGCCCACTCATATATTAATGATGGGAATGCAAACTGGTACTATCCTTTTGGATGGGAATTTGGCAATATCTAACAAAACTACATATGCACTTATCTTCCAATCCAGCAGTCCTTCTAGAAGTTTACCGTGAAGATACACCACTAACAATATGAAAATACATATGCACAAGGTTACTTGTTGCATCTTTGTTTGCAATTGCAAAATATAAGAAATAAACTAAATGCCTTTACATAGAAGAACAGTTGGAAATGAATGGCACATGTACATCAATTCAATGGAATAGTGTGCAACTCTGAAAAAAGAATGAGGACGGTTTCCATGAAGTTATGTGAAGGGATTCCCAGGATATGTACTCTTGAGTGGAAAAACAGAATACAAAAGAGTATCCATAGTACGTTGCCTTGGTAGCCTACTGTAGATGTTCCCTGACTTATGATGGGATTACATCCTGGTAAACCCATCATCATAAGTTAAAAATGTATTTAATACAACTAACCTAACAACATAGCTTATCCTCGTCTTCTTCAAACATGTTCAGAACACTTACATTAGCCTGCAATTAGGCCGAATCAGCTGGCAACACAGTACACTAAAGTGTTGGTTGTTTACTCTGGTGTTTGGGTGGCTGACTGGGAAATATGGATCACTGCTACTGCTCAACACTCAGCATTGCAACAGAGTGTCGTACCACATATTGCCAGCCCAATAAAAGATCAAAATTCAGAATTGGAAGTGCAGTTTCTACTGAATGCATATCACTTTTGCACCACCATCAAACCAAAACATCGTAAGTCAAACCATCCTACATCAGGGACCGTCCGTATAGATATTATTCCCATTTTGTTACCCATCATGGAAGAAAGAAAAGAATATATGAATATACAGGGTGGCCCTAAAGTTTGTGTGCACATGAATGTTAGGGCCACTCTGTATATGAGGGCTGTCTGGAAATTATCCAGCCACATACTGTGAAAAATAGTATTAACAACGGCTGGATACTTTCTGGACAAGCCTCGTATTGGTATCTTCTCATTTCTTCTTCTTTTTTTTAAATTTTTTTTTTTTTATTGTTTCAGGTTAATTTGAGGGTACAGAAAATTAGGTTGCAATGGTTGCATTTTTTAGGTATACTCCCTCTGTATCTTCTCATTTCTGAAAAAGAAATACAGGAATAACAAATCTATAAACCAACTAATATTTGATTGGCTATCTGCAGGGACAGGTAGGAAAGGGGTGAGAGAAGGGGGCAAAGGCACATGGGAGAGGAGTGGCCTTTGTCTTAGCATACCTCTGTGTAGTTTGGCTTTTATTTTTATTTATTTTTCTTTTTTTGTATTTATTATTAAGTCAAATATGCATAGATCATGAGTACATTCATGCATATGTAGGGTACAATGTGCTGATATCTTTCTTTAAATACAATCTAACGTGGTTAGATCAAACCAGTCAACATAGCTTTCACCTCATTTACTTGATTATTGTGCCAAAATATCTATGTTCTACACTTGACAGATTTGACTTGTACCCTGGTCATATGCTCTATAGGTGTGACCCAGCCTTTTACCCTCCCTCTGTCAAACCTCCCCCCGCCCCTCCTTTCCCACTCCATTTCTCTCCTTCATCCTGGGCTATAGTTGTGTTCTATCTTTCATAAGAAAGTGTGAGTAAATATAAGTAGGTTTTTGATAATATCCAGCATCCTTTTATGATCAGAACACTTAAGAAAATAGATATAGAAGGGACATTTCTTAAACTGATAGAGGCCATCTACAGCAAACCCACAGCCAATATCGTATTGAATGAAGTAAAATTGAAATCATTTCCACTCAGATCAGGAATCAGGCAAGGATGCCCACTGTCTCCACTGCTTTTTAACATTGTAATGGAAGTCTTAGCCATTGCAATTAAGCAAGAGAAGGCAATCGAGGGTATCCATATAGAGTCAGAGGAGATCAAACTTTTACTTTTTGCAGATGATATGATCGTACACCCGGAAAACCCCAGGGACTCAACCATAAAACTCTTAGAAGTGATCAAGGAATACAGCAGCATCTCGGGCTACAAAATCAATGCTCACAAATCAGTAACATTCATATATACCAACAATAGTCAAGGGGAAAAAACAATCAAGGACTCTATTCCCTTTACAGTAGTGCCAAAGAAAATGAAATATCTGGGAGTGTACCTAACAAAGGATGTGAAAGATCTCTTTAAAGAGAACTATGAAACTGTGAGAAAAGAAATATCCAAAGATGTCAACAAATTGAAAAACATACCATGCTCATGGCTGGAAAGAATCAACATTGTTAAAATGTCCATACTACCCAAAGCAATTTACAGATTTAATGCAATTCTGATTAAAGCACCTCTATCATACTTTAAAGATCTGGAAAAACTAGTACTTCATTTTATATGGAATCAGAAAAAAACTCGAATAGCCAAGACATTACTCAGAAATAAAAACAAAGCAGGTGGAATCACGCTACCAGACTTCAGATTATACTATAAATCTCTAGTGATCAAAACAGCATGGATGAGCAGCACCTGTGGCTCAAAGGAGTAGGGCGCCAGCCCCATATGCCAGAGGTGGTGGGTTCAAACCCAGCCCTGGCCAAAAAAAAAAAAAAAAAAAAAGAACAGCATGGTATTGGCACAAAAATAGAGAGGTAGATGTATGGAATAGAATTGAGAACCAAGAGATGAACCCAGGCACTTATTATCATTTGATCTTCAATAAGCCTATCAAAAACTTAAATTGGGCGAAAGACTCCCTATTTACCAAATGGTGCTAGGAGAATTGGCTGGCAACTTGTAGAAGACTGAAACTGGACCCACACGTTTCACCTCTAACAAAAATTGACTCTGTCTGGATAAAAGACTTAAACCTAAGACATGAAACCATAAAGATTCTTGGAAAGAGTGCAGGAGAAACACTAGTTTGGCTTTTAGAACTACATTCGTCTCCCATAGTCAAAAGATAAATAAACAAGTAAATAAAGCCAGGATGTGGGTAAAACCCCAAATGGAATGCGAATGGTAACAAACCAACCTAACTGTATTATGAGTGAATTACATAACCACACTGAAGGGGAATGAGGAAGCAAATAACTAACCTCAGTAACTTTAGGGGAAAACAGTGTTCTGGCTACATGATATAAATCTAAAGACAAAAAAGGCTGTAAACAAATATTGTATGGTAGTTTGTAATTTTTTCATCACAGGGGTATGGGTTAGCAATTCTGAAACTATTTTTTGTATGTTCTAGGACTAAGCAAATCAATACAGTATATTGTCAGGTTTTTTTTTAATTTAGCTTATAAGAGCTGCCCCTCAAATCTGTTCTGCTACATTGAATTATTTCCCCAATAGAAGCTTAAGATATTCATGGACTCCCTAAAAGACCATGGTTAAAATTTCTGTGTATATGTGTTTAGTGGTAATAGGGTCTGCAACTTTTATCAGTCTCAAGTAGAGTCTGTGGCCCACCAAATGCTGGGAATTTTCATATCCTAACTCTTTTCAAAGCCCTTGAGAGGTAAATATTATAATCTCCAGTATATAGATGAGAAATATAAATGGTAGGTGAGGGTGATTCAAGAAGAATTAAAAGAGGAGAAAGGATGTGAGGGACAACAAAGACTGAATCATGATGAAAAAACCCCACCATTTTCATGAGGAAAGGAGCAAAGTAATGTGAGCGTTGAGGTGGCTATTGTAGCAATCATTTCCAGAATTCTCTAGGAGAATAACTCTTGGCAATGGCTGGATTCAGCACAGAATGGAAGAGTTTGTGCCATTTCCAAATAAATTATCCAAGTCTGATGAGTTTTATACTTTCATGTTAGTGTACACTAAGAACAAATTTAAAAGATCATGGATGTGTCACTTTGCTTATGCAAGAATGTACCTACATTATAATAAAAAGCCAACTGGTTTTTCCCTTTGCTTGCGGGAAGCCAGCCATTTATTAATGTTCCTGCTTTTCGCAAGCATCAGATTAGACACTGTAAAGATTCTATTTGTTGAGTAAGAACATATAATGATAATTTTAAAACATAGATTCTCAAGGGGCAAATAAACCAGACCGCATGAGAGTTCAGTGTGTTTCAGGCCTGCTGCCTGATTTCCAATGAGATCCCTTCTCATTTCATCTTGTCGGGGGCCCGCAGGCCAAGATTGCTTTTCTTGAGTGTTCTCACCAACCAGAAAGTACCGCCACAATGACCGTCTCTTAGGGTGTTTCACAGTGGCTTCACCAAGTAGAGTACTGAGTGGCCAGATCTGAGATGATACTTGCTTATACTGTGCTTTTGACACTGGGTGTGTGGTTGTTTTATCAGGGCACTCACTATTGACATTCTGCGTTTAAGCAACATTATCTGGCTTTTTTTTTTTTTTTTTTTTTTTTTGAGACAGAGCCTCAAGCTGTCCCCCTGGGCAGAGTGCCGTGGCCTTACAGCTCATAGCAACCTCCAACTCCTGGGCTCAAGCGAGTCTCCTGCCTCCGCCTCCCAAGTAGCTGGGACCACAGGCGCCCACCACAACGCCTGGCTATTTTTTGGTTGCAGCCGTCATTGTTGTTTGGCGGGTCCGGGCTGGGGATTCGAACCCGCCACCTTAGGTGTACGTGGCTGGCGCCTTAGCCGGTTGAGCTATAGGCGCCAAGCCATTATCTGGCTCTTATATCCCATTGGTAACTAATATAGTACTGGTATTAATGGGGTTTTAACATTGCCTACCACACTGTGACAAATATTCTGGAGATTCCTTTGGAGAAATAGACAACTTATTACAAATCAGGTAATTACATCTCCTCTGCTTACTTCTTAGTGTACGTCGTAGTTGGATCCAGAATTTGGCCTGTGTGGTTTACAGCGGCCCTCTCACTGTGAGGGTAACTCTGAAACAGGGGACAAAATGTTGAATTTGTCTATTTTGTGTTCCTAAAATAAATTTGAGATTTCTCCAACACATTTAAGTTTTTGAAAGATTGTGCTGTAACAGAGGGATTTTGACATAATGCCCAAGATTGAGACCCAGGGATCCTGAGAAAGGCTGAGGGGTCCTGATGTGATTAGAGGTGCTGATCACAGGCTCAGCACTGATGACATACATCCTGGATTTCTTGCTGGTCTTGCGGTTACATGTGTGGTGCTATCTGTAAGCCACGTCCATGTTCAGACTGACCAGTGTGGCTCCTGCCCTCTCTGCACTTACACCCTAGCAGGCCCCACAAGCCTCATGTTGAGGACTGAGTACATCTGCAGCCACAAGGCCTGGTCTTGGTTCTCATTCTTAATCCCTGTATAACTTAAGGCTGGTCATCATATGTCATTCCCCTCACCTAGAAAATGGGACTGCTGTTAACCCTTGTCTTATTGTGAGGTTATCACTTGTAGGGACCAAGTGATTTATTTACATGAATGTGTTTATTAGCAGCAATCACTACACATGCTTTCTTTTCCACGATTTTTTTCTACTCTAACAAAACCCAAGAAGGCAGACTTTCTGTGCCCATTATCTTAGAATAACATTTATTTGTGTTATCTTTGGAGTAAGGCAATAAATAGGTACCCATGCCTAGCACAGTGTCCGGCAACACTGCCCGTTGACTGATCGCTTACATATTCCTGCCTTCTCTTATTTGCTCAAGTATTGAAAGCATTGCCCCCCTAGAGCAGTCAAACAGGGTTAGAACAGTTAAAGCAATAATTATAATCTCAGACCTTATGGAACTCCTCCAGTGGTAACTAAAGACTTGCCTGCCATGACCAATTTCCCCATTCTTTTTATTTTATTATTTTATTATGTCTCCCTCTGTTGAGCAGCCTCCATTTCCCCAGTCCTGACCTAGGGGATAAGAAAGCACCAGTGTGTCACTTCCCCATTTTACAGATGGGAACAGTGCAGCAGAGAGGCAAAGACAAGAGAAAGAACCTGCCCCATGTCACCCTTGGAGTCGGGAGGAGTCTCTGACTTGATGCTTTCTTAGCTGATGCCCCACAGTCATTCCAGTGACTTTTCCAATATTCTTGCATGTGTTTTTCTCCTTTGCCCTGCAGAAGAGAGAGCAGGGTGCTTAAATACTGTTGGGGGAGATGAGCATTCAGCTAAGCGTGGTGTTAGGGTTGTAAGTACGCTTTTTCTTCTCCTGGATCACTTTTTCTTGTGTTTCTAGGACTACAACATGAAGGAATTTTCCGGGTGTCAGGATCCCAGGTGGAAGTGAATGACATCAAAAATGCTTTTGAGAGAGGTGAGGAAACAGCCTTGAGGACAAGGCCAAATGTTTGCCAGCCCTCTGGGTTATTGGCTCCACCCTGTCTCCCCTGAGAGCTCCCCAGCGGTGAGGAAGCTAGCTTGCCTCCCTCTTCAGAGGGCACCTGCCCCCTTGTACATACTCCTCTCTGGATATGCAAGGAGATACCAGGGTGCGTCTCAGCCCTACCCATCCTGCCTCTCATGCCGATGATCTGCTAAAACTGAAGAAGTTAGCTATGATATCTGAGCAGTTTATGGCTTCACCCAGAACCCTTGGTGGCAGTTAATATCAAGGCTAATGTGCAAGTTCATTGTAGCCCATTTATTATCTTGTGGGCTATTAAGGTAATGGGCAAGCTTTGGCAATTTCCGTCACAGTAATGGATATATATAGTTTCAATTTGAGGTTGGTCCTATCATTAAATCTAATTACATCTGATATGAAATTTTCCATAGGGAGCTCTGGCATGATTGTTCTCCTGTAAATAGGTAGTGTTCTTTGTTGCAGGCCAGGAGGAATGAGAGCTCGTCTGAGAAGCTGGCCTCCTTGGCCTCATTTTCCTCCCCCAGGGGCTCTGTCCCAGCCTGGTTTCATGGTTCTTTAGAGAGAGAGACAGTTGCTCTGTTCCAACCCTAGTCTATGGGGAATGTCCCTGAGCTAGGATGGCACAAGAGAGTTTATGCTGATGGACTCTTCTGCCCTCCTCTGGTCCAGGGCCCCCTGAAACTGAGCAGGCTTTACTTTATCTTTCCCTGGTCCGATGGCCACCAGGCTGGGCAGAGAACTGATGGACTGGGATGTGGGTGTGAATAGTTTACTCCCCCGCTCCCATCCCACCACCACCTTGTCTTACGTGTTTTTGCCTCTCTAACTTTTGGGGGACTTCCTTATCCCCAGGAGAGGACCCGCTGGCTGGGGACCAGAACGACCACGACATGGATTCCATAGCTGGTGTCCTGAAACTTTATTTCCGGGGGCTGGAACACCCTCTCTTCCCCAAGGACATCTTTCATGACCTGATGGCCTGCGTTAGTAAGTACCATCCTGGCTTCAGACTGGGCTTCTGGGCCAGCGTACTGGGTAGCAAGATATAAAAAAGTTTAGAGTCTATGTTTCTCCTAAACTTCCACAGTGAAGTTTCTCCTTCTCAGGAATGGCTTTTCACTAACAATCTGGGACCCCAAGTCAGGACTCCTGACTTTTTTCTTTATGATTCAGCTCAGTCTTCAATACTTTTACTTCTCTGGGATTTAACTTCTTTTAGTAAAATACCTTTATATTCATATATAAGACTTAGTGATTTTCAGTTATGTATTTGAAGCTTATACATTATACTTTTCATTATACAAGGAGAAAAAGCATAAATGTTACAAATGTCTCTTGCTTGTTGCTTTAAATATGATGCTACTTACTTGCTGAATGTATTAGTATGTATCCTTCCAGGAACAAAAGCCTGTGTGCCGTAGTAATATGATATTTTCCCAAAGAGAAAGATGTATTCTCTACTTTACCCTCATAGTGGCTCACTACCTCTTACTCCACATGAAGGAACTTGGGTCTTGAAAAGCTATTTCTAACCATTTTATTTAGCTTGTGATACAGAAACCGTCCCTCTTTTTATTTTCCTATGGAAATCAATCAGTGGAAACATGGATTGCTATCAGGTCACCTGGAAGCAGACCCCATCTGAATGATGGCTCTCGAGACTGGAGGGAATGGTGCCCTTTAAAATGATCCTGATTCCTAGGTCAACCAGGGTCTTTATGCCCCCACCCCAAGTTTCTTGTCTGGCTCAATATATGCCCTAAGCACTTACTCTTCTTTCAGTTATTCTGAGACCAAAAGGCCCAGAATATTCAGGAAGTAGCTCTCTGATTTTGTTTGTTGACTCTCTACTTGTGGGAGTCTAGTGGAAATGAGTTATGTGTCTGCTTCCAGGACTGGGCCTAGGCAAAGTATCTTAAGCCAATCTGGGGTCGCCAACACAGCTCAAGATCCCCTGGCTACCCAGTTCTCCCCTGAGATACACTCTTCCCTCTAATCCAGTTCTTCCCATTTCTTTTTCACATAAAGGCATTCATAGAAAATGACAATATGTACATGGCACACAGTGGAAGTGAGAGGCTGCCCATGATGGAGGCCATAGGCCCACAGCCATACCTGTAACCACTCTGTCCACAGCATAAGGAAACTTCTCTGTCTTCTTCCTGGATATCTCTCCCTACCCAGGGGGCCTGCTATCTCCCATGTTCTACTCATCCCTGCTGCAGATAAGGGAGAGGGAAGATAACCCAGACTTGTGCAGAGGATGCATGTGGGATGCGTGTAGAGTGGGTAGCATAGGACCTACACATAGCCTGTCTCCCTCCCCAGATGTAGGCCCTCTAAGGCTGGGTATTGAATAGTCACAGCCAGTTTGTGGACAGCTCCTTACTTTTGGTCATTTGAATAAGAAGGTAGTAGGTGGTGTGGGGAATATCTCCAACTCCTTCTGTGCCCAGGGAGCATATACCTTGCATCCTTGTAAGATGCATCCTGTAAGATGTCTACCTCTAGGCAGTGGTAAGTGTCTAGAGCCTAGTGTCTTCTTCCAGCAGCCCCACCCCAGGAGCAACAGGGCTTAAAGTCCTGCTCCTGGGCACCAGTGCTGTATGTGGGCTTCACTGGCTGCTCCCTGTGTTGCTCCTTTTTGTAGTAAACCTTCTCATCATTACCCCACGGGATCTCAGTCACAGTGGAGGATAACATGTGGCCTTCTTCTTTCAGCAATGGACAACCTGCAGGAGAGAGCTCTGCACATCCGGAAAGTCCTGCTGGTCCTGCCCAAAACCACTCTGATTATCATGAGATACCTCTTTGCCTTCCTCAATCAGTGAGTAGCCTCCCCACTGAACAACTGGATTGGGCCTTGATTTGGCTACTGGAATTCCCCATATGGATTTGGGTCTGTTCATTCGTCTATCACCAAAAAATATTTATAGAGCCACCTACTGGCCACAGTCCTAGGCTATAAGAATATATTGTTAAAAAAGAGGTGAAGACTTGATATCATTTAATTAAAGAAAAATAAATAAGGGTAAAGAAGAGGAAGAGAGTGCAGGGCTCTGAATGGTGGAGGGGCAGGAGAGAAAGGGGGGGGCCTCTAGAGATGGGTGGCCACAGAGGCCTCTCTGAGAAGACGGTGCAGGAGCAGCAGCCTAAGGAAGAGGAAAAGGAGCCCGGGAACACTCAGGATTTAAGTATCCTGGGAAAAATGGATTCGGATTTGGGAAGCAAGCCAAAGATTTCGCTTTTGAAAAACCTAGATTTCTAGATTCTTTAAAAAATTATTAAAACTGGCAACACTGGGTCTGCATTCCCACACGACAGCACTTTCCTATGTAGGAAGAGCTACCCCATAGAGGGGGCTGGCACTCCCCAGTTTACCGCAGCCCTCACAGGACTCCCCAACACTGAGGCTGAATTCACTTGTCATTTTCCATCTCTCTTGCCTTGTAGTTTTTCATTTAGTCAAAAAAATATTCCTCCAGATCCATGAATCAACAGGCCACAGTGTTTTAACATGTATTTCTTTGTGAAAATGAAGAATCTTCCCAATGAGGTGGATCTCTGCTTAAAAGAGAGGCCATTTCACAAACTTCAGCTTGCTCATAAGTTCAGCCTGTAGACCTCTGAGTTAGCAGCCCATGCCTGAGACTTTTTCTGGGCCACCCATACCATACCGTCACGTAGCCCCTCTGTTAGTCCTACAGGGCTACAGAGGGTCCCTGCTCCCCAAATGGCCTCTTCCACATGGCTGCTTCTGCTTTATTCATTAGCCGGTTTGTGACTCAGCACCATAACTGCCTTTGGGTTAAAAACCCCTAATGACTCACACAGGGTGTTCACTCACATGCAGCCTGGAAACTCTGCGAATTACTCAGAAGTCAGTCAGTCCTCTCGGGGCCACCAGTCATTGTCTCCCCTCATGAACCTGTACCTGCCCTCAACACTAGTTTAGTCTGTCCCTGCAGAGCAAGGAGCATGACAGTGGTGGGCAAAGGGCATGGGGAGAGGAGGCAGGGCCTGGGTACCGAGAAACAGCAGTGTGAGCACCATGAACAGAGATGGTGGCCGCTGTTGAAGAAAATGTGGGAACTGCTTTCACTTCAGGTTATTGCGAGGGTACACACAACCAGGTCACAATTTCTGAAATTGTTAGGTAGTTTGGTATTATTTTACTGATTGGGTTTTTTCCTGGTTAGAAAAACATTGATTCACTCATCAAAGTTTACATTGAAAAGATGTAGCATTAATAATCACAGTGTTTCCTAAAACAATAAATAGAAGGTAGGACACAGGTGATAAAGATGTCCGCCTTCGTGGGAAGATGGCAGTTGGTACCATGTACATTTACAGATAGGTGTAATGGTACAGTAGAACCTCTGTAAGATGACCACCCAAGGGACTATAACAAACTGGTCAACATAGGAACTGGGCCTGCTCTACTGATAATGTACATAAGGTGCATGTCTGGTCTGTGGAAATTTGGTCAGGAGGTGGTCAACTGTGGAGGTTCTGATGGTAGCTTCTGATGGCCATCCCACCTAGGTCCAGACTTTCAGGACACTTTTCCATCATTGCTCTGGGTCCTCGGTATGTGTGTACTTTATTCTGGCTGCACTTTATTCTTGAATTGGGCACATCCTCAATCTCGAGGAACCAAAAAAACATAATATGTCACAGGTTCTATGGGTCAGGAATCCAAGTGGAGCTTAGCTGGGGCCTCTGGAGTGAAAAGGGAAAACTCTAGAAAAGTAGATGATCAAAAGCAAGTTTCCCTACCAGTGCCGATTTCCTCATTACCCCAGGCCCTAAAGCCTCTGTTCCCAACCACCATTCTGAGCCTTCCTAAGATGCACGAAAGATGATGAGTTCAAATCAGTTAGGAGAATATGCTGACATTAAAAACCGAAACTATAGAAATATAGTGGAACTCTTAGAGGACACGGCATGAATATAAGCTGACACCAGGAAGAAGAAAAAATTAAAGCAGGGAGGTGTTACCCATGTTATCCATTTGATACTTCTTTAAAAATAAAAAGCCAGGGTTTGAGGTCTTATATCCACACAGCTTTCATGAACATCAAACATGACTGATAAACACCATGTTTTAAGCAAAACTCAGTGCACATACATGAATTTTTCTAGGGAGAGAATTCTAACATTCTCTCCCTAAAAGTTTTCTAGGTTTTATCAAATTCTTGAAGGAGTCTGTGTCACTCAAACAGTTAAGCACCACTGTTTTAGCCCCTAAACTTAGATGTTCACACTATCCATTGGAAAAGAGAAAAGATCTTAGTCTATATTTTCATGGGAGTAAAAAATGGACCTAGATTCAGGAGACCACATAGTCCATGCAGATGAGTCCTCTTCAAGTCCCCGGTTACCATAGCCATCTATGAATTGAACATCGTTACCCTAGTGGGCTTCACAGCATTTGTCATCTTTTACAGAGCTTTGACCTGGGACTCGGGGCTAGCATTTGTCTCACTTTAACCACCAGATTTCCCAGAAATGGCTGGTTTAGTAGTCAGTAGAGTGCTGCGGCATCACAGTTCACAACAACCTCACACTCTTGGGCTTAAGCGATTCTCTTGCCTCAGTCTCCCAAGTAGCTGGGACTATAGGCACTCACCACAACGCCCAGCTACTTTTTGGAGATGAGGTGTCTTGCTCTGGCTCAGGCTAGTTTCAAACCTGTGAGTTCAGATAATCTACCCTCCTCAGCCTCCCTGATTGCTAGGATTACAGGTGTGAGCCACCACACCCGGCCTTGCTTTCTTTTGTGTTACTAAACCATTGTGATATCACATTAAAGAACCAGGGCCTTCCTCTTCCTTGTCCCTCAATGACACCAAGACCTGGCCAGCCTGGGATTGATTAGCTGTAGCTTTAGCTTTCAGGTTCCTCATGCCTCAGTTCCTGAGGTTACCAAGGTAGTTATCTCTCCTGTCTCTCCAGTTTTAATTTGACCAAGAAGTAGACTTAGAAACTTCTCCCAGTCTTTTCTAAATTGCTGCTCCCTTTTAACTCAGGATCCAGGGAAAGAGTATAAAATTAAATCTTTAAGAACTCCTGTGAAGGCTGGGTGCGATGACTCACATCTGTAATCCTAGCACTCTGGGAGGCCAAGGCAGGAGTGTGGCTTGAGGGTAGGAGTTTGAGAACATTCTGAGCAAAAGCAAGAGCCTGTCTCTATTAAAAATAGAAAAAATTAGGAGAGCATAGTGGCAGGCATCTGTAGAGCCAGCTACTTGGGAGGCTGAGGCAGGAGGATCACTTGAACCCAGGAGTGTGAAGTTACAATGAGTTATGTTGACACTGCCACCGCCCTATATCCCAGGCAACAGAGCAAGACCCTGTCTCAGAAAAACAAAAACAAAACAAACAAAAAAATTCCTGTGAAACTGTCCAGCACTGAGATCTGTAACCTTCCCCATCACTGGCCTCTCCTAAATTTGATTATAGGTCCTAGAAAATAGTGATTCTCAACTTTCTTTGCATGACAGTCATTCACATCCATAGTGCCACTTCTCAGGTCCCATAGTGATTCTTGAAAGGGCAGTGGGTACAATGCAGCATCTCCAAGGGGGAAAACGCCAATGGGTTAGAGTCTGGATACAGGGAACACTAGAAATAAACTCTTCCTACTAAGGAAGAACAACTACTCAGATGGAGACACCTGAGCGTTAGGCCTCTAGTTCCCCATCAGAGGGCTTTGGTTTCTTCTCAGGATCTGTCAGAAACTGGTGCAGGAGGTTTACTGCTGATGCCTATAAGGGAGGCCAGTCTCAGTAGAACTCACTGTTCTGCAGACCGTGTGGGGGATGCATCCAGAGCTGGCCCAGCCCTCAGTGCCTGGATAGACAAGGCACAGTGGGTACCCCTCAGGTGCAATGGCTCATTGAAACCCTTGGATCCTTGACCAAGGTTGGATACATAGGTTGGAGCAGCTGCTGGTTGAGAAGGGGGTGTTCCCAGAATAAATACCCAAGAATAAAGTCAGCCTGCACCCAGTGAAAGCCTGAGCAGAAGCTGAACAGCATGCTGACCTTTTCCAGACTAGATCCTGTATATAATAATGTAGGAGGATATTATGAAAATGAAAAACAATTGCATTAACTGTTGCAGAAAGAAATTCACTGGCTTGATGGAATACAAAAGCTAATCAGTTGGCTATTTTTTTAATAAGTCTAGAGGCTAGAATGGAATATCCCTAATAATTTGATTATTTTGTTATGTAGAATATACACAATGCAAATGCCCGTGCCTTCTGGCCGTGTCATTACCAGGGCAGCCTGGGGGCCCTGTCTGCTCTGATACCTCAGTGCCTTGGCCTGTGGGAGCCACATTCAGCTCTGCAGAGTATCTTCTCAAGACAGAATGTCTGTGGTGGACGAGCTCTGAGTAGGGGTGAGGATGGGGCAGTAAGAGGATGTGAAGAGGGAGTTTGGGATGAGGAAAGGTCAGACCTGCAGGAAGGCTCCTCCACCTTGCTTTTCCTTGGCTCCTGAATCACCATCCTGGTGGTCACTCTGTTCTTCCCAGCTGACTTTCTGGAAGGCCTCTGATGCCCAGAAAGGCAGGTGACAATTTGTGGACCTTCTGCTTTTGCTCTTGGCAGTGCCTTCTGTGCTTGTGTTTTCTGGGCATTCATGCGCGAGGTTTCCAGCTTGCCCCCTTTCCCTTCTCGTCCAGTTTATCACAGTTCAGTGAAGAGAACATGATGGACCCCTACAACCTCGCCATCTGCTTCGGGCCCTCACTGATGTCAGTGCCGGAGGGCCACGACCAGGTGTCCTGCCAAGCCCACGTGAATGAGCTGATCAAAACCATCATCATCCAGCATGAGAACATCTTCCCCAGCCCTAGGGAGCTGGAGGGCCCTGTCTACAGCAGAGGAGGAAGCATGGAGGATTACTGGTAGGGGACTTGGGCCTGGAGGGTGGGGGGAGTCACCAGCACACACTGGCATGAGGGCCAGATGGCCAAACAAAAACTGAAGGGAAACCCAGATCCAGCCTCCCACTCCCAGACGTTCCTGGCTGTCAGGGGGTGGGGATGGTAGAAGCAGTCCCCCACCTCAGTCCTACCTCAAAATAAATACCGCTTTGTGCCAACTCCCTTTTTTAATGGATTCTCAGTGGCAAGGGACCATTCAGAAAGATAATAACAACTTTAATAGGAATACTAAACATCTCCAGAAACAGATTTTTATAAAGTTCCATATAGAACTGCTTTCTCTAGTCAATAGCATCTCTCGGGCTCCTACTCTGTGCTATGTATGGTGAGAAAGACAGTCCTGGGTCCCAGGGAATTCCTTTCTTATTTGGATAAGTTTAGATATGAGGCATCATTTCCTGACTGAGTTTGTAAGATGACACTTTAGAATGACTTCAGAAAGTTGGGGAGAGAAAGAGAGGTAAACTCCACTGGCAGCAGGTTAGGCACACTCCCATTCTCAAGCAGGATTAGACCCCACGGGGCAGGGTTTTCCCTGACCTAGCCTGGAAACAGAGCTCTAAGTGGAATCCCTAGGACACATCTTTGGTAGAACCCTCTGTTAGACAAATCACTATTTTCACTTTACAGAAGTCACTACAACCCAGAGAGACCAGAGATGGTGTTTCAGGCCACCCAGCAATGACAACTGAATCCTGATCTCTTGTCTCTTAGCATAGAGCACCACCCCTTACCCCACGCTGCTCACCACAATAGCACTTACCATGTCATTTTTCTGCTAAACACAAAGACAATTGCCTCCCTCCTTTAGTCCCTAATGTCCCTTACTCTTTCCCCTCCTCCTCCTCTTCCCCACTTCCCCTACATAGTATTTCAGCTGAGCTGAAAGCACAAGCCAGCCCAAATCAGATTCCATCTAAATTCAACATCTGGAACCAATTCAACCAGCCCCATTGCTATTGACTGAGGTAGAGGAGGACAGAGGAGCTTGTTTACTTAATGAGAGGCCAATTGGGCCACACTTCTCCCTGACCCCACAGAAGCCTCTTGCCTAAGGAGTGAAGAAATTGGCATTCATTTGTCTGTGAACGTAATAATATCAGTGACATCCCTAGGTTCACTTCTCTCTGCTGTACTGCAGATTTCAGTGTGTGGGTGTGAGCTGGAGGCACCTATGCTGGCCAGCTGGGAGAGAAAGCTTTTTGTCACCGACAGATGGTCAGTGATGACTGGGGAGGTCGTTGGTCAGTTCAGTTCTCAGCATACTGGCTGACAAGCTCCAGGGAGCTGTCCTTGTGCATGTGGCTTAGAAGGTTGGTTTTCCCCCGTGCATAATGGTGAAAAGCTGTAGAACTGTGTTTCCCAATTCTTGCTTTACCTTTCTGCTAAAATCTGGCAGAAAATCTGCTGTTACTTCTCAAATATCAAACCACTGCAGGCTCTGGACCAATGCCCAGGGCATAGAGCTCCCCCACAGCCCTGCACCCCCATCCTAGCCCAGTGGCGCAGACAGCCCCGGAAGGCCATGGCTCACAGGGTGCAGACAGGCAGGCACTTTCCTCCAGTTTTCTCCAAGGTGTTCTCCCCAGCTCCCCGCCCCTGTTTGTTGTGCACCCGGCATTTATTAGCAGCCTCTGTAAAACCCACAAGGCTAGTGAGGGAACATGACTACCACATGCTGGGTAAGGAGGCCAGCAGCACTTGAGGATCCAGAGTCAGTGGCCCTGGGTTGAGAGGGACCTCAGACCATGGGATTCACACCCACCAAGAAAACTCCTGGCCTTTCCTCTCCCTTGGGAAGAGAAAGAACGCCAGCACAGTAAGTTAGGGTGATGAAGGAAGTGAGCAAGGGGAAATAGAAGGAGAGTTAGAGCCCTAAGAAGCCTGGAAAATGGCCAGGAGGCCAGGTCAGCCATGGTGAGGGGAGCACACAGGCTCCACCAATGTGAGGAGCACCAGTGTCCCACACTGTGGAGAGGAGAGGCAAATCTATTTTACCACACTTACCACCCTGCAAATGGAACCAATTTTCTAGGACTACCTGCTGGGAGGCACAGTGGTCTTCTTCTGAGTCTTCGGGTGCTAGCAGGCCTACTAGGGGCATTGCTGGGGCTGAGAGTATGTGACCAGAGAAACATAAGATTTTAGGGCAAGAAGAGGCCTTAAAAAGCATCATCTTGCCTTTGCCATAAAACAGAGGTTTCAAAGTGGAGTCCATGTAGCACCTGCATCACATAGAACTGACTAGAAATGCAATTCCTTGGCTCCACCCAGACCTAGTGACTCAGAACTCTGAGTGGGGCAGTCTCTTTTTTAAAAAGCCTTCCAGAGATCTCTGAATTTCAGAATTGTTGCCTTAGTGGATGGCCATGTAAATGGGCTTGAAGTCCTGGGGAAAGGTTTGCCTTTGCCCTGTGCACCTCTAGGGGCTCCAAGAGGTTCCAGAACTTTCCCCAAAGTCATCAGATGGTTTTTAGGCCCCCAAAACAGTGAGAAATTATGCTTATGTTTTTTAACAAAGAGTCAAAAATCATAACCCTATTGATACTCTCCTGAGATGTTCTCTGGAGTCTGGAAAACCTCCTGGGACCTGATTTGCTCCATGTGGGGTGTTCTGAACTGATCACCTGGTGTTTGAGGAACTTCCCAGGAGTGTAGGACCATCCCATGGGAATGAAGATGGTTTAGGTCTCAAAGGTAGAAACCATGTGGCCAGGCTGTAGAGTTGAGTGGGAGGGTGTTGCTGTCACAGAACTGCCTGGAAAGGCTTACTTGTTGCTACCTACCGCTTAGGGGTGTGGGGGAGAACTTTAGAAATGAACAGAGTTTCTCTACTTTTTAGGAAGTAAGAACCTTACAGGTGCCCATCCTCACAAACTCTGAAGTCCATGAGATCAGGTGTAGAAACAACTTTCCTAGTAACTTCTCTGGTCAGTCTCAATTCTCTACCCTGGATAGTTTTAGATTCTACGAATTATTTCAAGAACTTGACTGGGCTTCCATCCCTGCCCTCTAGCAGCGTCTAGCCCACAGCAGATTCTTCCTCCCCTACTTTTGTTTCCTACCCACTCATCTATGCCTCACCTCTTACTTTATCACCAGTTCACAGTCTAAACCACAAAGTAACCTCGAAGCATCAAGCAAAATAAGAAGGGAAGAAGTATCATTTGTTGAACTCTCCCTATATGCCAAACTTGTTACTAAATTATTTCATTAAATCCTCACACAACAAATCATTATCTTCAATTTATAGACAAGGTAGCTTAAAGGTATTAAGTAACTTGACTGGGGTCACACACAACCAAGTGTCAGAGCTGGTTTTCAGAGTCAATTGTATCTGATGGAAAAACAGTTTTTCCCTTTTACCAGACTTCTTCCTTGAGAACCAGGAATGAATTCACATAGGGAGTTAGCCCTTAAGAAATTGAAACCCAGGCAGCACCTGGGGCTCAAAGGAGTAAGGCGCCGGCCCCATAAGCTAGAGGTGGCAGGTTCAAACCCAGCCCCGGCCAAACACTGCAAAAAAAAAAAAAAGAAAGAAAGAAAGAAAGAAATTGAAACACATATTTTCTTTAAAATGTGTTTTATAACTTCAAAAGGGCTTTCTTTTTAATCTCAAGATATTCTAAGTCCCAAGTAGTCTCAAGTAGTTTTTGTAGCAGGAGCTAGACCAGAGACCCTCTGGAGCCTTGTATTTCATTATAAGCATTTGTCTGTTATGAACACTTAGGGGAGATAGAGCATCAGATCAATTTGATGTCCTTGCTCCAAGGCTGTACGAAGGGGAAGACAAGAAGTTTTTAAGCAAACACTATGTCCCAGTCACTCTTGCTTCTGTTGCAGTGATAGCCCTCATGGAGAGACTACCTTGGCTGAAGACTCCACCCAGGATGTGACCGCAGAGCACCACACAAGTGATGACGGTATGAAGCCCTGCTTCCTGGTCAGTGGGACTGCCAGGGGTGAAGTAGAAGGAAGTGATTACACATCCTGTGAGCCTGATCAGCCATCTAGCCCAGCCATCCCCTGAGGACAGGCAGGGGGCTCTCCCGTCTCTCATTTTCATCCTTCCCTTCCATGGAGGGACAGCCCATCTTCTCAAATAGAATGGTCTCTGTACTAAACCAGAAGAGAAAAACTAGACCTATCATATTCTTGCCCCACCTCCCAGCTCCTTGTCTGGCCTGGATCCAGCATGTTAGTCCCTTATCACAGCCCAGATTCCCGCTAGGTAGCTGGAGACCAAAACGAAGGAAAGCACATTTGAAAAACAATAAGCCAAGGGAACAGAGAAGCTGGATACCCAGAACCCAACAGAAGCAAGCAGAGAGGAGTGGGAATGAGGATGCAGAAGCCACATGCCTTTACGCCTGCTGACTAGAAAAATTGACCCTTTCCAAAGTACAGGCAGACGAGCGCTGAGCAGACTGGTGATGTGCATTGGGGGTGGAATGCTCAGCTGTCATCCTCAGGCCCCTCTGCAGTGCCTGTGATTTATTAGGGTCTGTCCCGCCAGCACATTTTCCAATAGTTCTACACCTCCATTTCTGGATCACTTGGGCTCTGAAAGCCTTAGCAGCTGACAGGGGCCCTCAGAATTTTCTGGGCACGAGAATAAAATGACACAGTCTATAGAGCTGTCCCTGCTCCCTGCCTTGCTGGGAATTCTGCAATCCTAGGCCAACTTTTAAAGGAGAAAAAAATCAAGACTGCGTATTTAGATCCTGACATCAAAAGCATCAGCATGATTATTTGCCACTTTATAGGAGGGCAGTAGGTGAACTAGGCAAATTAGTATTGGATTAGAGCCTACCGTGTGCCCAACACTGTTAGAGGCTTTATCTAAGTTATCTCTTTAATCTCTAGGCAAATAGATATGGCTGCTATTTTATAGTCCAGAAAATGAAAGTCAAAGAGTCAAATGATATACCTGAGGCCATAGAAAAGGAACCAAGACTGGGATATTTAGACAGGCTTTCTCTGTTCAGCTTCCTATAATGAAATCTCTGGCCCTGCCTGTTCACTGGCTTTCTAGGCCTAGCCTTGGTTTTAAGCAGCCTCTCTGTTACTACCCAGACTAGCTGACTTTCATCTCAGGTTCCAGATTTCTGGAAGCCTTCTTTTCTGATCTCTGCCAGCAGCCAAGAGTAGATAAAGATACTGGTAACAATGACAGCTATGACTAATACACACATAACACCTACTATGGGCTGAGCACTGTTCCAAGCACTTATACAAATTTTAAGTCATTGGCTTTTCATAACAACTTCATGACAAAGGCACTCTTAACATCCACATTTGACAGATGAGAAGATAGAAGCCACACAAAAGTAAAAATACATTGCATTTGTGAACCCTTTTTAATTTTTCTAATTATTCTCATGTGTATATAATGGTCACCAAATACATTTCCATATTTTGCTCTTTGGAAAGTTGATTGGACAGATTATTTTCTCTTTTTGGAGGCAAGAAGCTTGTGCTCTACTAGGAAGAATGAATAACATAAATAAATATTTAAAATATAGTATGATAACTTTTCTAGAACTAATAGAGTTATTATATAATCCAAAAATAAATACTTCCCAAAGTACAGTATGGCAGTTGGATGAGAGAACTCAGCATACAGAGCTATGGAAACACCAAAGAAGTCACTGTGGGAAGCTGGGGTGTTGGAGTTGTGTCTTGGTGCGTTCATTTAGCAGATGAGAGAGAAGACTGGAAATTGCCAGTGGAGGGAACAGCAGATGCAAAGGCAGGGAAGAGGATACCAGTGCTTTTAGGGCAATGGCACAGCATCCATGGGGATTACCTGCTTTGTAGCTCATCCAAAGTTTATTTTTCACACTAAGTTATCTTCCCCTATAAGTTCAAATAATTGAGCTTTTCCACCCAATTCCTGAGTCTGTACATCCAAGAACATGTATTTCCTTCCTTTCTGTCCTTTTTAGAGTGTGAGCCCATTGAGGCCATTGCCAAGTTTGACTATGTGGGCCGGACAGCCCGAGAGCTGTCCTTCAAGAAGGGGGCATCCCTGCTGCTTTACCAGCGGGCTTCCGACGACTGGTGGGAAGGCCGGCACAATGGCATTGACGGACTCATCCCCCATCAGTACATCGTGGTCCAAGACACGTACGTTGGGCCCCTGGCTGCACTGTGGGAGTGAAACTTCATGAGTCTGAGGGACACCAACCCCAGGGGATACCAATGGGTCCATGAAACACCCCCTTTTCCTGCTCTACCCTCCTCAGTAGAAAGTTTTTTAACATCTCCCCACTATCTGTACCCCTGCAAATCAGCCCCAACACAATGAATTTGGAAACCTACCTGCCAGTGCTCATCTTTTATTTACTTATTTTTTTTGAGACAGAGTTGCACTCTATCACCCCAGCTACAGTGCAGTGGTATCATCATACCTCACAGCAACCTCAGATTCCTGGGCTCAGGCTCAAGTGAGCCTCCTGCCTCAGCCTGGGACTATAGGCACATGCCACCATGCCAGGCTAACTTTTTCTGTTTTTAGTAGAGGTGGGGTAGTGGAGTCTCACTCTAACTCAGGCTGGTCTCGAACTCCTGACCTCAGGCACTTTTCCCACCTCAGCCTCCCTCCAGGCATGAACCACCACACCCGGCCTGGGGTTTTATTATGTTATATTTGATCACCTATATTTCCTTTCTGAGAAGATCAGGTTGATAAAACATTTTTGTTTCTTTGTCACAATTTTTTTTTTTTTGGTCACAATTATGCTCATTCCAACATATTGAGCTGCTGGTGACACTTTTCCCCTTGTAAATGAAAATGAAAACTTACTTTCTAGGAGAAATCAGCCCTGTGGAAAGGACCCAGTTTATTTAACCCAGATGAGGTTGATTTGGGGGAAGATGGGAAGGAGGAGGGAAAGGATGTCAGGGAACAAAGGGAACCTGAACTGGCCCGGAGAGATGGGCTGTCAGTTGGTTTCCACCCTGTGAAGCAGTGTCCCCTGGGCCCACCCAAGCCTGCCTTCCTGTCCCTTTGCCCTGCCTCTGCCCCCAACTCCCTTCCCTTGGATACGATACTGTCAGTGTTTTTAGTCCTTCCCTTAATATTATTTTTTAAAGGTTGATATCCTGAGTGAGTCTGCACCCTCCCAGCCTCTCCCCGGCTCGTTCTGCAGGGAAATCCTCCCTCTGTTGATAGCATCGAAAACCTGGTGGCAATCTGTGCGTGAACAGGACCCTCCCAAATTTAGCATTATGACTTCACTACAGGATCAAGAGAAGAGGAATTGTGAGGGAGAAGGGGCTTTCTTTGTCATCAGTAGCCAGAGGGGCCAGGAGAGCAGTGGAGAAACCTGGGACCGGCTTGGACACTCTAAGCCAGGCTGAGATGCGCTACGACAGAGTGTGGCGGTGTCCTGCCTCGACGCCGGCATCTCCAGAGCCACCACAGAGAGGACTGTCCTTACCTGGCAGTGCCCAGGACCTCAGCAGCTAAACCACAACCTGGACTTGCCACCTCCTTCTCCAGGAGGTGGCCTCAGCCTGCCACCCTGAGAAAGCAGCATGGGGTAGAAGGCAGCTGCCCCGAAGCCAGGTGTCCCCTAGCCAAGCTTTCCCCAGGAGCTGAGGAGCCCACAGAGCTCAGCGGATTATTTATTTTATTTAAACAACCCTCCAGCCCGTAGGTTTCCTTGCCTCCGCTCACAGAGCTAGCCCTGCCAGGTGTTGCTGCCGCCTCAGAGCTGTGTGGGGTCGCGTGTGTGTCGGGGGGCCATCGTGCCGATTTAACACTGCTTTTTGTGTTGTTGTTGTTTTCCCTCCTCCCTGCCTGCCTGCCCCTGCTCCCCCAGCGAGGACGGTGTCGTGGAGAGGTCCAGCCCCAAGTCTGAGATTGAGGTCATTTCTGAGCCACCTGAAGAAAAGGTGACAGCCAGAGCGGGGGCCAGCTGTCCCAGTGGGGGTCATGTAGCCGATATTTATCTTGCAAACATCAACAAGTAAGCTCTGCTTTTCATTTTCTGCTCCCCTGAATGACTTGCAACACCCAGCCTCACCCTCCAGCCTAACCCCCCTTCCACTCCTGTGCTGCTCGGAGGGCTCCCAGCTCCCCCAGCCTAACAGTCTGCATGTGTTCATTGCTGCTGCAAGGCAGGCAGGGCTGAGGAAGCTTCTACAGGCCTCGGGGCCAGGGCCAGGTCTCCAGCTAGCTGCCCTTGTGCTGTGGAAGGGTGCTGTATTGTGTGTTCCCACGGTGTCTGTCAGCCCAGACCTCCCTGGCACTCTTATGGCTACAACTTTGGCCAAAGCTTTGGTCACTTTATGCAACTCGGTTTTGTACTGTTTCTCAGAGGTGCCTTCTCTTTCCCAATTCTGTCTCCCTTCACCCTTGTTTGTGCAAAGATTCAGTCTCGTGTGTGTCTCCTACTAGACTGATGTTGGCCCAGGTGGGTTGATTTCAATATCATGTGTCTGTTGCTGGCCCATCCTTCATTCACTCCAGTGGAGGAAAGGAGACCACTATGTCCCCAAGGAAAGCTTTGTCCTGAGCTCTTTGCTCATTGCCTCATGCCTAGCTCCCTTTTATTCTGCCCCTCACAAGGGAAAATGATTTTTCATTTTTTCCCTACTGCATTAGCCCTGTGTATTATCCCTCCCTCTCAGTCCCTCTGCACAGTCCCACTCCTGTCCAGCAGGCTCTTAACTCTGACCCCCAGCTTTCAATGTGGCTGTTAGCAACATCTGGGGTTTTAACTCCACCTACGCCTGATCTGGCTGCCCAGAGGGATTCCACGCCTGCCTGCCGCTGCCTCCCTGAGAGGCATTCGGGTTACTGGAGAACTAATGTCATCTCAAGGGGCCAGACACCAAGTCCCAAAGCCTACAGACCTCTTTCCGCCAGCCCCCGAAACTTGGCCCCGTGCCAACAGGATGACCAGCTCCAGGGTGCTCCTGATGAATATGGATTGGAGATGCTGTACAGTTTTTATTCCCCTCTGGCTTTGGAGGAATGAAATGATTTGCACTTTGAAAACCTGTTAACCGTAGCCTCTGGACACTGAGACTGGAAGGAGAATAAAAGATGCTTGTTGTTTTTAAACTATACCAGGTTTCCTAGATCTCTTGGCTTTTTTCCAACCAGACGGTAGCAGTGGGAGTGGTTGGGGCACGTGGCTGTTTGCCATCTCTTTCACCCTCAAGTTAGCGAAGTAGTTTATTCAGTTCACTTACTCAATGTAGTTGTAATTTAATTCAGACCAGCAAAAAAAAAAAAAAAAAGAGAGAGAGAGTGAGAGAGAGGATTTTATATTTCCCTCCAGCATACTGCCCTGCTGGGAAGGGAAACTAATATAAAGTAACTGTGGGCTAATCACGTTCTTCTTCCTTATTTATAAGCCTATAGTATTAATAATTATAAGCCTACAATTATAAGGTCATAAGCCTGTAATTAACTTGAAAACCAAGGCAGGTTTGGTGGAGGGAGAGTTAAATAATTAGTTAAGTACACATCTTTAAGCCATCGTATGCCACAGATTTCATGCCTTTTGTAGGGAAGTAACAGCTGAAGTAGTCCAAAGATGAACATCAGTAAAGAGAGAAGGTGATTCTCTTGAACTCCTTTCTTAGAGGTATCCAGCTTCTCATAATCAGGTTCTTAGAGGACAAGCCTCTGTCACTATGGCCTACCCAGATACCAGCTGGTCATTGAGTGAGCAGTAGCCCCCGGGCATGTCTGGCCCTTAGGAGCAAGTCTGCCTTTCAGCCTTACTCCTCCTGCCCACCCCCGTCACTCTTCCCACACCCCTTCAGTTTCCTGAGTGCGTAGGTTCTCTCGTACCCCTGGGCCTCCACGCCTGATGTCTCCTCACCTGGTCAACTCCTCCTTTCCCTTCAAGACTCAGTCCAAAGATATTCCTCCTTAGGGAAGCTTTTCTGATACTGTAATTTCCCCAGGACTGAGTCAGATACCCTTATACTAAATTCCCAAAGTATTTTTGAGTACCTCTTGATACTCACAGTGCACTCAGATCCCCTGTGCCCCAGGATAAGCTCCTTGAAACCGGGAACTCTTGACTTCATCATCTTTACATCCTTGGGGCCTGGCCCGTGATAGGCACACTGCAGCCACTCCACAAATCTGCCTTCTCAGCAGTTTTAAGCCTGTGAGTCAGCCATACTCAAGTGGAAAAAGGAAATCAGCAAAGAATTATGAGGGTGTGGCATTTGGATTTATCACACATTTATTACATCTCTACTCCTGTCATAGCAAGCACTGATGCTGGTTATTCAGAGGAGAATAAGACATGGTCCCTCATCTCAGAACTCATAGTCTGGCAAGGTAAAGATTAAAACAGGTTATTAAAAAGTGGTATCATAGAAGCTCTAAAGGAACAGAGGAGGAAGGGATCCATTCTGCCTGCAGTTAGACTTAGTGGTGCCAGGGAAATCTTTGCAGAGGAGGGGTCATTTCAGCAGGGCCTTATAAGACTCTGAGAACATCCTTTTTCCACTTGAGAAGGGCTGAGTCACAAAGCTAAAACTGCCGAGTGGACAGATTCATGGAGACGCTGATATGTGCCAGGTCCTGGGCAGGCTCCAGGGATGTAAAGATGAGGAAGACCTCAGCAGTGAGTAGGACCAGGACTGGCCTAGAGCAGTGGCCCTGCCTCATCCCCTGACTTCTCCTTCTTTTCAAAATCCTATCCCATCCCTCCTTCCACCTTCAGCTCCAGCTTTAGTCCCAGTCTTCCTTAGTAGATTCAAGATCAGAGCTGTCCAGCTGCCATCTGGACCGGGAGTTATTGCTTCTTAGATTAGGTCCTTTAAAATCTGATTCCAAGAGAAAATGAAATTATTCAGCAGCAGGCAACACCCTGTATAACTAGGATCCTGCCAAGCTGTTTTGTGTAAGAGCCCTAAGTGGTCTGAAATAAACTGACCCAGAGCCAGCGCTGAACCCAGTGCTGGTTGACGTAGGAGTTAGGAGTCATGTAGACGTATGTACATATTTCCACATTAAGAAAATGCACAAATGGGACCCTAACTCTGCAGCTTGTTGAAAACTATCCTGTTCCATATCTGCAGAATAAGCAACAACAGTCTCTTGCCAGAGCCCCAAATAATTACTCTTGTTGGATCAAGGGACATGCTAACATTTGAAAAGTTAACTTTCCTCTTCCCAGCAATTCCCCACCTCCTTGGTGATGGTGAGACTTCTTTTCCTGCCTGGGGCCTTGGGTTTCCTGTTCACAGCAGAAATGGAAGGGGTCTTTTCATGAATCTGTCTCCCGTTAGAAACTTTCATTTAATCAGACATTTTTTTGGACAGCACCTTACATCTTGAGAACTGAAAGCCCCTGACCACCAAGTAAGTATCCATTTCTCTTTTGCGCAGGTTGGGGGTGGCAGGGGAATAAAGACATGGAGAATACAAGAAAAGGTGACACCAAGGAGAGAACATGTTCCTTCAAGAAGTCCCTTGGTGCCAACATCTGCCCCCTCTCACTTGTCCTAGCTTCCTCGGAGCCAGAGCTCCCTGATCACATTGCCCTTTCTGTTTGTGATTGAAGGCAAAGGAAGCGTCCAGAATCTGGAAGCATCCGGAAAACATTTCGGAGTGACAGCCATGGGTTGAGTGGTTCCCTGACTGACTCCTCCTCCCCAGGGGTGGGGGCTAGCTGCCGCCCGTCCTCACAACCCATCTTGAGCCAGAGTCTTCCCAAGGAAGGGCCAGAAAAGTGTTCCGTCAGTGGGCATGGGAGCCTCAACTCCATCAGCCGCCATTCATCCCTGAAGAATCGGCTGGACAGTCCACAGATCCGGAAGACGGCCACAGCAGGAAGGTCAAAAAGCTTCAATAACCATCGGCCCATGGACCCTGAGGTCATTGCACAGGTAACTGAGGGTCCTGAACAAACAGCATAAGTCTATACTTGCCACTGCCACTTAGCGCAGCCCATGCTAATTATAACAGGACTTGAAACAAAATGATATTTTATACATTATATACCAAATCCATGTCTACTGTTGGATGTGTAGACCTGATAAGACGGCTTAACCCACAATCTGCCTATCCCTCGCTAGCCAAGAAGAACCTGAAGAGAGAATAAAAGAATTCTGGCTTCTTGCTCATATATGGGCTATTTGCCAAGAATGCTGTAATGTTTAAAGCCAGCAATTGGAGTAGATAGAATACACTTAGCCCACGTTTTGAGTCTCAGACCTCAGTAGACTTTAGTGAGATTGCCTGAGTGTTGAGACTCAGATGTCATTCTGGCCACATGTTTATATTGCTCTGCTCATCCCCATTATCCTGATCCCTAAGGCTACTCTCTGGAACCTACTGTGTAGGTGACCAGTCAACAATCTGGACCTGTCTTTGATCCATAAAGCAATTAATATATAACTCAAACAATCTGTGCCTGGTCTTAAAGGCCCAGAAATAGTCTTGCTGCTGAGAGCTCAGGTACCAAAATGATTTCTAGGCCAAATCTCAACATGCAGTAGTGATGAGCTTCCTGATTACAGGGTCTTTCTTCCATATATACATCACACTGATGACTGTCTGTTTTCCATGAAATGTCAGAGATCCAACCCCACTTCTAAAAATCCGACTACCGGGGCCACTCCAAGCAGTTCACTCAGACGTCTCTCCCAACTATATAATTTTCATTAGACCAGGTAGGAACTAAGGGCTCATTGTTGCCCTCTCATGTCTCAACTGAGTTGAGATTCTCACCCCGTTTTCCAGGGGGCGATAGAGGCTGGGCATGGTCTCTATTGGCTTAACTGCGGTGCTGTGCTTAAGGAGGTGTACCTGGCAAGCTGAGTATTGAGCTACGAGCCTGAGATGTCTTGCTTTGCTAGCTTTCTATTCTGTGCCTCTGTTTAAGCTCTTGGCTGCAATCTGCCTTGCACCACGGGAATCCTCCCAGCTCTCTCCTTGGCCAGCCATTAATAGGAATGTCAGGAAAAGGTACACAGCTGGGACAGACTCTGGCTGCAGAGATTGACTGAGGAAGGAGGCATTCTTCCTGAGCGTTTTAAGGGTTTGAGAATGTCATAGGGATGAGTGGAATTGAATCACTGCCTGTGTCAAAACATTACATGTACCCTATAAAGATATACAACTGTTATGTACTCATAATAATTAAATTTTTTTTAATTATAAAGAAAGAAAAATTGAATCACTGTCAACAGAAAGTATGGATCACTCTGTAAGACAAAGAAAGCTTTACTGGGTTCTTTGCTTAGAACATAGAATCTTTCAATGTGAGCCTAATTGCAAGGAGTAGCCCTATGGTGGTTTGGGGGTACCAGACCCAAGTTTGAGGGGGTGGGAGTTGGGAGGTCTCTCTGGGAGGCAGCTGGCTTGCTTGTCAAGGTTCTTGGTTCTGCCTTGAGCACCGGGGCTACCACTGCTGTTTAAGATCTGAAATGCTCCCCTGATTTGCAGGCAATTCACCTACATGGGCTTTGGTGCCCCCTCCTGGTCATTGTTTGGTCCCCTCCATGGTGATGGGTAGATGAAATTAGTTTCAAAGTGGGCCGGAAGTCAGGGAGGAGGGGTCAGGAGAAGTGTCCTGATGATCTTCAGACACTGGCCTCTTGAAATGTTCCTTAGCCCCTGAGATGGAAGGACTAACCCTTTTAACCTTTGGCCTCAAAGTGCAAGAGAATAAAGATTGTACTTCGTCTCTACTGCTTTTTTGGGAATTGATTATTATGTACAATTTCAAACTTACCCCCAAAGTAGAGAGAACCAGATAATGAATCCCCATGTACTCCTGACCAAACTCCTGGCCACGCTTAGTTCATCCACCTTTCCCCTTCCCTCTGGGTATGTCATTTTATCCATAAATATTTTATACCTGTCTCTAAAGCCCAAGGTCCCTAATTTAAAAACATCACAACCACTCTTTCTAAAGGTAAAGAATATCATGATAATAGAAATCCCTCCGTCCCCCTTTCCCCACTTTTCTTGCATTCATGTGTTAAGATGTGTGGCCAGCTACAGTAATCTAGACATCTTACAGTTGGTCTCTTCGAGACTTGGCCTCTGTTATAGAAGTAGGATCCTTGGGGACTTCTCCCTTCATGTGCCTCACCTCCTCCTTTTTCCTGTTTTGCAGGATATTGAGACAACAATGAACTCGGCCCTGAACGAGCTGCGGGAACTAGAGCGACAGAGCAGCGTCAAGCACACCCCTGATGTGGTTCTGGACACCTTGGAGCCCCTCAAAACCTCCCCGGTGGTGGCCCCCACATCGGAACCCTCCAGCCCCCTGCACACCCAGCTTCTCAAGGACCCAGAGCCAGCCTTTCAGCGCAGCGCCAGTACTGCTGGGGACATCGCCTGCGCCTTCCGGCCTGTCAAGTCTGTCAAGATGGCTGCCCCGGTCAAACCACCAGCCACACGGCCCAAGCCCACTGTCTTCCCCAAAACAAATGCCACTAGCCCTGGTGTCAACTCATCAGCTTCCCCACAGTCTACTGACAAGTCTTGTACTGTCTGAGGCGTATAATTTAATTCTAGACAAGGGGACTGACTGATATTAAAATCTTCCTATTTAACTAGCTTGGGGACTTCAGTTGAAAATTAGATTCTAAGTTCTTGCAGGAATTAGCCTCCCCATTACCTAAAACCTTGAGAATGAAGCCCTCATTGTCTCCTTCCACTTCCCTTCCCGCTGCCCTATTTCCCCCGGTCGTCGTAATCCAGCCAGCTGCAGTTCATGCCGTTCTTAGGCTAGCCAGAGACAGAGTTTTTCATTATCAAGTCACTGTGAAATCTGGCAAGGCACGTCGTAAGGACGTGAGCACAAGACTCGGTCCCCTCAGACCATGGGGATGCCTTGACCAGATAGTTGGCTACTGCCATCTAGCTCTCAGTGGCATCTTGTTTTGGGTACTGATTATAGAGAATCATATATAGTCCATTCTTCATTTTACACACACACACACACACACACACACACACACACACACACACACGTAGCTTTTCTATCTCTGGCATGTGTAGCCTCTCCTGTTCATAGACCAGTCCCTTTGTAAGTTATTGTGGCAGTTCACACAGGAGCCACCAGGGGTCTCCATTTCCGTTACAAACTTTGTTCCCTCTGGGCCAGAGATCCTGGCCTTTGAAATCTCTCCATCACATGAGATTTCACAGGATGGAGCAGTCCTGTAACCTGTCTGGGGCTGGGGGCTTTCTCTCTGTTTTCTTTCTGTTGGTGTGAATTGGTCATTGGTGTCTGCTCTTGCTCTCCTCCGTCCTCTAGAAGTACACTCCAATCTTATTAAGGAACGTTTAAAGTTTTTCTGAATGTATAGATACTTCCCGGGTTCCTATATTTGTCCCTGATGGACCATTTTCCATTTAAGACATTTTCCTGTATAAGATGGTTTTATAGCTGGTTCCTTTTAGGGTAAAGAGTCTTTAAGGGAGTTTTATTGTGTTTGTGGCAGGTTTGAAAAAGGTAAGAAATGGGTCCTTCTTCCCCTTACTTTTGTTTTTGACACTCAAAACATTAAATTCATTTTTCTATTAAAAAATTAAATTCAGCTTTGCTAACCCCAAAATTGTTCCCAAATGAAAATGTATTTTAAGTTCACCTCTTATTTTGGTTATTTTGTAAGGTCTCTCTTCCGGGACCAAGAGGGGCTTGGAGAGCCCTAGTTAGAATAAGGAGAGACACTGTCCCTTAAAATTAGTTTTCATTTATCCAAACAAGGACAACTAAGGGTACTTTGACCTCACAAGCTCTAAATCCTTCCCAAAGCCAGACTCTAAAGAAAATTAAAGATTCGATGCTGAATATTTTGGCCCTCCTTTGGCCTTTTCCCCTGATTCCCCCCCCAAAATGCAAAAATGATAATCCTTGTTTGCTCCAGTTCCGTCTCTAAACCTGGTGCCCATGTTCCCGGTTCCCCTAAAACATCATGCTACCTGGGAGTACCAGGACTGGAGGCGTTCGTGTCTCCATGGGTCTCAGACAGCAACTGGAGTTAAAGCTGAAACTCACTCTTTGTTTCCTGCTTTTAAAGCTGTGCTTTTGTTTTAGCCTTATTATCTTCTGTAGTTCAGGAGAGATGGTGGGTTGCTGTGCAGGTAGGAAAATCTGTCTTCTTATCTTTCCACCTAGAAGAGATCCTCTTTTGGACCAACATGTGAAGTTGGTAGTTGGATCTATAGAAAGTGGTAAGGTTTTTTCCTCCTTCTGTGTGAAGGGAAAGGGAGCTTTGTGGGAAGCCGCTACTGAGCAAGCCCACCTGCAGCACCAGAGAAACCATTCCCAGAGCTAGAAGGGAGAACCAAAGAAGCCCTTCAGTAAAGTGTGTCAACCTCCCAGAGGCACCTCACGAGCCTTTGGGCCTTTGTCACTCTGTTTACTGGTCTGTCACCTGGGCTTACACAGGTCCTGAGCCAACTGGGGGCTTTCATACCCAAGGATCTGTTTCCTTGCTGGAAATGAAGCCCCACCCTTCACTTTAACATTCCTTCTAATCCAACTAATCAAAATTGGTACCCACGCCTGCCCTGTCCCCCTCTCTCCAGCACATTCCCCTCTAAGAAAGTAAATGCAAAGCTTCCTTAATGACAATGCTTTGGGCCTATTCTGTTGCTCCTGCCTTATTTCTCTTTCAACCCTGTACATGACTTGTGTTCACCATCCCCTTGGTCAGTGTCCATCTGCTGCTGATTTGCATCAGGAACTGAACAGTGTGTGAGTGGTCACCTACTAACCCAACCCTGGGAGCAGAGCTGTCTTCCCCATCTCTGGTGCTCCTGATACCTGTGAGATGGTTCTGTCGAGAGGATGAGGAACCAATAGGAGGAGAGTCCTTCTCAGTGGAGCTCACTGCGGTCAACTGGAATTGAGGTTGCACACTGTGATTTTACACCGAAGAGCCAAAAGGAGTTGGCCCCCAGGGCCTAGGGAGACCAATCTTCCTCAGATAGGCTTGCCGAAACCAGCATGATGCTTCAAAGAGCCCTGCTCTGCCCTTGTGGCATGATGTGGACTCCGAAGGGTCAGTCTTTGAGAAAGAGAGGTGGAATGGGGCTGCTAGCATCCCAATTTGGAAAAGTAGAGGAGTTTGTAGCCAGCAACCTGTAAACTGGAAACACTGGTCTCAGCCAACCTCCTCAGGGCGCCCTGGTTTCTCCCCAAGCAGATGAGGAGCGATGACGCCAGCATCAGGATGAACAGAGCACTGGAAGGGCTGGTGTGTATGTGCTTCACGTGCAGAAGAGAAGTTACATCTTCCAGGGAATTGCAATGTTGTGGCGTCTGACTTGTATGTCACATTTGTGTAAAATGGTATATTCTTTAAAATAGTGTTGATAACTGGAATATTGTATGTATGCTTGGAGATGCTTTGTGTGAACCTAAGACTGTCACTCAACAGATGTTGGATTGGGGAAAATCCAAAGCACAACTTCAAAATAAAATACATTTTTAGGTTTCAGTGTTGCAGTTCACATCCCTTCTCCATTCTCTGAAATCTGATTCAGGAGTGCAGCTGCCTGGGAGGGATTTTGATTCGTCTGAGCTAACAGAGCCCTGCCTGGCAACAGAAGGAGAGATGAGATGACCTTAGAGCCAGCCACCTTCTCCCTCCCCCACCAAGGCACAGCAGAGTTGCATTTAGTATGGGGGCCCTCCGTCCCACCCCCACCCAGCATTTCCATTTAGCCTATGGTGGCGCCTAAGAGGTTTTATGGAAAATCTTCCAGCTCACCATTGGGCAGTCTGTTGCCATGAGAACTATTTCCTTCACAGAATTCACCTTCCCTGTTTTGAATGAGGACTTCTCATTTCTATCTCCAGTCAGATTTCCTGACTTGGGAGGAATGAGGCCTAAGAAGTTGCTTGGATATTTTGCCGGCTACAACCAAAGGTGACCAGAGGTTCCATTTCTTCCCCAACCAAAGCCCTGAGCCGTTCTGCCCCCAGCACGCCCCCTCCCTCTGGGAGAAGAGCTAACCATAAGCTACACTAGCATAGTGGGAGAGACAAGAGATGCTGTCTCTTTTAGATTTCAATTCTAGCAAAGCATGGGTTCAAGGGTACAGTCATTCAAAGGTAACAACTTCAAATGCATACTAGATCTCGTAAGGCCCACACCTCTTTTTCATAGGCTTATTCTAATACCAGATGGATCACATCTCTCACATCCAAGAGGGTGCCCTGTGTTCAACCCCCAGCCCTAGACCAAACACTTTACATCCTCTTCTGAGGTTTGTTATCTCTAGCTACTACTTGTACATCTTTTATTCAGCTCTGTCATGCCTTTCCAACCTGTCTTCTCTCCCCCCACCCCTGCTTTAAAGGAATAGCTACTGTCTGGAGCTTCTCTGCTAGGCCCTGGGCTTGGGTGAGTGAAAGCCAAGGCTGTTCTGCCACCCTGTGGTATCAATGAGTTCTGGCTCCCTGAATGGAAGTAGAGTGGGGATGGCCTAGATCACCCCAGAGCATGCCACAGTGCCTGACTAGAGCCAATTCTTTTTTTTTTTTTTTGGACAGAGTCTCACTCTGTTATTGTGAGTAGAGTGCTTTGCTATCACAGCTCACAGCAACCTCAAATTCTTCGGCTCCAGAAATCCTCTTGCCTCAGCCTCCCAAGTAGCTGAGACTACAGGCACTTGCCACAATGCCTAACTAGAGCCAATTCTTAAGCTGTGAGGAGACAAAAGAGCCTTTGCAGAGGGTCCTAAGGCAAAGACGGGCTATGCTTTTAGGTCCTCTGCATTCATCTCATATTCTGATGGGAGCTTGATGGAAACTAGTGGCAGTGAACATAATCAAAATACAAGTCCATTCCGTCCAGATAGAAACCAAAAAAGGAGATCGGGTAGGTATGAGTTTAGGAAACAGTCTTTAAGATTATTTAATCTAAATGTGCATATCTATAGGTATGTAATGTTTCTTTTTACTCAGGAGTTAGCAACCCTGGCATATTCCAGATGCTAGACTGGATTGTTTAAACAAACCTTAAGCCAATGTGTGCAAGCATTGTCACACAGCACAGAACAGAAGAAACAGGTCATGCAGCTTTCTTTCTAATCAGGGAGGACAAATAAATGAGCAAAATAACTGTTACTCTGAAAATGGAGCACTGTAATAAGATAGTGCCTGGGAAAGGCCACTCCAGCAGGAGGGAGTAATGCAGGAAATTAAGAAATCTGCTAGGCCTGGTACGGTTGAGATGACTGGTAGACGTCCAAGTGCAAATATCAGATACACACTTGGATGTATGGGTCTGGGGTTGCAAGGATAGATCATACCTGAAAACATCCTAGAAGCACCATGGGTGTATTCAAACAATCCTGGGAGGAACGTGTAGGTGGAAAGAAAGAGAAGGTTCCAATAATTAGAAACCCAGCAAAGAAAAGAAGCAAGTAATAATCAGGTAGGTGGTTGAGAGGACAGGGTCACAGAAACCAAGAGAAGGAAGTAATTCAACAAGGAAGAAGAATTCAACTATTGAATGCAGTTGGGGTAAGATGAGGCTGGCATAGGAAGGGAATTCTTTGGTTACCTGGACAAGAGCATTTTCAGTAGTGAGGAGATGAGTCCAATTAGAATGGGTTAGGCAGCAGATGGGAAGGGCAGAGGAGGCATTAGCTCTTGACAGCTCATTAAATGGGGAGCATCAAGAGGGGTCAGGGCCAGATTTTTGTTTGGAAGGTGGACAGCACTGAGACACATTTTCTCAGTTGGCAGGACCCAGGACAATGGGAAGAATGAGTACTCCAGGGAGGGTGGGTCACATAGGACAACTGGAAGGGTCAGCCACCACCAGTAGAGGAGGCACTTTTGTCCTGTCTCCTGGGAGGAAGGCAGTGGATGTGGGAATGAAAAAGTAAGGGCATTCCCTTTTGATTGCTGCTTTTATTTCTAGGTCATTAGCACAGAGCGTGGGAGGGAATGATGTGGAAAAGGTTTGAAGAATCAAGAGACTGAATGAAGTACTTGCTTTTCCATACTGGGAAAGACGACACACGGGGGTGCAGGGACCAGTTTTCTTCAGTGGCCTGGATGCTGCTCCCGCAGCTCCTGTCCCCATTGCTCAGGGGACTAGCTCCAGGTGCCTGCAATGTGTGTCCCTCCTGCACCCAAAGTTCCCAGCCAGAGCTGACTTCTGAAGGTGGCAAGGAGCTGAGATCTTGTCACTGAGCCCTTCATACCTGTGACAGAGCACAGCAAGTACACACTGCCCCTCAAGTGCCGCCACCCAGTGTCTTCCACATCACCCCTTCCCATCCTTTTCTTTCTTCCTCTTTTTAAGGCATTGGGCAGGTGAACTGGCTGCGGCAAACTGGCTCAGGCTCTGTAGGGGCAGAAAAAGCAACCAATAGCTATTCAGAGCCTACCAGGCAACAGGCACTTCATCTCATTTTGTTTTCACACCAACTCTTACAAGAAGGGTTGAGTGACCTGCTCAAGATCACCCAGAATGACCTCTGTGACCTAAGTGACCTCTGTGAGGATGTCACTGATTTCTGCCCTTTCCACTGTACCACTCAGCCTCTTTGGAGAATCCAGAAAGGTTTTCCCTGAAAGCTGCCATCAAGGACTCCCCTCTTCCTGCCTGTGGTTCTTCCACTACCTTTGGATTGTCACTTCTGTTTCTAGGACTCCTCAGAGCCACTCAGGAAAACGCGGTGAAGCCTCTTAGGGACTTCCTCTTCCTCTCAGGAGCCAAGCTCCGGCACCTCCCCTGATGAAACTCCCTGGCTGGGACACAGGCAACGCATTGCCTCATTTTGTCCACACAGAGGATGTGACCTCACTGAGGATGCCTAACCGAACTTGATCTGTCAGTGCACATGGCTCCAGGCCACCTCCACTCCCTCTTGTCTCCACCCTTAGTCCGGCCATTCCCATGCTCTATTCCTCTGCCGTGTGCCCACTGCTGAGATTTCCTTCCCTCCAGGTCCCTTTTCTCCACCTAACTCTTCTCTTTCCTAAGTCCAAGCAGCCCCCCTTCTGGTTAAGCCTTTCTTAACCACCTTCCTCTCCCAGCCCACCACGCAGGAGTTTACAGAATTGCTGGAAGTGTGTTATCTCCTAACATTCAGCACGCGATCCTGGACCCCCAGGCTCCGGGGTGTTACCTTCTCCAGGCCCAGGTGTCACCTTCCTGCCAGCGCACAGTGCCTGCTTCCTGGTAGGAGCTAGACACACGTTGCCTTTGAAGGGCTAAACACGCTGGGAAAGAGAGGAAAGTAAGAGTGCTGGTGAGGATGGAGCCAGGGTCACCAGGGAAAACAGGCATGTGTTTACAGATAGGCGAGGTTATGTTGCAAACCTCAGTGGTCTAGGACAACAAAGGTTGATTTCTTCCCATAGCCAAGGGTTCCTGTGAGCCAGCAGTGGAGCCAGCAGGAGCTCTGCTCCTGACAGTCACACCCAGGCTAACAGAATCACATATAACTGCCAAGAGGGCAGAGCTCAAGGGCAGGGGATGTCTTGCATCAGCAATTAAATCCTTTTGTGGGGAAGTCACATGTTCCCCTCACCCCCATCACAGGGAGCCCAGGAATTCTCTGCACCAAGCAGGTGGGAAGCTGGGAATGCCGGTGCAAAACGAGGGGCCTGGTCCTGCCTAGTGTGAACCCACAGCAACCTGTGACTGTGGTGTCAGGAACAGGTATGTCTCTCTGAGCATGTTCTCAGCTCTGCTCCTGTTCTGGTGTCACTGTGGTAGGGGTGGGGCTGGCAGAGGAAACCACCAGGTGTGGCCTTGGGAAAGTCCCTCCACCATTCTATAGAAACATGGAATTTCCTGGTTTTAACCATTTTGTATCCAGTTGCTATCTCAGAGCTAACCAGTGCAGCACAGATCTCTCCAGCCTCCTACAACATTTGATTTTGGGCACCAAGTCCTGGCTGGGAAGTTGGCACCTGGGTTCTAGCCTCAGCAGTCTCTGAAGATCATGGGCAAATTACTGAAGCTGTGTGGGCCTTAATGCCTTCAATGCCCATCTCTAAAATGCTTTCCAGTCTCACAGACATCTCCAGATCTATTGTTCCATGACATCCATGCAGCCCACAGAGTGAGTGTTACCATCCACACGCTGTGGGTGAGAAAGCTGGCTGTGTGCTGTGCTCAAGGTCATGCTGGAGGGCATCACCTGGGTTCCAGTGCTTGCTCTTCACTGGGAAAGTGAGTCACATCCAACCTCTCCGAGGACTGGCTAGGTATAGGTCCTGGACCTCCCTGGGATGGATCCTGGGTGCAGAACTTGGTCTTCTCAGGCAGCTCTCCACTGGGTTAACCTGCCCAACCTGCTCTGTTGACTCTGGGCAGAGCCCTGAAATTCCTTGTTTCAGTGAACTACAGGAGTCACCAAACAGTACCCAGCAGCTTGCCACAGCCACAGCCATCAGGGCTCAGTTCCTGGCCTCTTTGGGGCTCAGATTCCTATACTTTCCACACCTCCACTTGGAAACCCAGAGCATCCTCTTTCTCCTTCCTGCTGAATTGGTGGCTGCACTGAGCTGCCTCTGTCTCTTTAAGAGAGACAGAAAGAGAGAGAGACAGAACTAAATCAGGAAGTGCGAGAGCTGAGAGCCAGGGCTCAGTGTTGAAGTGGGTGTCCTGCCGCCAGAGAGACTGGGAGAAAACCCACTAGTCCCAGTTCCTGGGGTGACACAAAGCCATTTCAGCTGGCCTTTCTGCGGGTCCTAGGGGCCTGCGGCTACCAGGATGCTATGAGCACTGCCCACAGATGACAGCAAGTCCTGAAAGCTCTAGGGGCCCAGTCCCACAAGCCTGTGTCTTCTGCAGCTGAGATGGGGTGAGTGTGCAGTGTCCACGGGGGAGGCTTCAGTGGGGGAAGCAGGCAAGGGGCAGGGCAGGCAGAAGTCAACTGAGTACAGGGCTGCCTGCATTTCAGCAGCAGCTCGCCAGGCCCAGAGTCCCCTCTGTGTCCCTCTGTGGCTGTTGGGGGCAGGTTGTGTCATGCACTCCCTCTCTGGCTGGCACTCTTGGAAAGGATGGCTTGGAGTCCAGTGAGCGCAGGGAGAGTTGTGGCTTGCTGCCTCCCTGGGCTCTGCTTACCAACACCTGAAGGCAGCGGTCAGCTTCTAGTGCCTGCCCTCACTTTTCCTGGGTTCTGTCTCCTGGACCCAACCCCAGGAATAGAAGCAGCCAGGAAAGTCTCCTGAAACAGCTGGGGGAAGAGGGCTGGAATCCCCCTCCACACACACACATACACACACAGCACTGTGGGGGAGGTGACAAACAGGAAAGGGTTAAAGGGCTAGGGCTGGTGGCCTTTGATGGAGGCAGAGAAGCAAACAGCACCAAGGGGCCTCTTATCTGCCCTCCTCCTTCCGGTGCAGCTCAGCTCCTGGACTCACCACAGACAGACACCATAAGACACCCTTGTCAAGGAGAGTCTTTGTCTGATTCAGGACTGCTCAGAGCGTGGGGTAAGTGCACTTAGCCACAGGAGAGCCTGAGGAGGGAGGGAAGCAGTGTCTCAGTCTGGCTCCCAGGTTCCACCATCCCAGGCTCATGGGCTGATGTGTCCCGCCACTGTTGACACTCACTGAAGGCTGTTGCACCCTCCTTGCATCAAGTGCTGGGCTGGGGGCCACAGAACATGCATTGCAGAGCCAGGCACATGCACCGCAGTCACAGAAGCAGGGGCATGCTGCCTGTGTGCCGCTGGCCCTTTACACCACACTGCCCCTTCCCACTGTACCTTCAGGCGTTCCCTGCCCCAGTACCAGAGTGCAGACCTGCTGGCTGACTCCTCAGCCTCAGGGGGGACAACCTGGCTGACTTATTCCTACTGAGCTACCATGTTGTCCCAGGAAAACTCTCAGTACCTCAGCCCCTTCTGTATAATGAAGACATGAATACATTATCCGAAATTAGGAACTGACCACTGAACTCTTTAAGGGGCCTCTAGCTCAAGGGGCTGACATTCCCAAAGATTTGCATTTTTTATAGAGTACAGTGAGAAGAGGCTCCAAGCTCAGGAAAACAGGATTCCCAGCACATGGATCCTTAATTTGAGAACCTGTAAGAGGTTAGAACAGGAAGAAGCCTTTTCTGTTTTTGGCCGGGGCTGCGTTTGAACCCACTACCTCCCACATATGGGACTGGTGCCCTACTCCTTTGAGCCACAGGCACCATCCTGGAAGAGGCCTTTTCTAGTCTAGCCTTATTTAAATGTGTTTAAGGGATAGTGGCCCATCTTATGGTCCTGCCCCTGGGCATCCCAAAAAGGCCAGCCCTGGCCTTGTTTTTCAGAGTGGCATTGAGTTTCATTTCTGAGGCTGCACTGTCTGCAACCAATTGCTTTGAGGAACAGCCCTTAGGAGAGAAGAGGATGAAGGCAAAGATGGGGAACAGAGGGGTAGGGGAGTTTCAGATCCTCCCCAAAGCTCCTAAGCCCTTGGGTTGTTGATTTCTTGCCTCTCCCAGCCTTGCTCACCCACACACTCACACCCACATCTGCAGCAGCCCTGGCCCTCTGGTGGACCTGGCCATGCTAGTCGCCTGGCTAGCAGCTGTCAGCTTGTAGCAGCAGGAAGTGGTGGGCCTGGCAAACCGGCAAGCATGCGGGGTTGGGGGGGTCCAGGCTCATGTTGCAATCCTGGAGATTTATGGTGGTGCCGGTGACGTTGCCTGACCCGGGGCCCTTCCTCCTGCACTGTTCTGCTTCCTGGGACAATCCCAGGCCTGGAGGCCAAAACCCAGAATTCTCAATGCCTAAGAGAGGTGACAGAAAAGGTCTGTCTCTGCAGAACAGCTGAGGAGGGGGATAAAGGGGACCTTGGAGAGAGGACAAGCCCAAGGCCCCGTGGGTGGCATAGGCACAGGCTCTTGCTATTGCCCTGTGCTTCTTTTTGGGGAAGTTACTTAATTTTCTGTGCCTCACTTCCCCTGCCCCCTTGCCTGTGGAAGGGCCACATGGAGCCCTTCATGGGGCAGTCTTGTTCGGGGCCCAGCCACTAGTCATGTCACCAGGTTAGGGATGAAACCCTGTGTCCCTAGCATGTGCTTCTTCAGGTGGAAGGTGGCCAGCAAGCCCGGAGAAAAGATGCAGAGCACAGTCAACTACCTGTGGCACACAGATGACCTGCTGGGGCAGGGCGCCACTGCCAGCGTGTACAAGGCCCGCAACAAGGTAGGGGGCAGCCGGTCTGCCCGTTCACATCTGGGGAGCAGGCTCAGTCAGCCCCCAGTGGGCTCCAGGGGGGCACGCGGCTGGACAGGGGCCCCTGGGATCAGTTCAGCACAGTCTGGGAAAAGAGCACACTGAAGTCTTCAGGAGCTGGAAAGGGCTCCTTGAGAGGGCGCCTCTGTCAGGTACAAGTTGGGACAAGAGAAAGATGAAGTCACCAAGGGAATAATGTAACAGTAATGGGATCTAGGGATAGCAGAGGTGGGAAGTGGAACTTGTTGACATATTTTGGATTTATCCTACAAGAACATAAAAAATGATGCTCCAGACAGACCAGGTTCTAATCCCTGTTCTGCTGCGATGCCAAGCAGGTTTGGCTATCATTGCAGTTATTGTCAATGGCAAGAGTAATAATGAAAAGCTACCCTCTGCAGGATATCAGGTGTGCGGAGCCCTTGTCGCCTCCTGGTGCTTGACCATCTACCCCCATGTAGGGGAAGGAGCGGAGGTTGGGAGAGTCCATTCAACCTGGCTGTCTGCTCATCTCTGGGGTTGGGCCGAATGGAGGCCTAGGAGAAGGTGGCTGTTCCCCTGTGGCAGTGGGATTTGTATTATCCCTCTGCGATCTCCCACTCCTCCCTCCCCTGCGACAGAAATCTGGGGAGCTTGTCGCTGTAAAGGTCTTCAACACTGCCAGCTACCTGAGGCCCCCGGAGGTGCAGGTGAGAGAGTTTGAGGTCCTGCGGAAGCTGAATCACCAGAACATTGTCAAGCTCTTTGCGGTGGAGGAGACAGTGAGTCCAGGGCTGGGGTAGAGGAGTATGGTCTTGTCCTTGACCCTCACAGTCTAGAGAGAGTCCAGCCATACACTAATAGTAGCCTGCTCACCAGCAGTCAAACTGTAGAGGGGAGCAAAGAATGTAAGGAGGGGAAGGGGTAGCTCAAGGAAAAGGAATGGCAGAATCAGTGCCTAAGCAGAGAGGGCTTCCTGGAGAAGGTGATCTTGGATTCCAGTGTGGGATCAGTATGAGGCCAAGGAGGGGAGACCAGGCTAGAAGCAGGGACCCAGAGAATAGGGGCTCTAGGTTGAGCTGAGGCACCTCTTCTTGATGAGTGGGAAGGTGAAGTGCACCCTCCCAAATCCTTCCTCTGTCCCACCCACAGGGGGGCAGCCGACAGAAGGTGCTGGTGATGGAGTACTGTTCCAGTGGGAGTCTGCTGAGCGTGCTGGAGAGCCCTGAGAATGCCTTCGGGCTGCCCGAGGATGAGTTCTTGGTGGTGCTGCGCTGCGTAGGTGAGCCCTCCCTGACCCTGCCTCCCGGCTCAGCCCAGCAGCAGGCCTGGGACATAGCCTTTGGGGCAGCACCTGCTAATCATTCAGTTTCAAACTCCAATTTCAAAATAAAATTTTAAAAAGATTGGACACCAACATTCATAGCAGCATAATTTACAACAGCCAAAAGACAGAAACAACCTAAATATACAAACAAAATGTGGTACATATATGCAATAGAATATTATTCAATTTTAAAAGGGAGGAAATTCTGACACCTGCTATAACACGCATGAATCCTGAAGACATTATGCCAAGTGAAATAAGCCAGTTACAAGAGGACAAACACTGTAATTCCACTCACTCACATGAGGCGCTCAGGGTAGTCCAATTTATAGGGACAGAAAATAGAATGGAGGTGCTAGGGCCTGAGTGAGGGGGGATGGAAGTGTTGTTTAATGGGTACAGAGGTTCAGTTTGGAAAGATGAGAAAGTTCTGGAGATAGGTGGTGATGGTGGCAAGACAATGTGCCTATGTCCCTGAAGTATATGCTTACACATGTTTAAAATGATAGATTTTGTTATGCATATTTTACCACAAATAAGTAATACAAGGCTCTGCTGCCCTTAGGGAGGCAGAGTCACTTCTCTGATTTCCTAGGGAAACCAGGTGGAGCTTCCACACATTCCCCAGTGCCCTCAGGACCCCCTCCTAGGCCCATCTCTGTTCCCCACTTTTCCCGTGGCCTTGTCAGCCCATGAGAACTCCCTGTCTATCATGATGCAAGGACAGCCCTCCCACCAGGATGAATCTCAGACTCCACACTGTCCCTGGCCAAAGCCAGCTAGCAGTCCTCCATCTGTCCTCAGTGGCTGGCATGAACCACCTGCGGGAGAACGGGATCGTCCACCGTGACATCAAGCCTGGGAACATCATGCGCCTCGTGGGGGAGGAGGGACAGAGCATCTACAAGCTGACCGACTTCGGGGCTGCCCGGGAGCTGGATGATGATGAGAAGTTCATCTCTGTCTATGGGACGGAGGAGTACCTGGTGAGTGAACTGCTAGGCCCCTGTCACCTTGAGCTATGGGCCTCCCTGGCCTTGTGACTCCTTCAGATGCCCCTAGGAGGGGGTCTGGCCCATCCCCCTGCTTCTGGAAGGTTAATATCTCACCCCCTGCACCCCAACCAGAGGAGTACTTCTGTTCTCTAAGATAGAAGGGGCAATGGCACCATCTGTCCAGATAGCCTGCCCCGTGGGTGACCAGATGGAAACGTTCTGGATAGGCCACTGGGATACCCATTGTTAGGATGATAAAGAAGAAGGGTTCTGAGTGGTCCTGTTTCCACCTGAAGATGGTGGAAGGGATCCTGACAGGCGGGGGTTCAGGCCCTTGCTCACCTCTCCCCATGTTGGTTTTCTGGTTCTCTTTCCGCAGCACCCTGACATGTATGAGCGGGCAGTGCTCCGAAAGCCCCAGCAAAAGGCCTTTGGGGTGACTGTGGATCTCTGGAGCATTGGAGTGACCCTGTACCATGCAGCCACAGGCAGCCTGCCCTTTGTTCCCTTTGGTGGGCCACGGCGCAACAAGGAGATCATGTATGGTGGGCCACAGGGCAGGGAACTGGGGGGTGCCCTGGACTTTCCCCTGTTGGTCCCTGCTATGTCCCCTGCTCCCCCTTGAATTCAGATCCCATTCCCAGCCAGGCTCTGGTAGGTCCTTTGTTAAGCAGTGGGTCAAAGGAGGAGCTGAGCCCTGCCCACGGCTTGGTGGGAGCCTGCTAATACTTCTCTTAGTTCAGTGCATCCCTGTAACTGTCCCCTCTTTTACTGCTCACTTCCTCATAGCTGAGGCTCAAAAAGTGACTTGTCCAGGGATGCAGAGAGCCTGCCAGGGGCAAAAGTGGGGAAAGCACTCAGCCTCCTATTCCCAGGTCCAAGGTCTCCATAGTTTCCAGCTGTCTGATAGGAGCAACAGGTAGCTGGAGAGAGTAGCTGCTCTCCTTAAGTGCCCCACCCAGAGCAAGACAGATCTGAAGTGGATTAGCAGAAGATCGACGTACCCACCCTCATCTCAGGGGTTGAGCTGTGTGGAGCCTGTATTAGACTTCTGGGAAGGGGGTCATCAGGAAAGGCTGGACTCTGAAAGGAGAGGAGGATGTCGGGAGCCAATCACAGCCTGGGCAAAGGTGTGGAGGCTGCCAGGCTGGGGAAAGTAGGGTAAGGGGAGAGGCAGTGGACAGGGCAAAGTTCTCCCTGCTTGAAGGAAGAGCTTAGCATGGGAGCTCGCAGGCACAGTGAGCTCCTTGGAGGAAAGCTAGCCCTCTCAAATTCTGTTTTCCAGGCTACCTTAGAATGGATGGGTGCCTTGACCCAGTGCCCTCCCTCAGTCTGAGTTTATTGTCCCTGGAAGTGTGACAACTGGGCTCCCACTGACCTGGCCCTGCCTCACCCCAGGTACCGAATCACCACCGGGAAGCCACCCGGGGCCATTGCAGGCACTCAGAGACGGGAGAACGGGCCCCTGGAGTGGAGCTACAAACTCCCCATCACCTGCCGCCTGTCCGTGTGAGTGGACTCTGCTGGGTGGATGGTGGTCGAGCCTGGGCTGAGTGTCACTGCTCTCCACTCAATCAGGATTTCTGAGGCCTGGAGCCTCAGAACTGTGGGGTTGGGTATAGCATTTTCCCTTTGTAGCCCAGTTTTTCCACCTGGATGCTGGAACCAGTTCTTCCAGCTCTTCCTCCCCAGCTACCTTGGTCCCAGCTCTTCAGGGCGTTCTCATGGAATGCTCCTATTATCTATTTGAGGGGACAAGTCTGGATCCCAGTCTCTGACAGCGTCCATGTCATGGGAGGGCAGGGGTTTGCAGACCCAGCTGGTGCCCATCCTGGCCAACATCTTGGAGGTGGAGCAGGCCAAGTGCTGGGGCTTCGACCAGTTCTTTGCGGAGACCAGTGACATCTTGCAGCGAGTTGTCTTCCACGTCTTCTCCCTGTCCCAGGCAGTCCTGTACCACATCTACATCCACACCCATAACACGTAAGTGGGGACAAGGGAGTGCAAGCAGGAGAACCTGCCTCCGCAAGCAGAAGTGACTGTCTGAAGTGGCACCTCCCAAACTATGTTCCGTGGAGTTTTTAGATATAGAATTGTGGGTCCAAATTTAGTTTGGAAAAACACTAGCTCCACAAAGTTAAACAGATATTCTTGCTTGTACTTCAGAGATTCTACATCCTTTGCAAGAATAATATGCATTGTAAATTTGGGAAGTGTGTGTTGACAATGTATTGTCTGTATCTATCGCTCATAGAACCCTTTATTCCAGGAGTACTTTATGGTACTAGGTGAATTTAAATGCAAGTGTGATGTGGAGCATGCAAGGGCAGAGGCTGGGTATTGGGGCTCCTGGTTCTGTTCTCACTCTGTCACCAACTATTAATAAGACATGAACTCTCTACTGTCTCTCTCTACCCCTCATGAGAGAGAAAACCAGCCCAGTAACCCCCACCCCTGGGAAACTGAGCCCTGTGTATGGGCAAAGTCTCAGCAGGGGCTTGGATCCCCCTGACCCCACATCCTGCCTACTGATACCCCCACCCCCCACCTGTTGGATCTAGGATAGCCATCTTTCTGGAGGCTGTGTGTAAGCAGACCAATGTGGCCCCCCGGCACCAGAACTACCTCTTTGAAGGTCACCTCTGTGTCCTTGAGCCCAACCTCTCAGCACAGCACATCGCCCACACAACAGCCAGCAGCCCCTTGACCCTCTTCAGCATAGCTGATGAGACCCCCAAGGGGCTGGCCTTCAGGGACCGTGAGTAAGGCCCTCCGGGCTGGGTCTCTTCTCCTCACATTCCCTTTCAAGAGGTTGGGGTATACAATGCGAGTGTTTCTTTGAGCCCACAGTGTGCAGAGGGCAGATCTGGGCTCTAATTCTGCAGATGCCTCTGAGATGCTGTGTATCTTAGGCTGGTGGCTTGACCTCCTAGGGCATCATAGCGTCCAAGAAGTTGTTAAAAAGAAAGGAAGGAAGGAAGGAAGGAAGGAAGGAAGGAAGGAAGGAAGGAAGGAAGGAAGGAAGGAAGGAAAGAGAAACAATAGAAATGTGGAAATTTGGGTTTAATGTACTCTATAATCTCTGATTGAGGGAAAGTCTCAGGTAGTTTGTGCTGGAGGAATGGGAGCCCAAGCTGCTGAAGAGAAAAGAAGGTGATCAGGGGTTCATAGCGTTGTCCTTTTCTCCAAGTTCTAGTGAAGGTATTATTCATTCTGATTTGCATGATGCCAATTTCATCCTCCCAACCTGCAAACACATAGCCAAGAGGGTGGTGGTTTTAGCGGTCTTGATGCCTGTTGAGGTGGGCCCTTGGGCATGAGGGTGCAGTTCTCAAGACGGCCGCAAGGTGGCAGTGAGGGACCACAACGGTAAACACTGGCCAGGCCTTAAGCGCGTATGCTGCTTAGAAAGTGTGGGGCGCTGGGGTGTGGGATTGGAGGCCAGGGGAGAGTAGGAGTTAGAAATAATAAAGATGAGCTCAAAGTTGACCTGGAACCATAAAGATAGGCCACTCAGACAGGGTCTTTGTCTGCAGCTGCTCTGGACGTCCCCAAGTTTGTCCCCAAAGTGGATGTGCAGGCAGATTACAACACCGCCAAGGTGAGGGGTGGCCCCAAGGTGGCAGGGAGGCATGAGAAAAGGATTGGAAGGTGTGGGACCTGCCCCTGCCCACCTGTGTGTTTCAGGGTGTGTTGGGCACCGGCTACCAGGCCCTGCGGCTGGCACGGGCCCTGCTGGACGGGCAGAAGCTGATGCTGCGGGGGCTGCACTGGGTGGTGTGAGTACCCATGAGGGCAGGGAAGAGGGGGCGGGTGGGTGCCGGGACCTCTCTGCACTGCCCTGGGACCATGCCCACGTGCATGGTGCCTGCGGCTCTGACACAGGCTTCCCTTGTGCAGGGAGGTGCTCCAGACCAGATGCAGGCGGAATCTGGAGGTCTCCCAGACAGCACACTTCTGCCTCAGCAGCAGCATGAGCACAGAGAGGTGGGTGTCCTTCCCAGGCCAGCCCACACCTCCCAGACCTTCTTTCTCTGTCTCTGTTCCTCGCCTCTGATACTTCCCACAATGCATCTCTCCTCCCCCATTCAGAGCTCTCCTGCAGCCCTGCTAGAATAGAGAGGGCACCCTACCTGGTCCCTCATTGCTACACCACCGTAACCCAGTCCCTCACTTGCATAGGGGATGAGAGGCCCAGGCTCTCCAGGTACAAGGCAGCTTCCCTGTCCAGAAAGGGGCCTCTGTCCTGCCAGGCCCTTCTCTGAATGATTTTGAGTACTCATTCTGCCTTCTAAGGGTTCCTGGCTCCAATCCTTGGACCCTCTACTCCCTCTACTCCTCTGTCTTGGGCTAAATCAGGAGGATGGGCTGGGAAAAGAGGGAGACTGAGGGGGAAGAAGCCAAGCCGAGGGTCTGGGGATAGGAAGAATGGGAAAGTTACATTTCCCAGGGCACCAGGGAAGTGAGCACAGCCCCTGAGTCCTAGAGGGTGTGGGCCATGTATGGCATGGGTGAGAGATGGGAGTGTTACAGCCTAGGGAAGATGACTGTGGCAGGAATCTTTGGGGACAAAGGATCAGAGACTTTCAAACATGCCAGAAGTCCCCCCCTCTTTCCATGACCCCTAGCCCGTGGCCTCAGGAAGGTCCAGGGAGTTTCCCAGCAGTGGGTCTGACTCACTGCAGCCTTGGGTACCTCCTGGGGCCTGGCAGCAGCAACACTGGTGGAGAGGCAGCTGGGGAGGTGGGGGTGCAGGGAGTAGGAAGAGGAGAGACTCCAGATGACATGGATGGAGTCCTAGTCATGGCTGAGCCCCCTTCACACAGTGACAGAGAGCAGTGGTCAGTCAGCAGTGCTGCTGGGGAATCTCCTTTAACCAGGGCTCCATCCAGGGGCATAGAAATGTGCTCCAGGGAGCACATCACACAGAGAGGCCCATGCTCCCCCAAAGCAGTCAGCTCTTCCCAGGCATGTGAGGGCTGACAGGATGGTTGGGTAAGGGAAGACCAGAGACGGGTAGCAGCAACACTGGAGGCCTTCCTAGAAGAGGAGGCATTTTAGGCCAGAAGGGAGGGGAATACCTTATGTGGGAAGGTCTGCACAGAGCCTAAAAAATATATGCTGATGGTAGAAAGTTAGAAAAGACAAATAAGCAAAACTAAAAAAATAAAAATGCCATATCCTACCAGCCAGAGGTAGGTAGATAGCTTAGTAGATATTTTTCTAATCTATAAGTATATGCATTAACCAGCGTGAGACTATTGTGTGTTTGCTTTGCTCAGCTTGCTGGCTCGCCCCCTCAATACATTTTCATCTCAGCTAGTCCTCATTCATATTCCAGTTTTCCTAATTATCTCCAGAATTTCTTGTTATGGCAAGTTGTGTTCAACCAGGATGCAGTCTAAGACTACACTTTGTATCTGTTTTAATAGAGCACAAACTGCCCCACCCCTCTCTTTTTTTTTTTTCCTAACCCTGACTTGTTGGGAGCCTTGTCATTATAGTTTCCCCTTTTGGACTCCTGGAAAACTTCCTCTGGAAGCTGTTTGGCTCGTTCTTCTTTCCCCGCATTTCCTGTAAACTAGGAATTCTGAAGACTGGATAAGTTCAAGTTTAACATTTTTTGCTAGAACACGTGGTAGACAATGCTGCGTACTTCATGTCGACACCCCATTGGGAGTGACAGCCTGATTGCTCTGCTATAGATGACATTTTCCCTAAAAAGCAAAGAACCACTGTGGTGTTGCCTCGTCCACCACGTGGACATCCGCCCCTTTATCATTCATTGATTTTAACACTGTGCCCAAGAGAATAATTTCACCAGGCTAGCAGGATACTAATGTTTGAAGTTCTGGACATTATTGGCTAGCGGTCTACAAAACACAGCTTTCCCCTCATCAGTAAGCAATTGGTTATCAGGAAATAGAGTTTCTACCAGAAAAGAACGTAATCCTTTCCCTTTACTTACCAACATTCCTCGTAAGGAGGCCATTAATAGCTGCCTTGCCTCATGGGCTCGTGAATTTTCACAGGTGTAAGGTGTTTCAATCCACCTCAACCTTTCTTCTTTGCAATGCTCAATCATGTCATGACTTTGGTGAGTAGGGCTCTCTTCAAGTTGGTTCCCCGGTCTTAAGCAGAAAACTCCCCAGAGATCCTGTAAGCCAGCAAGGCTGTCCCAAAGATGCCGTGTCTCCCGCTCTGGCTGCCTCCCAAACCCTTAA